AGTATTATTTCGTTGTTGCCGTGCGCGCACTGATGAAACCGGACGCGAGAACGACAAAAATCTGCTTGCGTTACCAACGTCGTGCGGCAGGGAAAACAAATTATGATCGCGCGACGGGAAAAGAGAAGAGACAGAGAGAGAGGGAGGGAGGGAGAGAGAGAGAGAGAGAGAGAGAGAGAGAGAGAGAGGAGGGGGGGAGAGAGAAAAAGAGAGTGTGCGGATCGAGCATTCTTCGACTTTGTCCACGCAGGCTTTATTCCAAAATCCTGACTCACTGTTTCGGCGTACTTCAAGGCATTCGAGCCGATTTTACGCGTTACGAGCACGCGTCGAGGAGGGGGGGGATCTCTGCCCCGATTTTCGCGTCTCGTCACACGAGCAAGCGGATAGAGGTCTTGGTCTTCCGGGCGTCGCCATCCTGGCGGACGCGCGGCGAGGCCTCCTCGCTTCTCCGACGAAGCGTCTCTCGAAAAAGGCGATGATTTCATTCCGCCAGGGAGAAAGAAAAGACCTCGCCTCGCCTTCGTTCATATTCGGCGGCCGGACGAAAGCAAACATGGAATAGGTGTAGGTCGTATCTCCTGTTAGCGTCGTAGCACGCTGTTCACCGAGCGTGCCTGCGACTGGTACACGGTCGCACGCGGCTCCGTGTCCGTGTTTGCGTGTGTCGGTAAATGAGTAATAGGCACGCACGCACCCACACCCGCACGTCGCAACGCCGGTGATTCAGGCTCCCTCCGGTGTGTACGGCGCATAACTGGCACACGCGAGGCGTGAGAGAGCCGCAAGGCCAGGGCCGTACGTCTCGGTGGCCTTATCGGCGATCTATCTACCGCTATCTTTTCGCGGCCGACGTATCTCTCCTCGTTAATCGCGCCTCCTGATCTCTCGGGTCATTTGCGCTAATTGATAACCGAGCGCGGGATTGCCGAGAGAGCTGGCTGACGCCAGCTGAAGCGCGGGGCGCTATCGATCCGGACGGGGCTTCGGGTTCTGCATCCGCGCGCCGGCACGGCTCGGGTTCGATCATAAATGGAACACGGGGTGTATTTCGGAATCGACAGGGTGCGACGCGAGATTCCTCGGTCGACTCGGAACGAGGCGGAAGAGCCTATAGGTTTCTCGTGACCGCTACGCCCGAAGTGGTTAGTTTTCTCAAAAATTCTTCCTCAGGACGCGCGTGGATATCAGCTATTTCAGATCTCCTGAAACGCCCGCGCCGCAGTGATGTCCCCCGTCACTTCATTATCCGCTCTGTTGGATCGATTCGCGAGGAGCACACGCCGTTCACTCTCGAACGCTCGCGAATCCCGTTGCGATATCTCGGTTTAGAAATAATACACGATAAAACATTCGATATTAGCTCCCTCGAAGTCTTCCTCGATGCGCTTCGCTCGTCGAGCACGGGTTCACTTTGACGCAATCTAATTAATTCCCGCAGGGAAGGGAGTTTGGTACTTTCTCCATTTATCGTATTTGGTTATCCAATTGCGATGCCAATCGGGATTTTTCCATTTTCATCTCAAACATGTATATTCTATTTGGGCTACAAAGGGAAATGTTATAGAAATTCGCGCTTTTTTTTTTTCCTTTTAATACGATATCAAACGGAGAATTGCATTGTTCCGTCAAATATTGCATTCAATGGAATGAAAAACCCAAGCGATATAATTCCGATGAAACAATGAAGGCTAGAAAAAAATATCGGTGGAAATAAAAGTGGAAACCAAATTAAATCGCAATTGGATCCGCAGGGAGAAATTTGTCGTTGAGGTTAAAGTAAGTCCGTGATAGATCCCTCACGGAATATTTTTAATATTTAATATTAGTTATTATTGGCGTCCCGTGAATTTTTTTTTCTTCACAAAAATTCCTCCAACTACTTTAAACATTATATGTTGTTGATCATTTATTGCAATAATACAGATGTGTTATATCGAATTAAAGAAACTATGCCCGAATCTACTGGCCGAATTTAGCCTACCTACCTACCTACCAACGAACGGAACCGAATTGGGCCGCATGCCGGCGTGCGGTCGTGCGTCTCCGACCGCTTCGCCGATTTATTTCGCATCTTCCCGTTCCCGGTCCAATTAACCGGCCACGCCCGATCGTTGTCCGATCCCCTCGCGCGTTTCTCAAATCTCTCTCGATTCTCTCGGTCGCGATCCGCGCGCTGTTTACCGCGTGCTGCTGACCCACGACGCTCGCATCGGCGAGAGGTACGCTCGCATGAGCGTAACTTGTGCCCGGCTGTACCACTCGCCGCCGCCTTCTCGCGCGATCACGATTTAACCGTGACGCAATTCCCGCGCGCGCGTTCCCTTTACCGGCCGGCGAGGAAATCATCTTCGTGCGCTCCGCGGCACCGGCTGTTGCATTGTTAACGGTTCGCGTTCGTGAGAACGCGCGAAAACAATCCGCGCGATGTGTTCCGCCGGTCGAACGGACGGTCGTTAGTATTGTTCGGCCGGATCGAAAAAAATCACGAGCTCGCCTGGACCTCGCGCGCGCGCAAGCAGCAAAACTTGCTGTATTTTCCGCAAAGAGATGGAAGGAGAAAGAACAATAGAGTAAAGATAGAGAGAGAGAGAGAGAGAGAGAGAGAGAGACGACGAGTTTCTGCCGGCGCGGCGTTTCGCAATTTCGAGTAAACTTCAAACTGCGAAGCGTGCTCGCGGGAAATTATAGACTTTTGGCGGCGCGGCGGTCGCGAGGGTTTAACAGCGTCGTATATGCAAAAGCGATTTGCGGCATGCGGCGCTTCCGCATGCTTTTTTACGCCAATTAACGTTGTTCCGCGAAATTACAACGGCGTATTCGCATTCCCGCGTTATTATGCAGCGCGGCCATGGTGTGCGCAACGGTGGGACGCCGCGTTATTAAAAGTCGCGAGGCGGAGGAGGCGCGGAGGAGGAGGCGTCGCGGCTCTCGCCGTTGATTTACAGCTCGGCTACGTACAACGGCGCTGTGCAATGCGTAGTTGCGACGTTGCGTCGGATTTGCCGGATCATCATATCGCCGACGGAATTATTATTGCTTCTATACACGGTATTCTATCCCCGAGCGACGACGTTGCTCGAAACGGCGCTGCATCGCGAGGAATTCTATCGACGAAGCTGCGATTCGCACGCGCGCGCGCCACTCCGACGAGAGTCGTCGTCCTTAATTGCTCTCGATTCGACATTTATCGGCGAGTTGTGCCACCCGCTATGTATGAAAGCCCTCCGTCAACGCGCGTCAACGCAGTACGCAGTACGCGATCTGGCACGTCGGTGACGTAAGGACGTGCGTGTGGCACGATAGCGCTCATTCCTTTTCATTACGTCAAATTGTATCCCACCAACGTGGACATTAGTTAGTTAGTTAGTGGTCAGGCGAATTGCCGTCGCGGGGGAATAAGCCGGTTGAAAGGAAACTTCAACCGATGCGTATCTCCCGTATCTCTCTCGTGCTTTTTATTCAGACGCGTGACGCGCGCTACACTCGCTGATCTGCTTTAGCCCCCATTAAAGGGCCTAATTATTTCGCAAATGTTTTCAATTAAAGCCTGTCGGCCTGTTGCTCTCGGGAAGCCGCGAATTGGTGCCAGCAGTGTTATTTCTAGTGGGGTCGTCGGTGTAGGTGGGAATTAGCCGCGGGAAATGTGTTAATAATAAAATTACGCGCATTAAACGCACGCATACATATATGGACAGGGTGTCCAGGATCTTTTGGAAACAAAAGTTATGCAGATTAATTATGCGGATCAAACTGAGAAGAAAAGTCAAGTTTGCATTTTGCAAAAATCGCAATAGATTATTAATGAATGATGACATCGCATCTACATGCTGGCTCTTTTAATAGATAACTTGAAAATTTGCAAATAAATTTTCAAATTATCAATTGAGAAAAGCTTCTGGATCTGGTCGCTTTCAATCGTTAATAACTTAATAAATATTACGCGGTTTTTGCAAAATGGCACATGACTTTTCTTCTCAGTTTCATCTCAGTTTAATCTTTACAATTTTTCCTTCTCAACTGATTTCTTATTATTTATTATTATACACACTTGTATATGTATATGTACAATTTTTCATTTAGAAATTATATTATTCAACAAACGAGACGCTGCGCGCGCGAGAGCGCTGATGGGTTAACGGACGCGCTCGCGAAATAATTCAATTGCACTCTCGCTCTCGCTTTTTTATCAGTTTTTCTTCCTTGGAGTGAGAAATTAATTCAGCCGTTACAACCCGTGAATCCTCCCCCCTCCGCGCGCGACGCGTAATTCGCGTGAGATCGCGCGTAATGACCGGCGCTGACTATAACAGGTTAACAGGCTCGAATTTGCCGAAGTTTGCTTATGTAACGAGAGTAACGGCGGAGAACACGTGCATGCGACACGCGTGTCCGCGTTCCGCTGCGCCCACGCGAAACCTCCGGAATACTCCGACCGGGAGATTCGCGAGATTATTTATAAGACGAGGACTTTTCGCGCGAGGCTTCGCGAGCGCCGACCTTCGCCGGAAATGGCATTGCCGCCGATGTCTCACGAATTCGAGATCGTCTCTGTTTTACGATCTTCCTGTTTACGTGCGTATTCATCCTGGAGGAGGAGGCGACAGCGAGATTCTCATCGAGAGCTTCGCTCTGATCCTGACTATTTTCTCCCGCGTTCTAACTCCCGAGCAGTTACATTTCCTCTGAATAATTTATCATAATATCGACCCTTTCCAGCCGCTCGCGCTCGCGTATGTTCGCGTCGGTGTCTGAAAATGTGTCTGAAGTTTAAATCACGCCGAGATAATTTTCCACTTTTGCATGTGCATATTTTATGCAGGCCGCGCGCGGAGCGAGCGACAGATTCTTCGATCGAGAGAGGTATTCGACGTATTTCGTCTCGCGCGTTAAACCCGAGCCGCGTTTTCCTAGAATAATAATTTCATCACAATGTGAACCGGACCTTCCTGCTTCTCGTGACGTTGAATAACGAAGATGCTCGATTATTTCCCGCCCAGAACTAATTCGCGGCCGTCGCCGGCGCTCAGCAGCACACCTCATTACCGCACTTCCGCGACGACGACGACGACGACGACGACGACGGGGGAAGAGGCGCCGAAGAGGCGAGAGAGAGAGAGAGAGAGAGAGAGAGAGGACGTTTCATTCATTCAGCCGTCACTCCGATCGAAAAACTCCAGGCTCGCTGAGCAAGTCAATGCGGCCGAGCCGATAATTCCAGCAAGCTCTCGGAGGCTGCTGCTGCATCCGGCTGCTCGCGCGGCGACGAGTATATATCATGAAGGAAGTACAGGAGCAACAGCAGCCGGAGTCAATGGAGTCTAACGAATCGGTTTCCGGCTCGAACGAGTACGCCTACCGACCACTCACCACCAAGCACAGAAGAGCCGGAAGCACCGGGACAACGGGCGACGAGGAATACACCACGGACGAGGATGAGCTCTACACGGACGAGGCCGACTGCTCGATCGGCGCCAGTCTGCACCCGCCTCATCCCATCCTCAAGTCCGACCTCGCGAGGGCGGCCACGGATCTCTTCGGCTACGTCACTAAGCGCGACGACGAGGACGAGGAGCCGACTAGTCTGTTCGACGAGGACGACAACAACAAGTTCCTGGGTGACAGGTGAGCGTCCGAGATGGAATTTCTAGAAACGAGAGAGAGAGAGAGAGAGAGAGTCGAATTGCGCGGGTGTCGAATCGCCGCATGCTTCATCCTCATCGAAAATCAAATCCGGCGTCAAGGGCCCGGCGACTTGGTTACTGCAAGTAAATCGATATGCCAGTTGAAGTTTTGCCTGCCGCGAATTCAAACAATGTAATACGACGATAGTTTGTGATCGCAGGAGAGAAAGTTCCATTCAAACGAATTCTCAAAAAGTTGATCAAGTTGACACTAACGTCCGATGAAGTCTAACATTGCTTCTTCTTTTTTCGGAGTTTCCGTTTCAATCGCACTGATGATCGGTGTCACTGAAGAGAAGGTCATTTACAATGGTCAAAATTTTGGTCCCGCAACTCGCTAATTGTACTTACTTGTACATTGTTTTTCATTCGCACCCGACACCTGCAATTCGGTTCTCATCGTTCTTGTATTTCCGTATTTTGTTTTTGGTTTGCAATCTTGAGGATTTTAACCACATTTACGTGAGTTTCTGCAAATTCGTTTCGCGCGTTTATTTCAGAGAAGATCGAGATAGAAAAATTGCGCCGTGTATTATTTAAATGTTCAATCGATTTACGGTGCTATTACGCGTTATTAATCATCCGTTCCAGTCATCTTCTAGTTTTTGGGATATTTTGCTGTCGCTTTTTGTACACTCTATGTATTAATCTCGTTCGTTTTGTCAATCTCGTTCGATGAAGATGATTGATCGATTAGCCCGACAATCTGCGTGCTTCAGTTCCAGTTCGAGCAAAGCTACTCCCCTGTTCACGTACAACGAGAAGCTGCAGGGAGTTCTGTCGAGACATCGAAGCCTATCGGACGAGAAGAAGCCCTGCGATAAGTTGAAATCTCCCGAGCCGGAAGTTCTCAAGTCTCAGACTCAACGCACGAGACCCCTGGATCTCCGGTTGAGCGAAGCTGACTCGGCGGATAAAGCGAGAGACGAGAATGTCGATGCCGGCTCGACGAAGAGGGACAATTCCCGCGAGTCCTCCAGGAGGTCTTCCCTGTCCAAAGACACGCAGGTAAGACGCGGGTTATCCGCGTAATTGCCGGCCGGTCGCGAGGCTTCGCGTAAATCCACGGGAGAAATATTTGCGGAAATTCCGACTTTCAGCCGGAAGGAGGAGCGTTGCCGAAGCAGCAGGAGCTGCTGTGCTTACCTAAGAAGATCAACAGTCCACCGTCGCCTACCGCTCTGCAATGGGGTAGGGCAGTGGCCGAGGTGAAGGAGCACGCTGTGGCGAAGCTGCAGGAGGAGCTCAAGAGGGCTCACGAGGAGCTGAAGCTGAAGGACGAGGAAGTGGCCAGACTGTCGCGTATCAGGCAGGACGTGGAGGCCGAGCTCGAGGAACTCACTGCCAGCCTCTTCCAGGTTGGCACTCCCATCTTCTCCTCTTCTCGGGGATAAGAATAGAGAATATCAATAACATTTATCTGATATAAATAGAATGCATGCAGCATCAAGGTTAACTATAAAAAGCCGCGAGCCTTTTCGCTTCTTTAGATCTTCATTTACAAAATAAAAATTTATTTGGATAAATAAATTTTTTTTAATGTAAAAATTACTTTAAATATAATACTTTTTAAATATAAAAATTTCATAAAAATTTATTTATTTAAGTAAATTTAAATAAATTTTAAATTTGAATTAATATTAAATTAATATTAGAATTTATTTAAATAAATTTTTATGGAATTATTTAACGAAAACGAAAACGAAAACGAAAACGAAAACGAGAAACTGCGCATCGAGGCTCTCTTACGCAATCAGTAAGAGAGTTTGAGGGGACTGTTGAAATAAAAAATAATATAAATAAAAAATAATGGACCAACATGGATAAAAGAGAGAAAGTAGGAAAGAGGGGCAGATCACGCAGTGCGCGTATGACACGACGACTTGTTTTGTAGGAGGCACACAACATGGTGCGAGAGGCTAACGTGCGCCAGGCAACGGCGGAGCGTCTCCTGGAGGAGAGTCGCATGAAATCGGAGGTGCTCGCGGCCGAAGTGGCTGCTCTAAAGACTCTGGTGCTAACGTCCACGCCGTCGAGGCCGAATCCTCACCTGCACCCTCAGATCGACACGAAGGGTCGCGCTGGTAACGGAGAGGAGAGCCAACAGGGGCTTTTCGCGAAGAAGCATCGCAGGTACCGACCGAATTCCCTTGCCTTTCGTCGCGACGTAATCATCGCGAGTGAACTACGCGAGTGCGCGCGAGAGAGCTCGCTTCGACTAATTAGCCCGATCATTATTTATCAGAGACGTATCCTTATTTACTGCCGCGAGGCATTTGCAAAATGCAAACGAATAGAGCACGCTCAAGGACGATTTGCAATTCCGATGTAGATCGCCGTCGCACTTCAACTTGAAGTACGGCCGGGAGAATTCGCCGCCGGACTCGCCAGTGAAAGAACAAAGGCCGCCGTTACCGACGGATCGAGAGGTGCTCGAGAGGGACTGGAAGCGGGACCGCGAGAAGGAGAGAGAGCGGGAGTGCAAGGACTTCGGCCTGGAGGTCGACCCGCGGGTGCACACGGAGTTTCTCAGGTGGAAGGCGAACCCGTGCGTCGACAAGAGCGATCTCTTCGTCGCGAGGGTATTCAGGGAGGACATCGACCTCTGCCTGGATTTCCCTAACAAAGAATTGGGCGCCAAGGTCAGGCAGGCCGTCTTGGACGGCATAATCTTCATCGAGGCGGTCAGCGACAAGACGAAGCTCGCTTTCCCCAAGTACGTAGCCGAGCCCAAGTATGCAGCGCTCGCTGCATTGTAAATATTCATCCCGCGAAACGAGATTAGTGATTAGTGATTACCGTGCCGTGAATGAACGAGCTGCGCGACCGACCGCGCGACTCTCGCTCGCGATAAAGTAACGGCGGCACTCTGTGCTTTTTCAGGAAATGCGCGCTACTCGAGGCACCGCGGCAGTGTCATTACCGTATGCGACTCGGTGATCAGGAGAACCAGTGGTTCTGCATCTCGCAGATCTGTCGCAACCGGGTGAGTTGTCACCGACAATTGACAATCGATTGACGATCGATTGACGAAACTTACCTCGGTGTTGTGTGACGAAGAGGGTCCCGTTCCGTGAGAAACCGTGTGTGTCTTTTTGCAGATCATAGCGGTGTGTGATTTCCTTAATTACCTGAGATACGTGGAGCGCGGCCTCGTCAAGAGCTCAGGTAAGTCTCGGAGAAGTGAGTATATGTGAAATGGGGGTTAATTTATTATGAAAGAAATATCGAGTCGATCGATTGTCTCGACTCGATATTTCTCGGTTGAGCATACTTGGTTAAAAGAGGAATTCAGAATAATTAATTTCCAACATGTGCGCTCGTGTGTATGACTGCGTGACATGTTGTAATGTTTTAACAATTGCAACATTCAATTGCATCTATAAACATGGCACTACGAGATAATCGATTCTTCGCCGTTTGTTATTTTTGGAGAGAAAGAGGCGGGGTAGTGTTGAAAATACAAGTGCCTCTCTGATCTGCCGCGAGCGAAAGCGAGTAAACAACGTTTGAATTTTCGACGACGACGACGACGACGACGACGGTCGATTGCACGAATTTTTTATCTCTCCCTGTTGTTGATTTCCGATTTACTTCAATCGCGTCCTCTAAAACATAACGATTCCCACTCGAACCCCGCAATTTACCGTTGCAGTTCATGACATTTACTGGGAGATCACGCGGCTGAGGAAGGAAATGGTCTTCGCGCGCTTGGGCCTGGCATTGTCGTCCTGAGGTTCGCGTAGGCGGGATGTCATCTAGTCTCGAGTCTCGAGCGCAATTCAAGCAAGGAATTTACTGCATCAGGATATATAATCGGTCGGTGGGTGGATTGCGCAGAAAGACGACACAGTTTAGCGACCGTCTCGTCTATTCTCGGCCGGCGAGAAAAGTGAAGGTGCAATAAAACCTGCTGCAATTTCCCGGATTATCCGTAGGATCTCTCTCTCTCTCTCTCTCTCTCTCTCTCTCTCTAATTCTGCAAAGTCGTCCTGACAACGATGCTTCCGAGAGATTTGCGCGACATTTCTGGGAGAAGCCGCCTTGTTACTCGCGACTGTAAGATATATGAATAATTTACTCGTGCAATTTTCCTCTCCAGTAACGAATGTTGTAACGAACGCTGCGCAGGAGAGATAACGGATCGATTCTCGCCGCAACGCCGAGAGTCGGTCCCGACTTTCCTGCGAGCGAGCGGGAGGACATCGCCCGGGATTGTATTCGGTGACCGAGCCTCAGCGAGAAACGTTATTCTCAGCGCGCGAGCGCGCGCGAATTCTCACAAAAAGATTCGATACCCGTGGCACGGCGGTGCGCTTTCCTCGGGTTTCAACGAACCCCGCGAACAAATGAAGGCGACGACGAACGCCGAACACGAGGCTGTGAATGCGCAAATCAGGCATTATCGACACGGTTCTCCTGACATGACAGATGTAACATAACAAAAGAGATTTTTGAGATATTGCAAACGCGTTCTCGACGGCAGGAGACACCTTTCGAGCCGCGCACGAATCATCGAACTGCTGTTAAGCATCGTAAGCTGTTAAGCTTACGCGTATTTACGAACAAATTCAAGCTCTAAACTCGTTGACTCGTTTGTTCTCACGAGGTAGCTAACGTTTAATGATCATTAACTAAATATTATGGTACGAAGTCACAATTTATCTGTATTCGCGGAGTTTGGTACCAACACGGGAGAATTGAACGCTCGCAATTCATTTGTTTCCGAAAACAGTGCGTCCCCGCACGGATTGTACGTTCGATTGTTGTACTAATTTATCGTCGCTCACGCTGTCCTCCTCCGTTTCGTGCGACTTTATCGCAAACGTTTTCACGTCAATCGTCAACGGCTTCCGATGAATGTCGATCGACGATTGTGTAATTGTAAGTTCCCGCAAACCTCAAGCGTGTCTGTACGGAATTCCGCGGGGTCGTAAAACTGTCATCTAGACACTGTAGTCTCGACACTTATTGTTGGATCATGACTACTACATATACTGCGCTAATATTATCGCTCTTAGGGAAGAGTCCCGTTTGTGTGGACCATACGAATCTCAAAATTCCTGATAGTGTAAATAGATTCGGGACACCTCTGTCATGTCCTATGCCATTGTTCTATGCGTCTGTCACGTTGCGTCCGGTTGTATCCGGACATATTTGTTTGAATTCTAGATTATATATATATATATATATAAATATAAATATATACATATTATTCTGGCATGTTGAAAACATCCTAGCGTGAGGAAATTGCGTTGACAGGTCAATTAAAATTGACGCTCATGCCAGTCGTGTATTTTACGGTTGTACATACGAGAATATATATTTTGTTTATTGCGAAAGTACTCCACCGAGACTCTTTCTCGGCAAATCCTGAATTATGATTCGCTGATCGATTCTTTCGAGACGACAGGTGAGTCTCCGCGAGACGAGCTCTCCGGAGACGAGTGATTATTTCGGCGCCACGGCGTCGGTCAGAACGGCGATTTTCTTTCACGCTGGTACGATCTTCGCATGAGAATCTCTCGAATCCGTTGTCTTCCATTATTTATCGCGACAGCTTGACGTGAGAGCGGAGGGAACAGAGCGGATTTACGGATTAAAACGATTAGTTCGTTATTCCGAGTGGCGCTAAAGCGTGCAATTTTTGTGGTTAGCGACGAGCGAGCGAGGAGCATCCCCACGAAGACTGCGGGACGTAATAAGAAGACTTTCTGTAAGCATTTCTTGTGAATAGAGGCAATGTGTTGATTGTGTACATCAAGTGTAAATAGAATCTTCTAATATTACTCTTGAGACAGGAACTTGTATTAAAGAAAAAAAAAAAACATGAAATAAAAATTATCGCCATTGTACAAACACAGCGATTGATTGTTGTGTTGTTGTGTCGTCGCGAGTAACAATCAGTTTGTATTAATTAATTTCAGAATCACAATGTTTGCGCAGTACGCAATGATTGTTGCGAGCTGTTTATGCGACGTGTACTTCCAAATAATTTCGGATGTCGGAGTCGGATACAAAAAGCGAGTGCAAACTCTGGCAGAGGAAATGCGGACAGATCGCCGCGTATGTCAACTCGCCGTTTCGGAGATGTTGAATACCATTTTTGTTTTATTATATATTTATTGTGTACTTTTAGTCGGAGAACCTCCTATCCAAAATTTTGATTGAGTTGAAATGAATTAAATAAATGGGCTCTCAATCGAGTGAAATTTATGAAATGTAATTAAACAATTAAATGTAATATTAAGTGATTTGAATTAAATTTCGCTCGATCGACAACGCTGGCTCTTCTCGCCTCTCTATATTTTACTTGTTTCTAATACAGTTTAATTATAATATGCTTTGTTTTAACATGTTTCTCTCTGGCCGCAGATAATTTTCAACGGTCAATTAGCAGCCATTCATCAGGTTTCTCTCGTTTCAGGATTCAGGTTTTCTCTCGTATAATATTAGATTGGTGCAGGGATAATTGCGGTTCTTACTATATCGAGAGATAAAGACGCATATATCAGTTAAAAATTATATTTATTCATCAGTTGGAAAATATATTTAATAAAATTTAATAAAATTAGATTATTTATTAATCAAAATAAAGACCATTGGCCTGCACACATCTCTCCCAACGGGAAACAACTTTGTTTATTCCTATAAAATAGAATTCTGGAAAGGATAACGATAAAGCTACGTAATTCTAGAAAAATCGATGCCAAACTTAAAATGACAAAAACCGCAATTATTTTTGCGCCAACCTGATATATAAATTATCAACATACATTTCTCAAGTAAGCCACAATTTATTCCCTTTGCGCAAAACTCACTCGCTCGATTAACGCTCTCGGTTAACGCGTCAACAAACTTACGTATATTTAATAGCGACGACGTTGATCTCGGGCGGCGCGACTGTGAAGCCGTCGATGCCGTTTAAAACAGGATCCGGATGTCCTGGTGGTAACACGAACTGAAATTTCTGCAACAGACACGCAACGAACACGAACACGCTGCTCCTCGCCAGAGTCTCGCCCAAGCACTTTCTGCGACCTGTGTCAGGTATTGTAATCTTCAGCGGTCGTATACTTTATATAGTAGGAGAAATATCTAAAACACGGCGACGTATTTTATCTCGACATATTTTGTATCTACCCAAGCCGAACGGTATCAACCAAGGATCCTCCGCGTATTCGCCCTGCTTGTTGAGAAATCTCTCAGGCCGAAACTCCTTCGGATCGCCCCAGTGCTTCTCGTCCATATGGACGCTTCTAAGATTTGCCAACAAGTTGTAACCTTTTTTTATCTCATAACCGAGTAAAGTCGTGTTCGCCGTCGCTCGATGAGGGATCGTAGTAGGACCGATATTCGCCAGTCTCGATACCTCGGCGATCGTCGCGTTCAGATACGGTAGCCTGAAAATGTCGCGATTGTGCACAGTGCGGATGAATAATCATGGAAAATATGGAGAAGGTACACGGAGAAAAAGGTTTGGCCGAACGATTCGGAAATTCCTACTGAAGATGCCAGAATTCTCTTGAAATTAATCGGAAACCTCGATCACTTCACAGTTGGACTGAATTCTGGACTGGCAGCTTCAGAATTTCTGAGTCGTTCGTAGCGTCTCAGCAGAAAATTGTTTCGGCCAACCAAACATTTTTCTTCATATATCTGTCCATCGAGTCTACCGATTTCTGTGCGCCAAGCAAGGCAAAATCTCTCTGCCCAGTATTCTCTCGATTTCCTCGTGCACTTTTCCTTGAACGTCCTGCCTCACCGCGAGATACGTTATTACGAAGCCAATTGTGTTCTTGGTCGTTTCCACCCCGGCGGAGAAGAGGTCTCTCACCACGCTAATTAATTGTTCCTCTGCAACGAGAATATCCTCGCTAATTGTACTTCGTAGCGCGGCTTCGAAGCTGGAAAACATGGTCGGTATAAGATTGATACGCGTGCGTACTCGTGACACTTATTTGAAGACTCATCTGCGAGCAAATCGCTCGTGAATAATACTTCTTGCATCTTCCGTCTACTACTATCGTCTGTCTCGTTATTTTTTATTCCCTACTATTCCTCCTATTGTATTCCTATGCTATTGCTTTCCTCATCTCCTTATTTTCCTAATGCGCTCGTCGGGTGTCCTCCCGTCCCCGACGAGTCTCGTTTCGCGATACGAAAGAGAAACTCGACGAGCCCTTAGATTCGTATTTCTATCGCATGGCGTCGCATTTTATCTCTTTCTCGCTTATGCAATTGTCGTAAAGGCTCCGCGTACCGTCGAAATACGACACAGTCGGCTTTGATTGCTCGGTGTTCATTTCCGTCAGGTAAACATCGATAAAGTCTCGGAACTCGCCGTGCATTCTAGTTTGCTTGTGCCTAGCTACCTCGCCCTGAAATCAAATACACCATACGCGCACGTGCGTATAACAACTTACTATAATAATAACAATACACGTACAATAATAAATATTAATACAGGGTGTATAAAAATCAGGATGGCAAAATATCTCGAAAATTAAGGATTTTAGAAAAAAATGTTTCAAACGAAAGTTGTTAGATTAATTAATTGATAGAAAAACATGATATAATAAAAAATTGGGGTTCCCATTTAAAGAAAATGTAATAATAACCAGTGAATATCTCGAAAGCTGCGCTATTTGCAAATAAAACGATGTAGTTGTTTCATGTCCCCCCCTTGAAACCATACAATTTTTGAATCCGAAACCTCTTCTTTCTTTTCTCCAAAATGTTTAGCTTTGCAATTTTTTGTAAAAAAAAATTGCAATTTTTGCAAACAAAAAATATAATCTTTGCAAAATGGCAAACTTGACTTTTCTTCTCAGTTTGATCTGATTAGTCTTCACAATTTTTCGTCTCCGAAAGATCCCGGACATCCTGTATATATGGTATACATTTGTTTACGCTATGCACGCGCTATGACAGAAATCATATGTAGCCGCGTAGGAAGGCGTGTGACGTTACCTTGAAAAATTGCCACACTCGCGCCAGTCTCTGATTCAGGAGGGTGAATCCTATCAATCCTGGAACGACGTGCCTCAGGATTGGCAAATGCGTCAGTATACCGCCGGTGACGTTGGTGCTTCTCACAATATCGTTTGTTATGGACAAAGTCTCCTTTAGTTTCGGGTTCTCTAGCTCGTATCTACGGCCAATGTCGACATCGTCGATTTTCCACGATCATTAGCGATTGACCACGTGGCGTGAAGTTGCGTGTGATTTCGAATATCGCAACGTACCTCGAGCCAGCGACTAGCGTCCATAAGCTATTGAGGACAGCCACAGACGTGACGTTGTGCAAGTTTTTAATGGGTCCCGACGCAGCCAGCGACTCTATCGCGGTAGTTAAGGCAACCGCGTCGCTCAGTATTACGTTCTCCATGCTGACCTTCCCGAAGCCGAATTCTTTCAGCGTCTTCAGAGTAAATCTGCACAACAGAATAATCACGAAATAAACACGTAAAAATTCAATCAACTGAGAAGAATGTTTTTTTAGATTTTTCATCGCGATAAAAATAGCGATGTGGACTTTCTCGTGGGAGGAAGTATTAGCACCTTCTTTGTGCGCGCCAAACTTCGCCGTCGGTGAATATCACACCCCTTCGCACACCACCTGTCCGGTGGCGGAAAGCGAATCCGGTGGGCCTGCCGTCGAACTCGGCTCGATTCAACATCTCGACCACGGCATCCCTGCCGGAAACGATGATCAGAGGTTCGTCTGTGCCGAGTTTCAAGCCGACAATAGGCCCGTAGATGTCGGCTAGGCGGCACCAAACGTGGGAATAATACTTCGTCTCGTTCACCAGACGTTTCACGTCGAATATGTTTCCCACGAGCGGCAGACCGTGCGGTCCTCGAAATTTATTAATATTTTTCTAATTGTTTCATATATTTACACACATGACAGACAGTCGGTAATCGTCTCGCGTTAAATCGCTTTGACATTTTCGCGATGAATTTTTCCCTCTCTCTCTCTCTCTCTCTCTCTCCCACTTTATTTTATCATTATTATTTACATACTGATAGCATTCAGGGCTGATTAGCCCTGATTTTGAAGTTTTAACTTGAATTTTGAAAACCTAATTTTTGATAAAAAAATTTATTTTTATATATATTCCATTTATATTTATCCGACATAATGTCGTTAGGTGCGGTAAATAAAATACGTTTCTGTCTACATTTTAATCTATTGCCGTCTTGTGTTTTTTATTTTCTCTCTTTACCTGGAGGAAATTTCGATGGTCGCTGCCAGCTCTGTAGAATCGTGAATATTATTACCAGGCAAATTATTATAAACCACATTGTCTCTCCGTCATCCGACGACGGCATCCAAAAGAGAAGATCCGAAAAAGCGACCGAAATTCGTCCTAATGCGGAATTCTCTTCAGATTTTCAGAGAACCCCGAAAAGAGTAAGTCGTCACGAATTCGGCGATGAGCACGTGCGACGATTTAGCGTCGATCAACTGTATTTTGTTATCCCTCGTCACTAACAGCCGTCGTTTGAAACTGCATTGGCCTCGCGAAAATCCCGTTTATATGAGGACGCCTATACATATGTACTTTCACTTACGTTCGCGAGCGAACAGAGACCAACACATATCACGTCGCAGGCAGAGTGCCTACGCTTGTTCTACCTTCTGTGTATGTGTGTTCTCCTTCGGTGTATGTGTGAAGGATTGCGTGTCTCGCGTCGGTTGGCGGGTGATTTAGTGTCACGCACCGGGCTGGAATATTTCGACAGTGGCGTATAGTACAGCAGTCTTCGACATGAACACGTACGGCTGTCATTATCTGAACGGCCGGAACTTTGGTTGGAGGGACAACCCATAGCAAATAACGGGCGATTTACACGTTATATTTTTATCCTTGGGCAATTAAATCGCCGTGCGTCAACTACGTCGATTTCGTCGATCCTTCGACGCTCGCGAGACGTTTCCGCGTTTCGCAAAGTCGACCTTTGGCGGTTGACCCGAGCGAGGAGGCAGGTATTCGCGGAAAATTTCATTTGAGAACTACGTAGTTCGGACTACGTTGAACATCTGTGTACCTAAGTGCGACAGCTGAGGGAATAGCCCGGGGGGGGGGGAGGGGGGACGCGAATGCTTCATCGCCGAGAACATCCGGTCTTCGTGTTCGAGAAAGAGGGTTCGAGAAAGGGAAAATCGCCGAAGGGTGAGAGACGCGCGTTCTCAGCGCGTGTTTCAGCGCGTGGGCCGATGCTCTGATATCAACGATTATCGCGGTGCGAAGCGGCGACGGCTCGTCGTAAAACTGCAATTCCAATCAATCCATCTCGATCTGCATCTTCGGCCTTTTCTCGGGTCCGGCTAACACACCTCGCGCGATATGGCGTTTACGATTTCGCGCTCGCACGCGATCGCACCTACGACCTTCCTCTTCCGTCCTCCGCCTGCTCGCGTGTCCGCCTGCTCAGTTCGCTTCCGTCTTAATGCACGCCGCGTCAAATCGAAACGAGAACGAGCCAGCTGCCTGTTCGACTTAACGATCACCTGTGTGAGCCACTAGAAACCCCCGGCGAGTTAATTCGACCGCGATTATCCGCTTGAAATGCGACGCGTGCGGGTTATTGACACTTTGTGTGATTTATCAAAGCGCGTCTTCTTCAGCGCTTGCTCGGAGATTTGCCAATATCAATTAATCGGCCGTGTCACTTATTTATTTGTTGCGTTGGAATCTTATTCTACCGATACGTTGCTTTCTATTATTATTAATAATTATTATTTATCTGTTGTGTGTCGCTCATTATACTTTACACAGATTTATTTTACACTTGTATGTGTGTGTGTGTGTGTGTGTGTGTAGATGGGACGCATGGGAGTTGACCGGGAAAGAGACAGAGACAGAGGACAGAGTATTGCCTCTCCATCGTGGTATGTGCAATGGTCGACCGCGAAGCTGCGTAACGGCGAACGACGGGAGAACGAACTGTCGTGATAATCGCCGGGAAAGCGGGGGCGTCTATAATTTCTTCCGCGCGCGCGTCCGCCGGCACCGGGCGGAAAATCGCTTTCATGGCTTGCGACGGGGGAGGGGGGTCTCAGCTCCCTCTCTGGGAACTCAATCGGAGACGCCAATTTCGCCAATCTTGCAACACTGCGAAATGTAATTGTGTGTTTTATCTGCCGATCGCGAGCGGCCGTGCGCGCGCGCGCGCTATGAAATAAATAATTCAAGGACGTCGCGACGTCGCGTCCGCTAAATAATTCATTAATCTTCCGAACGCGCGGCGCGAGCCAAGTGCGCTGCTCACGGGAGAACGGGGAAACGAACAAAGCGCGGCGGGCTTTTATCGCGCGTGACGAACGGAGACTTCCGAATTAAATGTCTCGGACGGTCAATTATCGATCGGCTGGTAAATTGAAATGAGAGCGCAGCCAGATGTGACGTCGTCCGGACAGGAAACCATCATGGAGAATCGGAGGCTCTCCATGCTGTTTGGAAAATCCAGCGCGAGCTGGAAATTCGAGGAGAAAACTCGAGCCTTGCTCCCAGCAAATTATTGCGCACGAGAAGATAATCGCGAGGTCGTTCGATTAATTCGGGTTTGCAATCGCGGGGCTTTTCGCCGAGGCGATTATTTCCGACCGCGTGGCGGTTGATGTTTGTTCGCGATGCGTTGGCCGGCCGGCCGGGGGTTCAAAAGAGCGGCCGATGGCCGGTGGAGGGATTTAACGACGAAAGGAGGGGACGGTCGGGGCTCGCTCGGTGATCGAAGGTGCACTACGCCCGGCCGAGTTGGTACTCGCGACCACCACCAGACTCCGAATCGGTACCAGAGGAGAACTTGTCTCGCTACTCCACTCGTCGTGACCGACACGGGCAAGAAGCAGCAACGGGGAGATACCTGAAGCGACGGTGGTCGGCTGAAATACTCAACTGGTCGGATGAGTCGGCTGTGATCGGAGCGAGACGAGGGATCGCTCGATCGTCGAAGAAGATTGGGGAGAGGCGCGATTCGGTTTTGGGTGTGGGCCGTGTTTGCTGGCCAAGAGACAGCCAAGCCAGGAGAGGCCGGTGTTAGAGTCGAAAGAGACGTTGGCGGCGATGCTGCTTCGCGCGCCGTGTATCCTTTCTCTCATCCTTACGGTAGGTCTTTCTTCCGTGTTCAACTCGAGATTACGAAGTCGTACTTGAAGAAAGTTAAATACCTCCCTCCGTCTCGCGCGAGGAGACATAATAAGGAGCAATAAAATGCGGGAGCATTTAGAAAATATAGAAATTGTGCGATTTGGGGATATTGCAGTTAAATTTTGCGTAAATTTCTCAATAAATTCTCAATAAAATATATTGCATTTTTCATTGATAAAATATCAATGTGCATTTTCCACCGATAAAATATATTGCATTTTTCACTGGTTACTGGATTTCTTTCTCTGCTTCATTGCGTATCGCAGATACGCGCCGTATAAAAATATTGCTGTTATTGTTGCTGCTGTTATTAGTAAATATTTAAATGAATCGGCGCGGCGGGATTGGTCGCTGGCAACTTTTGACGCGTATATTCTTTCTTATCGTGTAGTGATTTATATATTTTATTCGCGACGTTCTCGCTTTCGCGCCAGCGTGATCGTGATTCGACCGGTCAATTTTCCGCGTCGATTTATCGCTCGGCTCGTACGAATCGATACGATTGGGCCGAGTGTGAAACGAGCGCTTACTACCTAAGTTGATAATCGTCGGGGAATTAATTAATTGTTTGCACACCCGCCGGATTAATCACCGTCGGATCACTTTGCGCGCGCGCGCGCGCACACACACTTCTGAGAAGCTGATTACTCGCTTGCGAACAAATACTTGTAAATTGACTCGCGCCCGCGCGAGTCCTGTTAATGTTAAGTCATATCTGTTTTGAATGATGATGGCATCCCCCGACACGATAATTGAACTTTGCTTCCTCCCTTGACTGCGACAGGTGTGCTGTTGGTTGCGTGATAATGCCGCGACAATCCCGTTGGCCTCTGATTTGTCGGTCGCGAGTCAGGTATGCAAATTGTGTCCAATTATCCCGCTGGATTGTTCTCCATCGCGCTGACTCCTCCCTCGCCCCGTCTGCTCCATTCCACAGATGCGGAATGTGTTCGAGGAGGAGAAAGTAGAGCCTCAGGATCACTGGCATGATCACGCCGCGTCGCGTCTTCGTGCGAGGAGAAATGTGCAGCCAAGGAGTGACTCGGTCAGCGACGAAGCGCTCTCCTCGGAGGACGGAGAGTCGCCGCAGGACAAAGTGTTAGTAAAATTCATCCTTCCCTCCCCCTCACCTTGATAAGAAATATATAATAAGATACAATTGTTGATAAGTATTTAGTAAATTTATAAAAAAATTAATAAATAAATTAACTAATAAATATTAATAAAATATTTCGTTAATAATTTAATAGGTAATGAAATAATATATAATTGAGACACACACAGAGTAATACTAAGACAGAGTAAGAACGAAGGAAGGAATAATAATAAATAAGAATAATAATAAAAAAATAAAGATACGAGAAGCTTTGTCGCTTTGTTAACGGCAACGTAAACGCCGTGACGCGCGCGACAAAATACTCGTGTTTTATTGTCACTGATCACTCGCAGCTCCTCTCTCGTTTCGCAGAAGGGTAGAAAACAAGATCGTCAACATGAACGTCCTCAGTCATCACAGCGGCCGGAGTAAGCCTCGGAGGATCCTCGCGCCGGACACCACGACGCACAAGCCGAAGGAGGACTTGCTCGAGGAGGCGAAGGAGGAGGACCGCAGCTGCGCGAGCGGCAAGAAGGAGAACCAGAGGTACTCGAGCAGCTTCGTCGGGAACACGACGAGCCAGCGGGTCGACAAGGCGTTCGACAAGGAGTTCGACGATGTGATCGGTAACAATTCCAAGGCGAGGACCACCAGCAGCGTGCACGTCGGCGAGGACATCACTCTGTGCTGGATCGAGACGACGACGATCAAGGAGGGCAAGAACGCGCGGCCGCCGAAGAGGCTGGTGATTCGCGAGTACACCATCTCCTTCGAGAACTCGGCGACCATACCGGAGCGGTATCTCGAGTGCGAGAGGCTCGACGGCGAAGTGACGGCGAACGACCCCGAGATCGGCAGGACCGCCTTGTTCGAGGTCATAGACGAGGACACCAAGGCGAGCATGGTAGTCAACTTCACCACGGTCAGCAACGTCGGCGACGTGCTCGTCTGGCAGCACAGGAGGGTGAAGTGCGGCGTCGGGCCGGTGGTCAACAAGAACATCATCGAGTGGAATGACGGCTCGGAGAACCCGAAGAAGAGGGTGGAGATCAAAGTGAGCCCCAAGATGCATCAGGCGACGGCGAAGAAGCCCGATCAGGAACCGCCCTGCACTGAGGAGGCCAGCGAAGAGAGCAGCGCGGAGTCCAATCGCACGAGCGAGTCGACCGCCGCCGAGTCCTGCGAGAGCACCGCCGCGGAGAGCGGCGCCTGCGGGACGACCACGCGGCCCGCCGACCTGAGCGACGACAACGTCGGCAGCAGCGAAAGCGGCAGCGAGGAGGAGGAGGCGTTGTCTCTGCCCTCCGGCCACAAGACCCCAACGTTGTCCTACGAAGCGACGATCTCGAGGCTGACGAGCACCACCGAAGCGATTCCCGGGAAGAAGGGCGAGTCGATGTCCTCCGGCAAGGAGTGCGAGGAGGAAGACTCGGCGGGCCCGAAGAAGTGCACGACGCGAGGAAGCGCCGTTGGGTCTTCCTCCGAGGAGCTGTCTGTCGAGTCGTCGACCGTCGAGGACAAGTCGCCGACAAAGGAGCCAGCTGGCGAACCTCCGACCGCTTCCAATGAGAGAGGCATCGCGTCGACGATTCCCGAGTCGGTGAGCGAACGAACGACTCCGCTGGTGTTCGAGAAAGATCTCTCTGAGATTGAGTCTGAGGAATCCTCGGCTTCCGCCGATTCCGTCATTGGCTCATCCGACCGGACGAGGGAGTCTGATGTCTCCACGGACGCGGAAGTGGAGACTTCCTCGGAAGAGCTCGTCGACAGTGACAATTCCATGACGAGCGAGGAGATTGGAATTGTAAGCTCGGGTGAAGCTGCCTCAGAGGAAACGCTCACGAGCACGTTACCGACGCTCGAACTGACCAAGTTCATCAAGAGCATACTGAAACTCGACGGAAGCCCGACCGAATCGTCATCGATCGAAACGGAACCGTCTTCTGGCTCCGAGCAGGTGTCTTCGTCTGAAGAGAGCGAACAGACTGTGACGATCGAGACCGTCGGGAGAGCGACGACGATGGAGCCGGAGGTCATCAGCAAGGTAGAGCTGGTCCCGGTGATCTCCACGACGACGCCGACGTCGGTGCCGAGATTCCCGCCGTTGGCGTTGTCGCCGGCGCCGGCGCCGAGCAGCGAAGCCGATTACACCTGCGAGAATTCCGAGGTCTGCGCGCGTGTCACCAGCTCGGCAGTCTGCGACGGGACCGACGGCGATTGCCCCACGACCAGCAGACCCTGCGAGTCTGGCGAGTGCTTGGACGAAGAGGTCGACTACTCGGACTCAGGGATGACGCCGCCGGTGGATGACGTGCGAGCGACCGAAGCCGCGAGCACCACGATGAGCGCGCTGACCTCCCAGGAGGTCGAGAACGTTTCGGCAGCGATCAACAGTGTCCCCACCACCGTGGAGGCTCGAAGGAGCACGCCCTTGTCGTCCTTGACCACCACGAGCAAGCCGCGGCACAAGTTCACGCTGAAGGTGAAGATCCTGCTGGAGTACGTGAACGACAAGAAGGAGAAGCAGAACCTGGTCGAGGTGGAGAAGAAGCTGCTGCTGAACGAGAACCCGGCGCACCTCCGGCGGAGGGTGACGGACGAGCTGCTCAAGCAGCTCAAGACCCTGAACGATTCCGTCAATCTGGAGACCATGAGCGCGTTGATGAACTGCACCAGCCTGAGCAAGCTGACGAAGGACGCGGCTTTCGTCAGGGCGGAGCCTGCTGACGACGTAGCCGAAGACAGCGGGGGCCTCGAAGGGTCCGGCCGAGCCGGGGACTCGCTCTCGCGACTCAGTTCCACGCCTGTGCGCGTTAGACACGCAGAGGACTCGCAGTATCCAGAGCTCTCCCGAAGACGAAGACGAAGACGAAGAAGGAATGCGGACGCGAACCTCACGCTGGCAGACGCGAACGACACGTCGACAAACGCGAGCGGACTCGAGCGGATTGCTGACCTTAATGATCGCCTCGACCTTAATGGCTCCTCCACGTTAGATTCGAATAGCTCCATCTTGCAAGCTGAGCAGCGGTACGACGACGAGGTCGGTCTTCCGACGGAGGAGGACGTGCAGCTCGCCACGACGACGCTCGCGGAGGAGACGACCAACGTAACGTACGCGGAAAACGGAGGAAACGGAGTGAGCAGCACGCGGAAGAACGAGAGCGAAGCGATGGCGGAAGCAACGAGCTTGAGCAACGAGACGAAGATGGAGGTTATACGGGAGACCTTGCCGGGGATAAAGGAGGACCTCTCGACCGGGCTGAAGCATGTGATGTCGGAGTTGACGAGTGGCAATCTGACGTTGGTCAAGGACGATAGAGAGCTGGCTAAAGTCAGCCTGATGGGTATCCTGGCGAATCCCATGGACGGCAGGATCCACTCGAGGAGGAGACGAGAGGCCATCGAGGAGGTTGGACGCTGGTCGAACGAGAGGGTCAGCAAGGCGCCAAGCTTGGGCGGCAGTCTGCGAAGTTTCACCGAGTTCACACTGTACAAAGTTTCGCTTTGAGCGGACGTGCTCGCCGGGGTTTATCTTATCGCTTGTTTCTTTGACGCTAGAGAGAGATAATAAATGAAATCCTAATGAAATCGAGAGGAGACGAGGGGTCGGTACGTATGTTAGAAATTTCGCCGCAATTTTCTTACGTTTGTTTAATCGCGACAGACTTGTCGCGATCTGCTGAATTCGCTAGTCGAGAGGTATCGAGAGAACTCGAGAAGATATTGGGGACAAAAAGATGTGAGAGAGATGTCGAAGGTTCCGGAGGCAAGCAAGCGGTCTAGGTAAACTTTCGCTATACTTTTCACGTTTATTCAGTCGTAGTCGTCGTGTAGATTCGTAGTCAGGAAGAATCTCGCTATTCACTGAGCTTGCTTCTCGAGATGAGCATGTACGACAAAGGAGAAGAAAACGAAAAAGCGATACAGCGGGAATCTCAGCGGGAGAATTAAATTTTGTTTCATCAGAGAGTAAACACAAGCTTATGAAAGTACGATATACCCCCCGTTTTCACTTAAACGCGTTGATGAATTTTTACGAGCAGAGCAGAGCAGAGCGGAGCAGAGCAGAGCAGAGCAGAGCAGAGCAGAGCGCGACGTGCGTTTGCGATTGTAAGCAGGCTGTAGTTATTATTCACACGAGACAAATATTTACAATTACTACGCGTTGGCGCAATTTCCAATAATTATCCCGACAATGCTGCCCGCCGAACGGCCCGTCTCGCGGCTTTTGCGCCGCGGTGGGAGAGGGAAATTGATATTTGCGGCATTTAATAATCTTTAACAAGGTAACGCGCGCGCCCTCGATTGTCGCACGGGCTCGATTATAGCTCGCGTATTAATAACACGCGAAAGTAATTAATCGCGAACAGCCGCAATCGCTGCGCGCCTATAACGGATCGCGCGCTAACGACGAATTGTTGTGCACTTTTATTGTTTCCATTAAGTTCAAAAAATAATGCCGCGGCCGATAAGCCGCGCTGTTAAGCGCGCGATAGCCGGAGACTCGCTCGTCCGTTTAACTGGCTGGCCCCTTTTTTCCACACCCTTTGCATTTCCAGTGGCAAACAATTCCTTATTCCCGCTATTCGTGGAGGAAGGGAGAAGAGAGGAAGACGAGAAAAAAAAAGTGCCTTCTGTTTTATTTCCTATTCTCAGCTTCTCTCGAACACATCACTGATCGAGCTGTCTTCAGCGCCTGACTATCTTCGCCGACTATCTCGAGAAACAGATTACTCGGCAAGCTCGTTTATTAGGCCATCAACGCTCGGTCGCCAACGTGGGCGCATTATCCTCGCCAAGTCGACGCCAGGTCGACTTGGCGCGCATCCTGCGGATCCCAACCCCTGCGCGATCCGCGCGCGGACGCGGGACGCGACCCGTTTATCCCACTAACCCCGGGCAAGGATACTGCGCCGGCGGCACGCACTTCTCCGATGCCGGCTCGAACACCAGGGTGTTCGGGCACGTGAGATTGCCCATGATGGTGTAACGGGTACCATCCCAGTAGCACAGGTAATACCTCTTGCAGTTCACGTCCGGTATCTCGAATCTGCCGTATCGCACGCAAGGTAGCGCGGTGGTGGGCGGCATCAGCGTCGTCGTCGTCGTCGTCGTCGTGGTCGTCGTGGTCGTCGTCGTCGTTTGAAAGCACGTCGCCCCGGCTACGCACCTGCCCTGAGCAGGGTCGAACACGGCCGTGGGGGCGCATGAAAGTATCACCGCGACCAATTTCTCGCCGTCGTCCATGCACACGTAATAATTCCTGCACGTGCCGTCGTAGATCTCGAAGGCGCCGCCCTCTGTGCAGCTGATCGGTGCGCTCGTCTGCTGGCACGTCGCCCCGGCCACGCATTTTCTCAGGACCTCGTCGAACACCGCTCCGGGGGCGCACGCGAGCATCACCGGCAGCAGTCTCGAGCCGTCGTCCACGCATATGTAATAATTCTTGCACGTGCCGTCGTAGACGACGAAGGTGCCGATCTTCGGGCAGATTGGCGCCGCCGTCTGCGCCTCCGCGACTCTGATCAGGTAGTACGTCAGGAAGCACGACAGGGCGAAGATGAAGAAGAACCTCGCCATATCGCTCGCGTCTGCTCGCGTTGTTGCTGCACGGTCGACGCTGCAACGCTACTGTTTTCGCTCGCGCATTTACGCGCGGCGAGTTTTATCATTCGATCTTATCTCCTCACGAACTCGTCGCCCACGTTATCGTGGGCTGGTTTGAACTAGGATCTAAGCCAAGGTCATTGTCGCGCGTCTCTGGCCACATGTAGGCACAGATAACGCGATTCTTTGGTTTCATTGTTCGTGTCTCTTATCTGCACTCCGTTGCCCGAAACTTTCCACGAAAGTCTCTAATGTCGGTGTTCCTCAAGATTTGTCAAGATCGCTTTCTCTTGACCTCCTTGAAAGGGGTGGGTTTATTCAAGTCGAAAGAATAGGATTCAATTCAATTGAAGAGACATTTCTTTTTAATGCGACAATCGTATTGTTTTCCCTCTGCTGGAATTTTCTCTTGTGGAATTTTGCGGTACGTATTTGTTCATGTCATAGTAATGTTTGTTATATCCTTGTCGACGAGCGAATTGGAGAGAAAAATGTGTCATTCCAGAAATTGCTATTTTAAAATGGGGAATATCAGTGTGAGAAAATTGATATTAAAATTTTATTCGTTTTGTCACAGGAGCTAACGGACGATTGAACGGGGAACGGACGAAAATTGACATTTCAAAATACCTGAATTAAAAAAGAAAGATATTAAATATATCTAATTAATATATGTGTCTCGAGGAAATTAATCAAAGTTTTATTATAATCTTTATCTTTATTATAATCAAATATTTATTATAATAAAAATAAAAATAAAATAAAAATTATAATTACTATTAAGAGAATTATTATTATTATAACAATTATAGTTGTTCACAGTAGTGTTTTGCCAGTTCTACCAGTTCCCCGATTTTCTCTGAACGCAATCGAACAATAATTCGATGTCGTATATTATCAGCGCGACCCGCTGAACGATGAGAAATATGAGCGCCGCATGCTCGATGTCGTGAAATCGAGACGCGGCAGCTGGGACAAATCCCCGACGATTCTTTCCAGGTGAAACGATTCCGCGTGCACACACACGTGCTTTTGAACGCGACGACCTTACGGCGAGGAGGATCGAGGGTGAATCTACGGAATACAAAATCGCCAGAAAGCGACGAGAAAGCGACGCGCCTGGGTTTAGCGCCTGAACGTAACACTGCTCGCGGTGTTGTGCGTGCCGTGGCACGGTGCGTCGATTATGCGTGCATATTCCGCACGTCCATGCGCGCGCGCCGGGTCGAAATAGGTCGCGGCGTACGCGTATTCCGCGTATGTCTCGGAGATTTATGTTGCGTCTTGCCGTCGCCAGTTCGGAAACTCATTTTGCCGCTGTCGCTGCCACCACGGTGACTCCCGTTGATTGTATACGGAAGCTTAAACCGATGATTGAATTATACCAAGGATACTTTTGCACCGATGTGTAATTACGTACCTTCTCTCTCTACCTCGTTTCGTGTCGGCTTCCCGTCACGGCCGCTTTTCAGCGCTTTTCAAGGTGAAATCAATCGTATTAATATAATGATATAAAATTAATATGAATGAATGAAATTAATGTAATGTAAATTAATATAATAATTATCGATTAATATATAACTTTGTTTATTTTCATCTTTTCTTATTAAGCTTGCTTTACTTATTAACTGTGTGTTTATTTACATGTAACTTGTTTTTTCTTATCTTGCGTCTTATTTATTAACTTCACTTGTTAATTAAGAAGCGCGGTAAAACGGTCAACGCGACAAAACTTAACGCAGCAGGCAGCGATCGATCGTCGAGACCACTCGAGAAACTTTTACATCCACTCGACGGATATTTCAGTCCACGCGTCTCGAATTTACGCGGGTGCTTGCCTCCAGCATTCATCGTTATTGGAGGGTTCTCCCTCCAGGCGGACAAGGCGGATCCCTTCGTTCCTTCGCATAACAGCGATGTCGAAGTTATGATTAGGTTATCATTAGTTATGGTCGCAACAAGGATGAAGACTCCGTTTTCTCCGGAGTGGAGGAAAAGGTGCGAAGACGCAAGGAAGGAAGGAAGGACGCAAAGAGCGAGCGAGAGAGGGGTGACAGGTAAGAAGGAGAGAATCGCGCGGATGTATATAAGCGACTTGGGCCGAAGACGCTCCAATGGACTCTCTCTTTGACCCTGGTCAAGTGCGCGTCTTTCCTCCCATTTCCTCCACCTCGCCCCCCCCCCTCCCCCCGTCTCGCCCCCTCCGCACGTGTGATCGTGGTGCCGTTTCGATCCTGCGTCCTTCCACTTCAACCTTCACCTTCGCGTGGCGTGGAGGAGGATCCCGGGTCCTCGCGCTCTCTCGCCGGTCGCGCTCTCTGGCAGTGTCGCGAGGATGACGGAGTAGCAGCGAGAGAGTTTAGCGGGAGATATTCACGCAGTGTTGTCGCGATTTGACGAGAGACATAGGGGACGCGAGCAGTGAGATCTCGTTTTCCGCGTGCGACTTGTGACATGTTTCTAATGGGAAGGTCCTGACTGTGGGAGAGATGGATCCTCGAAGAGTGAGTAGCAGCAGCGATAGTAATAGTAAACGGAAGACGCCGCTTAGTTAGTTCGCTTATTCCGAGCACAAACGGCCGGCAGCAGGTAGTCGTCGGGTCAACGATATCGTCAACATCGACGTGACATCCTGAACTTATTGAATCGTTATCGACTTGCTGCTCGGTGATGACGCGATGAAATGTACGAAATGTTCGTGATCGGTTCGTGATTAAAAAACAAAAAAGCGCAGGTTTGTAGAAATTCATGAACGCGTCCTCTCGGTGAATTCCACATATCCATACTTCGACTCGGCTCGACCTTCACGCGTGAGGATAACGCGGCGAGTCGTGCGCCGCGAAGGATTGTGAGGTGCCGTGGAGGGTTTGTATAAAATAAAAAAATATGTCGCGTTTTCCAAAGCCAATGCAATTTATATCGCGTATAAGTGGAATAAACGCACGAGAGTCCGCACGAGAGGTCGTCTCGTCGGTGAAATCGCCTCGAATTTGTTTGCGTACTCGACACGCACGAGTTGACGAGTACCGTTGCAATTAATGGACCTCGTAATTACAATATATTGCAGATAATTATGGAGAAGTGGTAGCGGTAGCGCGCGCGCGTGTGTAATTTTGCGGGCAAGTTGGAAGCTTTGTCGTAATTGTTAAATAAAATAAAAAATTATATCCTTCAATTTCGAAGAAATTGATAATTTGTCTAGAAATCCAACGAGTACTTCTCACGTGCTTTTGATGGCCAAATTTTCTGGGAGAGAGTCTGATGGATGAATAACAAATATTTGGCGCCAGCCTGCTGTTACCTTGCAAAGTCTATCGCGACTCGACTCGACTCGACTCGACTCGACTCGTCTCAAATCTTCCTGAGATCTCCTTGGGACAGATTTCGCGGAAATCGGTATCGCCGGGGAAAACATCTGTAGTCATGTACTTTAATTAGCCCGCGCGCAGCGCAACGTTCGAAGTAGTATGTTAATGCTGTGTCTCGAAAGTAGCGGCTGATTTATGCGCGCCATGAATCGCCGATCGCGCACGAGACGAACAAATGACAAAGAGGTACGTCGCTTTCGAGGCGAACGATCAGGCCGTTTGGCGCGGCGCCAGTCGAAGAGGGAAACTCTAAGCGACCTAAATCTGTCGCTTCTCGATTCATACGCTTCATCTAGTTTCCGAACGCGGTTTCCGAAAACGTAACGATAAAATCGATAAAAGCGATAAAGAGAAGATATCGTTTCATATACTCAGAGTTCCGTGGCCTCGATATAATAATCGACGTTTAAAGTTGAAACTTGAAGCTTCGAACCTCTGAACGTTGCTCGAAGATTCGAAATACAGGGTGTCCGCGATTTTTTGGGAACAAACAATTGTGAAGATCAATTCAATCAAACTGAGAGGGAAAGTCATGTAAGTCATTTTACAAAAATCGTAATGGATTATTAATGACTGAAAATGACCACATCTAGAGGCTCTTTTAATTGTTAATGTGAAAATTTGCAAAATCGCGATAGCGATCAAAACCGCAATTATGTTTGCACCAACCTAATAATAACTATTGCGGTTTTTGCAAAATGCTATTCGAGTTTTCACAATTTCTCCAGTAGTGTACATCCAAGCTCCTAGTGAAACTTTAATAATGCACTTGTTTAGTCGCACGCACCTCCGAGTTCTCGAAATCCCGAACATTCACGCGCTCCTCGAATATTCATATTTTGAAATTGTGTTATTCGATGCCTCCCGAAGATTCGAAAAATTCGGAGCTTCGAAGAGCACCGAGGCTTCGAGTATAATTTACAGCAACTTCTTCTTCGCGCAAATGGAATCACTCTGCGCGCATGTTGATATTTCCGCTACGCGGGAAGAGCACAGCTCCGTTAGTGTAGGACTGAATTTCCTGTCGCAGTCCAGGGGAGCAGACAGGAATTCAGTTGTAGGAAAAGAACGATTCCTGCGGAAGGTTTCTCTACTCGGTACAATTGCTCTCAATTATCTCAATGGAGTTTTAATGTAGCCGCATATTCAGGCGAATGATTCGGTCGCGGTAACGGAAATACCGCTTCTCGTCGGCGAGTTTTCGCCCTCAGTCCTCATTCAGTTGCACGACTGAAGAATTTATTCCCAGGAAAGGTAGGATTGTCTTAGTTCGAACGTTTTCTCGGTTTTTCTCACTCGTTCAATCAAGGATCGAAGTACTCCTCTCGTTCCGTGGAGTGTAGAGTTCCGCGCGATATTAAGCTCGTCGCTTCAGATTCAGCTCGAGGTGTCACCACTGATAACGGATGAGGCCGTAGGAGCGCGAGAAATCCTCCTCTCCGAGGAGGAGGAGATTTTAGGCTTACTTTCTATTGTCACGCTTTATCGGGCCGGTTATGATTGAAGCGAAGCCGGTGCGCGAACACCTTCACGCGTGTCCTTCACACATCTGCAAACGAACGTGAGAGAAGAGCTACTTATCCACTTCGAGTCGGCGCGGCGTTTCCAAACTTTCAAACGCAGGAACCGCGAGTACTGGGTCAGAGTCGAAAAGTTCGCACCGACCGGCGATGACGACGTCGCGTCCTATCCTAGCGCGAGTGACAGAGCAGATCCTGCGTCCTGCCGTCGGATCGTCGGCGAAGGATCACTGACGAGGATCGACGAGTCGATCGATAGTCAACGACGATTAATGGCGAACAAATTGCTCGTCGCAGCCAAGCTGATGAATAATGAATAATGAATTGAACGAGGAATAATGAATTGGCACCGACTGGATGAAATTCGAATAAAAAATTCGACCGGCTGAATGACGCGTCGAATCGGGGAGCGAGAGAAAGAGAAAGAAAAACGGTGTCAGCACTCTCCTCGTGACGTTCAGCAATTTGTCAACATCGCGGCTCCAAGTGGATGTATCGGAAACTCGCGTGCTTTAACTTACACACACACACACACACACACACACACACACACACACACACGAGTGACGCAACGCCTCGCTTGCCTCGCGGCGCGTCGTTAGTCCGAAGAAGCGCGACGAGTGAGTCGACGATCGCGTTGACAAAATAAAGGTGAAACCTTCTTCCGTTTGTCAGACGCATTTTCTCGCTCGTCGACGACGACGGCGACGGCGACGATGACGAGAGCTGTCAATACCGACGCACTCGTCGCCAATGTGGGTCAGGCTTTCTTTTATTTTACGAAGCATTTCCCAATGTAATCTGAATTCGGCCTTTATTCTCTCTATGTATACAAAAGAGAAAATTTATTATTAAAATCAATAAGATTTGCATTATACATATATGTAACATATAATCTCTTTAACTTTAAGAATAATGTATTTGTAATATTTTCCTCTTAATCTTGGAGGAATCATCTTGAAGCGTCCATACGTAAGAACAAAATTGCCTCTGAAATTTAGATGATCCCGCTTGTTCTGAAATTACTTTTCTTTTTTGGGTGTATAGTTCATTGCTCGGTCTTGAGCTTCGATCAGCTGCGATAAAATTAGCTGCGATTTGCTCGCGCAGGCACTGGACGCGCGTTCAACCGGAGCGATTCGCGACGAAAATATGACGACGTTAACTCTCTCCTTCCCGACGCTCCTGCGATTGTCACCCGCGCCTCCGAGAAGCACCGTTAGCGCCCGTCTCCTCTTCAAGCTCTCGTCGAGGTCCCCTCAATTTTCACCCGGCCGTTCCCACGGGATCGCCGAGACCCGGCGAGATCTTGGAATTTGGAAACTGTGAAAAGTGACTACGTCCTCGATCTCGAACGTAATCCGCGTGATGTCCCTCTCGAAATTCGTCGGGAACTCGAAATCCTTCAGCTTGAAACTACCGACGCTTAACGTGATCGGCCTCCACCGAGGTGGCCGAAGCGACAGGTTTTGGAAAAAATACTATGCAAAAAATATTATGCAAAGGCAAGGGTGTTTATTTATCTCTCGGAGCTTCAATGTCCGTGAGAAAAGAGAAATAGAAAAATAGAAAACGCATCGTTGTGCAAATTTCAGTGACCCTTACGAGAACCATCGTTCTCGATCGCTCGGCAGCTCTAGCGTTAATCGGCAATTCCATCAACGTCGCTCGCGAAGGAAATGCGCGGCGCAGTCTCGCGGAGGATCGATCGAAAGTTTCGTACGTCGATTTCACGGGATTTCTCGCCGATCAATGATAATCGTTTCATTTCGGCCGACGTTATCCCAAGTAACGAGAGCGCAGCCTCGTGATCGGTGGCGTTTCGTCTCGATTAGCATCGGTGTTCATTTTCCGACACACACACACACACACACACACGTACACACATACTCGCGCTCACACTTCCACGCGCGCGGTCCCGCGTTACATCGTCTTCTTTCACTGCGGGCTCTTCGACTCTCGTAATACCCACAGCCCACTTACCTACATTACGCGTGTATGTGCCCGCCACATCCACCGTTTGGTGACGACTTTGCGCGCGCGTGCGAGCGCAGTGGCGTAATCAATTTTAATAATCGGATATTTCAGTAATGAACTTCTCTCTCTCTCTCTCTCTTTCTCTCTCTCTCTCTCTCTCTCTCTCTCTCTCTCTCTCTCTCTCTCCGTATGAGATGTTCTTAATGACGAAGCGGCCACTGTCAGTGCTTGTGGGCTTGCTACTTTCGGTCGGACGTTCATTAGTATCTGTGACGCGTACACGCGTGTTACATCAATATCCGACTGTCATGAACGTTGGTAGTAATTTGCTACCGCGATCGCTCATTAACACGAGTGATTATTCTTTATTGATTTTTACCGCGACATTTCCCAATTCGAAACGACGCGGGACGAGAAGAACGAACGGTGCACTTTCATCAATTTATGCGCTGAGAAAAAAGTCCGACAAATATTCCAAAGCAGGAAATTGGCGTAGGTTGGCGGGTGGTGAGGAGGGGGGGGGGGGAAACAAAGAGGATCAAGTTGCAACGAGCAATTACAGGCGGTCGTAACCGCCGGGAGAGATTAGCGTCGATGGTAATGATATGATTTCCGCTTGGGGGAAAAATTAGGGCTTGAAGAGCGCCGTACAATTTGCGCGAGATTCTGATCGTTCTCCTCGCTCACTGCGTGGATTCCCGTCGATTCGGCTCGGCTCGCTTCGCTGTTCTCACAGATTTACGGCGCCTCAATCGCGCCACGGCCACGTGGTTACGCTGCTGCGCGAATGCGCCCGTGCGCGTTTTCTCATCTTGCATCTCTTTTGTGTCAAGACCCCGTGATCCCGCGCTGTGGTCGGGAGCGACGTATCGCCGCGGCTCGGCGGGGCCGTAATCTTTCCTCTAAACGAGCGTGACGACTCGTTTGACGATTAGAGAAAAGAGAAGAGACGAGCAACGCTGGTAGCACAGGGACGGTGGAGGGGAGGGGGTTAGCGAGAGAATTATCCGGACTCTGCTCGATCACGCGACGAATGTCCGCTTGTCGATGAGAATCATGATGATGATGATGATGATGATGATGATAGTGATGATAATGATGACCGGTGTGCCAAATCCGCGTGTTCTCATCAGCCCAGCTGTTCCCTCATCGATCGATGGCCGAGAAATCGAATCTATCTGCTCGGATCCCGACTGGACGCCCGCCCCGTCCTTGATCTCGCGGATCGCTATTCTTCTTCGAGCCGCGTGTCCGTCTAATAGCTGCCGGGTATTCGTAGCCTACTCTGACTCCTCTCATTAAGCAGCCGCCTGTCGGGAGAAACAGTGTCGCGGTGCTATATCGCGCCACCGCGAGCACGAAGGTGTCGACGCGCCGTCGCGACGTCGGCGAGCAAGAAAGAGGCAGCGGAGAGACGTGGGATATCGCGGATGCTGAATATTCAAGCTCAGCGCGCGAGAGATTCGCGCAGACGAACCGAGCTCGTTCAGGAGCTCGCCATGTTATTATTATTATTATTACACACATCCCACACACACACACACACACACACACACACACACACACACAGGAGCAAACCGGCGTAAAACTGAGTATCGCGAGCGACTTTTCGTTCTTCATCATGCGATTATGCGCGACGTTGTACTCACATTGTCCGCGACAATTTGCATAATGCACGGCTGCGGCGCGTGTAACGCGCCATTAGACGCGCGAAAGCCGCGCGTCTGTCTCTCTCCTCTTTTTTCCGTTTCTTCACTTTCCTACGCGGCTTCCGGCTCGCGGACCGAGTGAACACGGTCACCTACGCGATTACTCTCGTTCTCGCTCTCACGGAAGAGACAGGGTGCTGCGAAAGACGGACTGAAAGACCGAGAGACAGAGAGAGAGAGAGAGAGAGAGAGAGAGAGAGAGAGAGAGAGAGAGAAGGGGTGACAGTATATACACACGTGGCCGAGCATGCGAAGAACTGGCACGTGAAGCTCTCCCTTCGGCGTCTCTTGTTCAATTGACGTGGGAGAATCTCATCGCACGGCGACTCGCGCGAGCGGAATGCCGCGAGTCCTCGAATCCTCCCGTCCGCCGCGCCGCGCCGCGCTTCGTTCGTCTCTCCCGGCTCTCCGAGCCGAATTTCGTCCGCGGAAACTGAAAGAAATCTGCGTTACCATTCGGTTCGGTTTCGTTTCGGTCCCGCGGGAAACGCGGGGAACTTCTGACTCCTGGCGGACGAAATTCGCTTCCGAGAACCGGAATTCTTTTCCCTCAGGCAGGACGCGTTCGGTGCTCTTCGCGGAGTCTCTCCTCGTCTTCGTTGCCGGCGCGAGATCACTGCGCGAGCAATCTCAATGACGCACACGGCTAGTTTCTCGAGTCTCATCGCTGATATCGCTGAGTTCCCGTGCCTTTTGACCCCCGGTCGCCTCTCTGCATCGGTAATGACTGGCTGACATACGGCTGGCCGTATTTTCCTCGAGCGCTGAATGATTGCGAATGTATTCCTGCAGCTCGCAGAGTCGCGGCAGCCAGCTCGATGGCGTCCTCGCTCGTTCTGAAGGCCCGTTTTGGAATTTCACTGCGCTACGCGTTTCCTCGCCGACCTGCGCACGCGCGCGCGCGCGCGCGCGCGCGCGGCCGGAGCCCCCGAAGTGGCGCGTTAAAGCGGGGTAATCAGCTGAATCCAGGACTAAGGAGAGGAAAACCGAGTCCCAACGAGGACTCCGCTGCCGCGGAGCGACGAAGGAGAGAAGACGTGTCTTAGTTTCGCGCACGGCATACATAATCCACGGCGACGCAGAACGATTCTCACGGGCCGACCCACTTCGCTCGCTCGCTCGCTCGCGCGCTCGCGCGCGCGCGCGGCTTATTCTCCTTTCCGTCCCGCCATTGACTACTCTGTCGCGGGAAGTATACATAATAACATAACGCGCGCGGGCTTTCGTTCGCCAAATGATACCTCGAGTGATATCGACGTGGTGTCGCCACGAGAGCGCGGAGAAAGACCGCTGTTGGTGCGCGCGCGACCATCAATTTCAACGACCACCATGCGCGTACCCCTCATCTCGTATGTTTCTCTTCGTCCTCTGTGCGCACGCAGAGGGTTCGCGGCGCCTCAGCCGGCAGGGTAATCTGCAGGCAGCGACAAATCCGGTCGCATCGAAGGCACGTCTTGGCTAAGGAAGTGGATTTCCGATACGCAGAGGCGGATTTCGTCCGCAGGAGTAAAAGAACTTCCGTTTGCGACTTTGTTCCGTTTCCTGCGGAATCGGAGCAAAGTCGCAAGACAGTAAGATACAGGTATTCCGGATCCATGGCCCAAAAAACCAGAAATTCCGCTGCTTTCAGCGGAAATGCGCCTGGTGCCAGGTTGATCCTTCGGGCTAGTTCGACCGATCCTTCCTCCCCATGCGCAAGATTACGACTTTAATGCGACGCCCTCTCGCGTTCCAGGTCTTGCTGTTTTCAGCGTTGCTGGCATGCGCTCTCGGCGCATCGCCGTCGTCCTTCAAGAACGCCCGGGACATGGAACGGCCGGACCTGGCTCGACGCGCTCGCAGGATCGGCTTGAACGAGTACCTGGTCCCACCGCCACCGCCAAAGTTCCCGCCCGGCAGGACCGCGAGGTTGGTACCTCCGACCGAGTCGGGCTACTTCTCCAAGCTGATGAGCTGGTTGAACCCCTTCAACTACGTTCCTTCGTCGCAATCGCCGCCGCTACCGCCACCGCCACCGCCACCGCCGCGTCTCGAAGCTCACCCCCATCAGCCGAAGTTCATCCAACCTCCTCCTCCTCTCCCGCCGATTTCCGGCTCATCCGCGAGCGGTTATGGTGACTCGTCGCCTCCGATTTACGACAGGCCACCTTTACCGCCGATCTTCAACCACCATTCCACGGAGCATCACGCCCCGAAGAGGAACTGCAATCCCTGCGACAAAGTGCCTTGGGTGCCGATCAACGCCGACGCGCCTCATCACTCGTCGGCCGACGCGTCCTTCGTCGCAGCACCGTCGCTGCCGTCGCTGCCGCTGCAGTCGTCACCCTCGGGCGGGGGCTACTTACCACCCCAAAACCCTAGCACTCATGACGCCTACCACGCTGCCTCGCAACAAGTCCGGGCTCCAGACCTCTCGTTCGCGCCACCGTCGTCCACCGCGAGCCAGAACGCGGCCTTGCTCAGTCCGCTACCGAGTCCACAATTATACCCCGGAGCGAGCCCTCCGCTCTTTCAAGCGACGGACTTTAATTACCCCGTCCAGCTACCCACTCTAGGCGGAATCGCGGAGTACCTGGACGCAGCCCCACCGTCTGGCAACGATCCCCTCTTGAGCAATGACGTCTTCCCGACTGTAGCGGCTTCGGCTCCTAATAACGCGCATCTTCGGCAAAACATCTATCCGAGTGGCTCCTGGGCTCACTCGAGTCCAGGGCTCGCTCATCAGGATTTCGGCTACACCCCTACTGGCGCGAGCAACAGTGGATTGGGAGAGCCGCACGTTCAGAGTCTCGGCGGTCATGGTGATTTGTTCTCCAGCGGCAGCCAGGTCACTCAAGGTCATGCGGTGGATCCTGCGGTGAACGCGCAAAAATTCGACGACACCGTGGGTCATCATCGAGTCACGCTCGGTCCTACGGATCAGCGAGGCTTCTTCGGCGGTTTGGCTGTCGCGGATCATCAGTCTTTGGGAGCGGGAGCGGGAGCGGGCGATCTTCTCGATAACTCCAGCAGGATCGTCCCGAATCCCCCCAGTAACTATGGAATTTCCGGCCTGGACCGGCCGCCGAACAATTACGAGCATCGCTACAACGACTTGTCCTCCAGCAGCAGCGTCGTTACGGATTCCCACGCGCCTCCGCGCGCCGCGGATGGATCTGCCGCGAAGATTGAAGATCCAATACATTTTGAAGAGTCACCGTTGCTAGATCTCACGCACAAAGGTGAAAGTCGGACGGACTTGTCCCCGATACCGCCGACCTCTAACGCGCTCACGGACTCGAACGAGAGTGCCGAGACCGGCCGCGCTGCGACGACCTTGCCGCCCGGCGTCGAGCTCTTCGGCGTCGGCGGTGTTCCAGGTGCTCCCGCCTACACGGAGTCGCGCTTCCCCGCGAACGGCCTGCTGAAGACGATCGAGTTGTCGGGGTCGCTCGACCCCGACAAGTCGAACTCGATCGACGAGAGCGCGAACGCTCAGGTCGCCAGCGGTGTTTACCACGGCCCGAGAACGGAGCCCGGAGAACAGAAAGTCTCCTACTTTCAGTCGCTCAGTCACAGCTTGACGGGATACTTCCGACCAGATGTCTCGTCGACGACTTCGAGGAGCACGGAGAGAGGATCGTTCTGGGGCTCCTCGGCGAACGTTTACGTTGACGGCCAGCAGGCTGAGTATGATGGCTCGGCTGAAAATGTCGACGTCGATGCCGAGGACACGAACGACACTCGGGACGTCAGCCAGCAGGGCCCGAAGAGAAATAAAAAGGTGACGCTGAAAGCTCGGTCGAGTAGAGGCTCGGTCGCGGTGTCTCAAGGAGGGCACGTTTCTTATTACCTTTTTATCGTTTGCAATTTGAATTATTTAGGTGCAGGTAATTATACCGTACACGTCGAAGCACACGCCGGTTCCGTTCCAGCCGGTGCGCGAGCAGAATTACGGGCGAAAGGTCTCCTACAGAGGCGACTCCGGCCGCGACAATTACGTGAGCGAAGAGTCGCGGAGCAAGATTAAAGTGACCGATCTGCCGGTGAACCCCAGCCGTCGTAAGCACCCGCAGACGTGGCAGAACGCGACTGTTGCGATATCGGAAGAAGTCACCGGCAAGCCGGCGGCCGGCATTAAGGTGAACAACTCCATAGACGTGCACAGACTGCAGAAGAACATCGACAATTGGACGATACAGGCATGTCCGCAAACGTGTTCAACCCTGAAATTCAATTCAGCTCGATCCGAGCTGTCCCGACTGACCTCTTTCTTGCTTCCTTTGCAAGCCTTTGCGCGGCTAAGTGCATACACTTTTACCACCTCTTTTCATCTTTCATTTGTACAATGTACTGTTCACAGTTCAACGAAAATAAGTATGACCTCACATTTTTCTGATATATTAACACTCGCTTTATAATACGTTATTAATATAATACGTTTCCCATGATTCTTACGTCCGTCTCGTCCATTTCTATTTATTTATTTATAGATATAAAATAAAATAAAATTAATATATAATATAAATATAAAATAAAATAAAGTTGAGGGGAACAATTTAAAAATAATCAATCTCTGGGAGATGATGTTTGAGAGATGTGTGGAAGTCGAAAATTTTACTGAATGATGGCGATCTTGTGAGAGATATCAGCGCTGTAGGTGTAATCTCACGGGTGCTCGATTTAGGAATACTCGAAGGGCACAACCGCCAGCACGATATCGCCCAGCTCCGCCAAGACGTATCTCTTCCCCTCGAAGCAGATTCCGGACAAGTACCTGACAACCACCGAGCCCATCGATCACGCGGACGATTCCCGAAACGTCAAGGACGAAAGCGTCAAGAGCTTCACGTTGGGCGGCTTCAGCTTCAACGATCAGAAATACGAGGCCTCGTCCAGCAACCGCGTGGAGGGACCTCGGATACAAGTAACTAAGCGACAGCTCAGAGAGGTCGGCGAGCCGAATCTTGAACGATCGTCCGCGACACCTCCTCCGTGTTTCTTGTTCAAGGTGATAATAGGAGACAAGGATCAACACAAGGTCTCCAGCGAAGGCTCCGTCGACATCGTCACCGCACGTACCATTAACGATCACTTCACATGGCAAGGTTTCCCCATGGACTTTTCTTTGGTGAGCAAGGAACGGGTGTACGTGGTGACGCCTCAGCCTGTCGTGACTACTCCCAGGACGACGACGACGATGGCGGTGGAGAGGAGCCCGAAAGCCTCGACAGAGGCTTCGGAGGTTGACACCGACACCGGGGTGATAACGAACAGGACCGACCCGTTCGAGTCGATCGAGAAGGCCTACCAGGTGCTGCCTCAGGCTGTGAATAACTTGGCGGTGGCTTCCACCGGTCCCGACAGTGTTCCACTCTGGGGCATCATGGAGCACGAGGAGTTCGGCTCGCTCGGCGATAGCGACCAGGACGATCACGAGGACGAAGCTGAGATCCCTGTGCTGTACGAAGGACACTCGAAGGCACGTGTCGCCGTTGGTCGGAATGACCTCTCTATACGGAGAAGCAAAGATTGGTTGCATTGATTGAGACGATTGAGGCGAACGAAAGGCGGCTTGGCGGAAGGAAACAGGATTTCATTTTCTCAGACTTCATTCTTAGGACTGAATTTCGTAAGAACCAGCAGTTGCGCTTCCAAAACGCCTTTGGTTCGTTCATCGTCGCGCGAATTCCGCGACCGGTTGCTCTTCCTCCTCGAGTATCCTCGACATTTTTAACAGTCTCTGCGTGTCTCTTACAGGTGTCGCGTGCCAGGCGATGACGCATCTACATGGAGAATGCTAAAGACAATTGTTGGTGCGTACGTGGACAGAGTGCCTGATAGTGTGTGTTTCATTTCTTGAACTTCGAGCGCGTTTCACGATTCCCTCCCTCGATTCGACGACATCTTCGTCGCGAACGGCTTCGTGCCTCGAGCTTACGAGGTAAGGTTACGTAGTAAGTGATTATCGTGGCCAGTACTGCGGATCGATGTATCTCGTGATCCGGACGAGTGTCTTTTTGTAAGTTTCCATCAAAAGTAACCCCACAATAAATCCCGGTCGATTTTACCCGGTGGGTCAAATCGCGAGCGTCGTCACGTCGATTCTCCTCCACGTCGTCTCCTTCCCCGTCCTCGCACCTCAGCTTTAGAAACCCGTTTCGGTTCTCGCCGCATAGTCTGGTCGCGTTCACCCGTCCACCTTAATCCTCCGTTCGCCGTCCGGCCACGTTCGATCGTCACTTTCGCCGATTTCCAGCAAAGCTGGATGTCCGCCAACAAGTGTCACGACTATTTGCACACCGCGCGTGTCGCGCATACATGCGCATACACGCAGTTGTGCGGTGAAAGGAGACCCGGGAGCGCCGGGAATTTCGAGCACCTTCTTCCGTTTCGTTTGTTTCATGCAAAATCGTCAGAGAGAGAGAGAGAGAGAGAGAGAGAGAGAGAGAGAGAGAGTGAGACAACAATACGACGTTTGACAAAAGCATTCTGCATATGCATGTGCACATCGTGCTTCTTTTGGACTCTGGTCTCCTCGGACGCGGTGCAAATAGAAATAACTTTTCTACACACAGAAAAATATTGGATTAATCGAAAAGTTCCCTCGGGCTCTCGTTTATCATTTTTCACCGAAGAAATCCTTTCTGGTTAATCCTAATACTGCATTCGCGGATCTTCCAGTCATCCAAGCATCGAGTCTACTCAAAATACGTTTTGAATTTTGATAAACTTAGCACAAACTTCACAATCGAGAAATGTTAAATTAAATAGATGCTACATTCGATATTAGATATTAAATTAAATAAATATTAATTCACTTCTAAGTTCAAGCAATCCTTCAGTTTACTTCCTACAGAGATTACAAGTTTCATGATATTCTCTAAAGAGGAAGAATGGTTTGTGTGAAAGTTGTAGTGTATATCATACTCTTTGCAGCTGTGTATTCAGAGTTTGCAAAATTGGTGGAGGGCCGAGGGGATTTAAAAAATGTTTAAATTTTGCGAAATCTGAATACACGCAGTTGCAAAGAGTATAAAATACCCTATAACTTTTATATAAACCATGTTTGCACATATGCCTCGTATTTTAAAAGATATACGCTAGAAATGAAAATGATTTTCTTGCTCGAAAGGTGGTTTCATCCCCTTAGACTGGAATTCCGCGCGAACAAAAAATAGTTTTGCATTACGGATAAACTACTTTACTTTCACACAAAGTTTCAGAATCTTTTGAACTTCCCTATGTTTCCTCGCGAGTAATCGCTTTCCTCAGCAGTAGAACGATATTTTTCTCTGTGTACGCTTCACTTCCCGCGTCAGGGGAAAATCGAGTGATATCGCGCTGCGATAGAGATCATGGAGATTTAATGAGCGAGAAGCCGGTGCGAGAGCCAGATGAATGTGTAACAGCGCTGAATAGATCGGCCGGCTCGATGCAACACTATCTACATTTCATTGACCTTCGAACTTCCTTTCCGGGTCTCTTGAAGAGGAGATCGCACGTTGCCCGTCGCGGCGAGAGACGTGAGAACTGCCGCCGGAAGGAGGTGGGAAAAGGCGTTCCATTGTCTGTACAGTGTGTATCGTGGCTGTTCGTCTCGAACACTCCAGCCGCCGACAATGTCGCCGAGGCGGCCGAGGCGCTGTAATTAGAGCCACTTTTGCGGTAAATGATATCGAACAAGGACACGGCCTTAATTGCGAGCGTAGCCCCCGCGCGCGGGGGAGAAGTTCTAACGCGCCGTCTAACATAACAGACGCGTAGGGACTTTTAATTTCCTTTCACGCTTCGCACGTGAAGTCGAGAGAATCGCGTACGTTGAGTTCTTGTGACTCTTCCTCCGCGCTTTTCAAGTTGACTCACAGCCGCGCTCTCTTACACGACGACAAGTGGTGTGTGTGTGTGTGTGTGTGTGTGTGTAGTCGCGAATAATTTATTTACAGAGGCGTACTATTATTCGGTGTGTTACTACGAAGTCATGGAATCGGACGACTTCGCTGTCCAGCGTGTTCGCCTCATCCGAATGACCATCTCCGTCAGCCACATAATCACCGTGACGCCGGTCACAGAGTTGATGAGAATGATGCAGGGGGTGTAGCTGCCGACGCTGTCTCGTATCAAACCTGCAACAAGTCGATCCTTCTCTCCGGTATTCGTCCACGCCAGTGTCCACGTGTAGAAAAAAAATCTCATTTCCAGAAAGTGTGAGCAGAGGAAGAGGGAGCAAAACGTCTCGGCGGACGAGAAACGATATTTCTGTCGTCGAGAAAATTCCTCCGAACAATAATCAGCCGTCGTCATCATCGAAAAGAGCGCAGAGAGCAGAGGACAAATTGAGGACAATTGATCGAGAGATTAGAAACCTCCTTCGGTGATCTTTCTGTTCCTGCGAGCATCCTCCCACTTGGCCCCTACGCGAACTTCCCAAGCGACGGAAAATTCAATCACTCCGCGACGGAACTGTCTTTGCTGTGTAAGGCAAAGGTCTTTTGCAAGGTAAAAGACGACATCGTTGAGAGAAATTGACACGAGAAGCGGGACGAATATATTCCCTTACCGATTACGGGGCCGACGCATGTGAGGATGATCCCGTTGGTCAGCATCTGGATCGCCGAGGCGCTAGGTAATTTCTCGATGGGCACGTAACTGGGGATCACCAGGACCATGTAAACCGATCGGATCCCTTTGGCTATTCCCAGACCGACCGCCACGATCATCACCGAGGTAATGCTGTTGGCGAAGAGCAGCACTGCGTCGGGAAACAAACAAGAAGACAATCGGGAAAGCTCGTCGTTTCTCGCGCTCCCCCCTATCCTACCTCCTTTCTCTTCGTCTAATCGAAATTCAATAACGAGGTGTATAATCGGTATATACGTTACAGGTTCGGCTAATTATCAGAAGGCACAGGCTCAGCAGGTACATCATCCTAGCCGACTGACGCAGCCACTCCCCCAGGAAGGGAGCGGCGCCTCTGCTAATAAGATCGCTCGTCGCGATGAGGCTCATGGCGCTGGCAATTTCTGCCGTCGTCATGTTCATGTCGGCCAGAATGAACGGCGTCAGTAGTGAGAAGTTGGCCTCCGCGAAAATCGCCACCGACATCCCCAACATCATGTTCACGTAGGTTGAGTCGCGCAGCAGATCGAGATCGTACATGGCAGCCAACCATCGCAGAAATCGCCTGACGATGGACTCATTTTCCTCGCTGCAACGTGATCGTCACGCGTATCACGCGTTGTACGAGAAAAATAAATATGAGGCAGTAAATAAAAATAGTTAATTTTCCTTTCCATCGCGCGTCTCGTCGAACGAAGGTCGCATCTGTAGCGCCAGCTATTATTCTCTTTCGTTTCGTGAGCCATTTGTTAATTCATTAACAGTTGCTATTTGATTTTATTTTACTCCCCTTCGTCGAATAAAATATCGTCGGCTAAAATTATTCGAATTATCATACATGACTTCATCTTTTTGTCTTCAACGTCTAATTTCTCCACCGGTATGTCATCCGTGACTCGAAGAGAAAAAAAAATAATTCTAATACTAATCTGGGTGTCCTCTGAGAAATTAAACAGGTTGATCCTTTGATTGAAAAATGTCTGTGAAACAACAGACAAAGTCGCGATTTACGTACTTGTCGTCGTCGTCGTCGTCGCCATTCACTACGGTCGAAGAGTTGACGGCCTTTTTCTCAACCAGCGATTCTTTCTCCACGTTCTGACAATTTCCATTCGCCTCGTTGCCGTCGATGAAGGTCAGTTTTTTTGTTATCGGCACAGACTCCTCGAAGATCTTCATGCTGCTGCCGAGATTGACGCTGTTTATACTTTTCGCTAAAAATATACAAGGGGCTGTCATATTGCTCGCGGCCTTCACGATCCTCCGAAGAAGTCGAAGTCGACTTTTCCTCGGTGAAAATCTATTTAGACGCCATAGTTCGGAAATTGAAAGTTCAGGATAAATATAACTTTTCTCTTTTGGATTTCCACCGAGAGGAAAAGTCGATTCTGCGTGTTTCTAACGACTATAAGCGATCGCTACGATCTCATAGTTACTCGAATTCGACCATGGATGCCTCAGGTATTTGCGGCTGTCTTGCAAATTCGTCGTCGACGTCCCGTTTAATATCGACATTTCGATATCGTAATTCGCTTCGTACGAGGCGTCTGAAACATGAAATTGCCGGCATTACGCCGAAATCGAACTCGTTTCTCCGTTAATTTATAATTCGGCATAAATCGGCCCGTACTTATCCTAGCCTCTACGGAAGTCTGACGAGGTAGAGGCGTATCGAACCCGTAGATGCTTCCGACCTCGCTATCGTGATCGATGGTCGACATTTTTCTCTTCCTTTGATAATTGTTTGCCGTCGGTCTGGAAGATTGCAGCGCCGTCTCGTCCTCCGCGATAACGCTTGACGTGTCTGCGCGAAATTGAGAATTGTTTATCAGACAGCCGGAAGGGGAAGGGGGGGAGAGAGAGAGAGAGAGAGAGAGAGAGAGAGAGAATTCCCAATGTCGATGCAATGAATGTTTGCTGAATTGAATTTAGTGAATTTACTGAATTAATAAAGTTAATAAAGTTAATGAGTACCTTTTTCGGCATTGTTGAAAATGTCGGGCGCTTTAGCGACCGATTCTAGGCAGAGAGGCACAGTTTTCATGTGCCACTTAAGCGGGTGTAATAACGCAGCGCCCACCAATGAGTGTAGACTGTAACCGCCGAGCAACAAGATCGTCCCCTGTTTGAGATTAGTGCTGTCAATATAAACCGGGTATTTCTATGATCTTGATACCCGGAGGGATCTCTGGTACCATCCGGATACCTGAACTCTGCACGTGCGCGGACGTGCAGAAATCAAGAGCACCGCCAGAGTACCGACCGAAGCGTTCGAGTAATTTGACAAATACTCAGGCAGCAGCAGCTAGCCGAGCAGCATTCTCGCACCCAAACTCACGTGCATTACCTGGGTCTCCAGATACCAAGGCAGGTTAATTTGAGGTAAATACCCGGATGACACTCGAAGCACTCGGGTATCCGGAATTGACACCACTATTTGAACTATTTTCACGCTTTTCCGGTCACGAGTATCCTTCGGCGGCGACAAGTCGCGAATAATAAACAGGGGGCGAAGAGAAGGAAATGGAAGAGAAGCACGTCTGGTCCGTTAAACTAGCCAGCGTAAAATCGGCAATTCGGCGCGCGGGGGGGATCGCGATCACTGTCGCAACATTAACCACCGATCGTGTTCGCGGCGGAATAAACGATGCCGACCCACATCGATAAGTAATCGTTGCGGCGCGTTACGAACGATCGGCTTCAAACGCCTGGCCGGCGTTATCGAAGTCGCGCGTGCAAGACAACGCACTAGGAGAGGCGTTATATTTCCTGCGCCCTTTTCGCGCTCCCTCGACGCGAGCCTTTCATGCTGATAACGCCGAGAGAAACGCTTCTCAGCGCTTCAGAACGCTTTCTCAGCGGACGTGTTACTTCCTTCGCACTCGCCGCGGAGACTCGCGCTCGGTACCTGAATGCCGTAAAACGACAGCAGAAAGGACGTCACTTGCGGCATGATGATCGGCCCGAGGCCCGTGACAGTCACGGCCAGGCCCATGGCCCGTGTCCGTCTCGTGGTGAAGTAGGTATTCACCGCCAGGGAAAATCCGGACATCGACATTCCTAAGCCGACAGCTGTGAGAAAGGAGCGCTAGTAAGACCAACGGTGGTTGATCCGCGCGAGCGCGAGCGCGCGCCGTGGAGAAATTTGTACGAGGCTCTAATAATCATCTATGTGTATCTATTGTGTCCCGTCTGTAAGGAAGGTAACGCTTCTGATCGCGCTCGTAACCACAGACTTGTGTATCAGGTTGCTGCAAAAATAAATAAATTTCCTGCGGTTTTAATCATTTTAAGTTTGGCGCCGATTTCTTCCAGTTTCTGCCATCTTTTCCGGAATTCTATCTTGTAGGAATAAACAAACTTGTTTTCCGTTGGGAGAAATGTGCGCGGGACAATGGTCTTTCTATTGATTAATAAATATAATTTATAACTGATATTATGCTCGATACGTAAAAACCGCAATTATTTTTGCACCAACCTAATACGCAGACTGCGTTTCCTGATGAACGAGACAAGTTGAAGACAAGATATAAAGGATAGCTACGTGTAGAAATTTACGCCCGCGTAACGCGGCGCTCGTCGAGCACCTGGACTCCTCTTGTCTTACTCACAGGTCAGCAGGCCGTAAGAGATGATGATGAAGGTAAGGTTGTTGGCAAACGTCGTCAATATCAGTCCGAGCGTGAACAGTACGCTTCCGATCACTGACACCTTCCTGTAGCCATAGGTCTTGAGGAGCGGCCCGTTGAACAAACCGAATATCATACCGAATGCGAAGTTCACGTTGATTATGACCGCCGTGTTAGTCGCGGTGAGATTGAGCTTGGTGAAGGAGTCCTTGAACACCAAGCCGAACGTCTGTATCACCGGGATGGTCGATAACTACGGAATAATGATCCTCGGATTATTGCGCTGCCGCGTCCGTCTCTCGTCTCCCGGGACTCCCCCGGCGAAGACAGCCTGATCGATCTGAATTCATTGGAAGCCTGCGTCTCTCTCATTTAGGCTACGATATCATTTCGTCGAATCAAAAATCGCTTCGTTAAAATCGTATCAGCTGCGAATTTGCAGTTGTGTATGCTCAAGGATAGAAGCGAGGATATCCATAACTCGAGATAACTCAAGAAGCCGGGAACGGACGATCCTTGGATCGTTTGTGATGTAATTACGGTCTTTCATGGATCAGTCTCGTTTTCGAGACGGAGACTTACACTGTTCAACACATAAGCCATGACGATTATCCATCCCCAGCCTCCGTTCGGCGGTACTTTGGTGGACATTTCGGGAGTGAGCACTGAAGACACTCACTCAATGTGCGACGTCGCAGCGAACTCAATCTCGATCGTCTCACGACGGAGCGTCAGGAGAAATGCTATAAATCCACACTTATCTCAAATCTCAGGTATCCCTCTCTTGCTCTACGTTTGATTGTTTGCACAGTGTCGTTAGTGTTTCCGCGGATTGCGCGGATGAGCTTTCTACCGCGCGCGACGATTGCTTACTTCGTCCGTTAAAATCAGCCGTACATCGGATGGCGCGTTATCGATCGGCCGCGGCGATCATTATCTAGCAGTTTCGCCGGAGAGGAGAACGCGCTATCTGCGCTCCTTCAATCGTGGCATTATTTTACTCCCGATGAATTAGCGACTCTTGCAATGTTGCATAATTATTCTGTCCGACCGGTTTGCGATTAGACCAGCTGCTACTCGAAGCGCCGCAAGAGGTGTCTCTCTCGCACAATCGAGCTATCCTGCGATGTCACTCCGTCGGCGTATTATTACATAATCCGCGCCGGTGCGTCTCTTCTCCTCACGGACGGCTTTAAATATTTTATAATAATAATTATGATGCGTACGAGCGCGGATCACGTCAAGTTCGACCGAATGTAGCCTATCGTAATCCGCTTTGCCCGCTGATGAAAGTCGCACTGACGCAAAGACGATGACAAAACGATGAATCCGCATTCGCGATAAGAGGCGTTGTAGCTTAAGATTAATCTAATCTTTCGTGCACTTCGCATCGTCGATGTAACTTGACGTGGAGAAAAATCGCGAGCGCTCGCGTGATAAGTGCTCGAGCACGTAATTTATACAGGATACAGCCGGAAGGATCAGCGTCGGACATCAGACAAAGGTCTCGTCGCGTCCATAAATCGATAGTGTATAGCGTGCTGCGTTACCGATTATTCAGGCAGATGCTCTCTCATGATTATTATTATAGCCAAGTTACGCGTAAAGATCACGCGACGATTCTTCTTTTTTTCTCTGTGCTGCATATATATTTAAATATAAAAATATACTTATTTATACATAACAGGCGAACAAGTTTTTCAACTTTGAGTGCTAACGACTAGTCTGTGTCGATATTATTGCAAATACGGTAGAAACTAATGACAATGAGTGATTGCATAACGTATTACTTAGGTACATACAGGGTGTCCGGGACCTTTGAGAATGTATACATTTTCAAGTTATCAATTAGAAGAGCCTCAAGATATGGTCATTTTCAATTATTAATAACTTAATAACTATTACGATTTTTGCAAAATAATACACGACTTTCCTTCTCAGTTTGATCTAATTAATCTTCACAATTTTCCGTTTTCAAAAGATCCCGGACACCCTGTATATATATGTATATATATATATATATATATATATGTTTAATAGGCATGTCGAAACTGCGCGAAAGAGTGTGCGTATTCATATTTACACAAGACATTGTTGTACTGAAATGTTCGATGATAACGGCTATCAGTGAATGTGCGAATATTTATGTTAACACTCCTCCTCCTCCTCCTCCTCCTCCTCCTCGTTAATAAAGCGCAGAATCATGTGATCGTTATTCAAGTCAGAACTGTCTTCGATTAGATGAGCATTTTGATTTAATCTTTGACGATCTAATCTTTAATCTCTGTCGCTTGTGCGTGCGTGCGTGCGTGCGTGCGTGCGTGCGTGCGTGCGTGCGTGCGTGTGTGTGCGTGCACGTACGCGTCCGTTTTATGCGCTATCTTTATGTAGATAGATTACTATGATACATCAAATATTATTATACACTTAAATCCTTTACATTACGCTTTATACACATTACAAATCCCGTAAAAGTAGACGCAGGCCGCGAGTATTGAGCCGTTGCTCTCGAATTAATGAATTACACGGTCACGCGAGAGTTCTCTCGCTCCGGCGGCGTGTTTTCTAAGAGCTTCCCGCACGAAGTCCAGAGTCCACTAATCAACCACAGGAAGACGCACGACATGCTGAGGAGCGACGTGAAGTAAAGCGCGCCCACGTAACTGTTCCTTACGTCGTGCACCACACCTGCGAGCAATACGGCTCAATTAGAATTCTTCCGTACGGAAGAGAAAGAATATCGCTGCGTGTCAGTGTCGATTTAGAGGGCGATCGCGTTCGAAGAAAAATACGGATCGCCGTGTTGAGGGTGACCGTTGGAGGGTCCCTGTTTCGTTTTACCGATAATAGGTCCCACGCTGATAGACAGGATGCCGTTGCAGACCATCTGGATACCGGATGCGGACGGCAGTCTCTCCAGTGGCACGTAATCGGGTATAATTAAAGCTTGGAAGACAGCTTTGGTCCCCTTCGCCAGCCCGACGATCAGCGATACTGCGATCACGACGATGTAGGAGGTCCCCCAGGTGGAGAGGACTGTAAAAAGTTGACTGTAAGAACGTTACGTTCGCGGGAATCCGATGTGGGAATCGCTCCTCCTGTCTATAAACGTTCGTCCAACTGTCGCCGTCGGCGATGCAAACCGCTGATTTCTACGCCGGGTTTTATTAAAATTTACGGGTATTCTTCGTGGTGTTTAAATTCGCGGATATATCCTTCAGCCGGGCATTTACCATAAATTCGCGGCATTTAAATTCGCGGTATTTAAATACACGTGGGCATTTAAATTGTCGCGTGTACCTGTAGCCACGTATTTGAGTCTATCAAGTTATTTCAGATATTCGAGTTCATCGAGTGTTATTCAACCTGTACCTTGAATACTATTCGGGTATTAGAGAGTCTTGCGGGTGCTAGAAACCGACGTCGCTATACCAAACCAGAGAGAGGTTTTGGGAAAATTGTAAGTTTTCATCATTTCACACTGTTTTATCGCGTTGACATCAGGGTTGACTTGCGAAGAAGAAAGTGAAACGATGCGCCTAGTGCAATTACTGTGTAACGCGACTACTGTAGGCTATGTCTAGTCGACCGATCCCGAGGAATCTCTTCACGACCCTATCAGGACTCGTGAAGAGATTCCTCGAGATCGTGTGTTTTTGTATGGCGGTACGTACTAGTCCTTCCGAGGGTCGAACCCAGCAGGGATACCATATAGAGGTTTCTGCACGTCCAGCCGGCTTTCTGCGCCAAGAGCGGCACGCAGAGGCGGCCGGCGATATCCGCGGCGGCTTGGATCGACATCACCGTGGCGATCGACGTGCGATCGAGGCTCGCCAGTTCGGCCAGAACGAAAGGTATCATCGCGTTGAAGTTCGCCTCAGCTACCAGCGAGATGCCCATTCCTGTTGGTCGAGCCGAGTACGTTAGCCGCGTTGTTTCTCTGCTTTAACGCGCGGATTGAATTCAGCCACGTTCGCGATCTACCTAACACTATCGCCAAGTAACGATTGTCGCGCAGCAGGTCGAGATCCAAGTTCCTGGCGATCTTTCGGAGAACCGATGCGCTTTCTTTCGGTTCAATCCTCAGAGCGCTTCTTTCTTCCGCTTTACCGTTCTCCAAAGGACAGCCCGACTGTCTCCTCTCCTCCGGGACGCTGTCCTCGTTTATCAACCGACATTGAACGCTGCTCTTCAGGGGTTGCGTTTCGTTGTCATCGCTCGTGGCTTCTATTCTTGCGCCATTCAGCTTTTCCGACACTTCCGCAGCTTTGTTCGTCGAGATCACTTGCTAAAAGATGCAAAGTCTTCCCACAATATGGTTTTCGTTCCGTTCCCAAATTTTCTGTACATTTTAGACGTGTCAAATAAATTATGAGGCTCTTGGAGGCTCGACTATGTATTATAAATTATAAATATATTATTATACATATTTTAATATAAATAAATAAATAAATAAATAAGTAAATATATATATATATATATTTATATATAAAAATATATACAGGGTGTCTGGGGTCTTTCGAAAATGAAAAATTGTGAAGATTAATCAGATCAAACTGAGAAGGAAAGTCGTGTCTTTTTTTGCAAATATGTAACGCAAATTTTCAAGTTATCAATTAAAAGAGCCGCCAGATGTGATTACTTTCAATCAAATTAATAACTACTGCGACTTTTGCAAAATGGTACATGACTTTTCGTCTCAGTTTGATCTGATTAATCTTCGCAATTTTTCGTTTCCAATAGATCCCGCGCACCTTGCATAATGTACGTGGTGAATTTCCTCTTACACACCTGGAACTTACCTTTTCAATCTCCTCGAACGGCTTCAATAGCGACGCGCCCACGACAGAATGCGTGGCGATACCGGCGAGGATCAGGAGAGTGCCGGTTGTGGCATAATTTTCCAGAAGGATGTCTATCAGGAGCGGCATTAGGATTGGACCTAAACCGGTCATCGTGACGGAGAAACCCATGGCTATGTTGCGTTTCCTGCGGAAATACGTGTTCATTGCTAGACTGGTCGCCGGAAAGATGATACCTTGGCCGACACCTGTAAGAATCACGTCAGCCATAAAGTGTCAGCAGCGCAAGTTGTCTCGCCGACTTTGGCTTTTACATGTAACGTTATTGCTTTTTCTCAGCTACTAAATATTATTAGGTGTACAAATTAATTCGGTGCCTTTTTACATTTCGTGTCTTATAACTCTGTTTTAAAAGGGAGTATCATCTATACATTGGATTGGAAAGTTCTCCTTCACTTACTCACTGAATCTCATCCCGTCAGATTACCATCTACTTCGGTCACTTCAACGCTCATCTGGCTGATGAACATTTTAAAATTGTTGACGAAGTTCGAGAAAGCGTTGGTGACTTTATCGAGTCAAAACCAAGCCAAGTTTCTTCTGCGAACGACGAGGGCATTCGTCAGTTGTTCGAAAGATGGAGCAAAGTCATCGGAAATAATGGAAATTATTTTGGATATTAAACGTGTACTTGTCTTTTTACGAATAAATTTTGAATTTCATGAAAAAGGCGAATTAATTTGTACATTTAATATGTTCACGTAAAAAAAAACATTTTTATTTGAAGAATCTGTATACTTATTCCTTCGAAGTCTCTCGAGTTAATATTACTTTTGTCGAAGACACACGGAGAAAAAAATTTATTGAATTAACGTGACAACAAATCAACTGAGACATATTTTGGCCGCAGAAAACTAAATTTCTGGCTCTGATTGGTTAGAATCGGAAATTCCGTTTCCTTCGGCGCGTTTGTTTTGTTTATTGTCACGTTGATTCGAGCAATATTTTTTCTCACAGATACAAGTAAGAATTAGGCTATCGAGAAGAAACGCGATAAGATTATCTCGAGTGACTTTACTCAATATAACAAAGAAACGTCCCGCAAATGGGCCACTGGCCGCTAATGGGTTAATGCTCGTAATTATTCTATCGCAGCTCGAGTCACTCACCGATGATGATGCAGTAAGTGACAATGAGAGTCGGAAGAGACATAGCGAAAGCGGCGGCGCAGATCCCAAGGACGACCGTGAGACTGCCGAAATACGCAACCTTGCGAAAGGCGAATCTCTTCATCATCGGGCCGCTAATCAGGCCCAGGCTGCAGGTGATGGTCCCGTTGAGGTGAAGGATCAGACTCGTCTGGGTCGCGGTGATGTCGAGGCTCGCGAAGCGTTCCGCGAAGATGAGGCCGAAGCATTGTTGCACCGGCAGCACGGATAGCTGAGCGATCGGAATTATTATATAGTTATATACCTCGAGACCTCCGCTTACCGCTTTGCCGAGATCAAAATTTCACGAGAGCGAAAGACAAGAGCGCGGACCTTGGGCGATTTTCCGGGCTCAAAATCTTTCGACCTTGACGCTGACTCTCTCGGCTCCGAATTCACGATCGCGTGATCTTAGACCACCACGGTATTCAAGTATCATCCGACGTTAGATATCGAGACGGCCGATTCATATCGACAGCATCATCTTGGCGAACTAAACTCAACGCTGCTGCGATTCAACGAGTCAACGCGGACAAACAAGCACATAGTCGAGCGACTGTCTCCACCGTCTTACATTTCCGGTGATTTCTTTAGTAGTTGAAGCAACGAGACAATTCGTTGATTAGCCGGCATCTTGTTCGTCTGAGAGAGAGAGAGAGAGAGAGAGAGAGAGAGAGAGAGAGAGAGAGAGAGAGCACGAGTGCCTGCCGCGCTCGATCTGCCATGTGCGAGGAGGCTCGGCAGCACTGTCTGAGCTCGCGCAGAGGAAATGGATCGCCGCGGCAACGGTCGTCCCCTTATCGCTATCACAAAGAAAAAAGAGCAAGAAGAATCTTACGTTGATAACCGTCACGCCGATGACGATGGCCCATGCCCAGCCGCGGTCCGCCTCGTCACGTGCCATTCTATCGATCAGGTCGTCCGGTTATCAGCGTGCCGTAGGTGTCTCATGGGAGCGCGCGACGTCCGCGGTGATCGCAGCACTCCAGCACTCCCGACAGCGCTTTTCAATCCGATTCATCCGCGGCCTGGAGCGGCCTAAACGCGCCGTGAATGACCGCGGCTGCGAATTGGACACACGATAAGATACGCACAACCGTACGCGCAGCGGATAAGCCTCCTATCTTCGATTCGGCGGCTGCCGCGCGACTCGCCCTCGCATTCGCGCGCGCTCTCTCTCTCTCTCTCTCTCTCTCTCTCTCTCTCTGTCTCACCTGTCGCCAGTTGTCGACGTCGGGCATCGGCCGATTTCGGCTCCCCTTTACGCTCCAATCGCACGTTCCCGGTCGACGCGCTCGCGGAAGCTGGCGGCTGACTTCGGCCTGATAATGTCATCTCCTCCTCCGGCTTCTTTCCGGAATGAGAGTCCCTCGCGGCTTTCCCATAAATCTGTCATCCCGTCGGCTGCGCAGCGAGAGTGCCGCGCGCCGGTTTTATCGGGAGATAATAGTGTCTCTGAGGCGCGCCGAAGCCGCGAGAATACATTGTAGCGCCGCGCCGCGCCGCGCCGCGCCGGTTCAGCGCGATGATAGGCCAAGTGGCGTCGTCTCGCGATTCGACTCGATCGAGCCGCTCGCGGCGCGGCGGCCCGGCGAGAAGCAGCTACGAAGCGGAGCGGAATCGTCGTCGGACGCGATATCTCGCGTCCCCTCGATGCGGCAGTCACAGTCAATGTCGCCGGCTCTTCGGCTGAATCGGTAGATCGTAGTTACTGCGTGATATACAACCGCCGCGACGCCGACGGCGCGATTGCGATAAGGCGATTTTTCAAGCCCGGTATCGCCGATTATAGTTTGCCCCGGGATGCGCGCTTAATAATTAGCTTCGCGGCTCTGCTTCGTTCGCTCTTGTTTGCACTTTGTCAGCATCTCCGCGCAGTTTCTTTATCTTTATCCTCGGTAATCACCAGACGCGCGCGCGCGCGTGCGGGCCGTTCATTTGGTCGATCAAGCAGACGTGTTTGTTCAAGTTCTCGCGGTGCCTGCGTCTTTGGCGAGCGATCGTCCAAGTGTATTGTTCGACGGCTCCGAGTGTAAGCCGGCGATCTTTATATAACAGTTCGGCCGGCACGTCGGTATTCACAGGCGTCGACGTCGAGTCGATTTAAATGCCAGGCAACCTCTCTCTCCTTCTGTCCGAGATACGACGCACAAAGTCATATGTTCCGGCACGAGCTGCAGGCACTCGGAGACTGGCTCGAAGAGGAGGAGGCCAGCTTGATGAAAACCGGCTCCGCTGCTTCATTCGAGGCGACCGCGACGCGGAGCGCGCGATCGTTCGTAACGGCCGCGTTTTCGTTCGCAGCCGCGTGCGCGCGCGCGCACGCACTCGGCCTGTTCTCGATATTTGTGGGCGCGTCGTTATGTAAACGAATCGTCCCGCGCGTGAGTGCAATGACACGAGCATCACGAGCGCCTTGCATCGCGCAAAATCGGAGATACGATTTTATCGCGCCGCAATAAAACACCTTCGCGCGCGCGCGCGTGACTTTGCGCGGCGGAGTGGCTCTCGGCGGGCGAACGAGAGCGAAATCGCGGACGCGGACGAGGTGTCGTCTGGTGACCTCGCTGTTACCGATCAAGAGGGAGCGTGAGAAGAGAGATGAGAGTCTGGGACAAGGGGAAAATTTACTCGCGTAAAGGCGGGATGATTCGAAAGTTTGGCCAGGAACTGACTCTCTGTGTGAACGCCCGCGCCGGCGTTCGCTTCATTTGCAAAAATAGTACGATGATAAGACGGTGATCAGCGTTTTTCCGTGACGTCACGAATTCGATGCGGAGATACGCGCAGAGTCGATTTAATGCACCGGTATGATCCATTTGAGGCTTAGGCAAACAGTCGCGTGCTGTAGATGAAAAGATGGTAATTTATGCGCGTGTAATTTATGCGAGACTATCGTCTCGCTAATGTCTCGCCCCATGTCGATTATGAGGGAGTCGCCGATTCGGACGGAGAAACGCTGCGGAGAATACTGATTAAACTTATCGACCTTCATATCGTTCTGCTTATAAAAATAAAAGTCTGTTAGACTCTTCCTAGTGCTGATTACCTTGAGGAACGTAGAAGAGATTGCAACTCGCGACGATGATATTAGATACGTGTAGTCCTTGAATAGATCTAGGTCCAAGATTTCCTTCAGGTTCCTCAACTTGTACTTGTGGACGGGGAGCTCGGTACTGCTGTTGTCGTACTTGCTGTTCTCTTCGTTAACCCCGAACAATTCGTTTGACTTTCGATCTGCGGCGCCGTCTTCTGTTAACTCTTCTCTTCTGCACTTCTTGTTAAATTTTTTGTGAAAGAATTATGCAGATACTTTAGGAATTGGTTTTGAGGTCACTTTATACAAAGAAAAGTTTATACGAAAACACATATAGAACGATCATTTTGCAAAAAGTTAATATCGTAGAAACTAATTTTCGTGTAAAATGACCTCAGAAATCATTTCCTGGAATAAGTGCTTGAACATAACACCCTATGTATGTGTGTCCGCAATATCGATGTTATTATATTCGCAATCAGACGGAATTTTAATTCTTTCCTGTCCTGACTCACGATGACAAACATTTGTAAAATAAACATTGGGATTAGATTGACGATGACAAATATTTGTGGAATAAATATTGAAGTCAAACTCGCGATGTTAACGTTGCATAATTATCGTCTATCACTTCATTCTACTTTATCGACGGTCGTTCTCTTAGCGGACGCAATAAACAGGATCTTACTACGAGTGCAATGTTCAACTTCATGATGAGTGTCATGCGATACCCATATTCGTTCAAAAACAAACATATCAGCTGTGGGGACGAATGGTTGATTATTCAGAGTTCAATTTGCCTCTCTCTTTCTGTGCACCATGATTTTTCCAGATTTTCTGCGGCATGATCATTAAGCGCGCTTTCAGCCATGAAGAAACCAACAGAAATCAATGAAAGCGAGCAAACGACATATCAAGCGTACTTTGACGCAGACTTTCCGCCCACGCCACTTAAATGCTTGTATTATGTTAAAAAGAATAATAGCTAGAATAATAGTTGTATTATATTAGAGAAAATAATTGCACAAAAATATGATGTGTAACACATTTATTTTCCTGTCCCTCATCGGCGAGCATTGCGGTGTAAACGGAAGAAAGTGACTTTCGAAAACTCAGTAGCGGTTACCGGCGACTATTATGACTGCATATGAATATGTTAATCGACATTGTCAATATCGTTGATATTGATTATTAATCATATCATTGATTATTAATCGTGCGATATGTAACCCGTTTTCCTGTTATGCGACTCTTCGTCAGACTGTTTAAGCATTGATTAACATACATCGGCTATCCATATTTGTCGCCATTGCTCTTGTCGCCTGTGGAAAAGTACGGCGAATAATCGCATTATCAAGTAATAAATGTTACCGATGATACTTGTCGTTTTTGCGTGAAATGTATCTATGTTATTTTAACATGCTGTATATTTGTATTGTATACGTAACCGTAATACCTAGGCATTATGTAGAGCGATAAGTGCTATTTAGGCAAAATATAAAAAGAGAGACATGAAAAGGTCTTTTTAGAAAATATGTACATGAAAATGAAAGGAAAAAGAAGGAATACAAAATAAAGTATAGATCAGAGTTAGAGTTAGGGTTGGGGGGGGTTAGATTTGGGTTTGCGGTTAGAGTTTGGATTAGGTTTGGAATTGCACTTAATTATCTTTTTTGTTCTCGCACTCAAATTTCACTCACACGAAATCTTGGCCGTATTTTGTGGACTGAGCGGTAGCAGCTGATCGAAGAGATGTATCGCGCGTCAAAAGTCACATGTGCCTCGCCACATGACAATAAAAACGTCACTAGCGGGATTATTTTGCCGGCTTGCCTCTTGGCGTTGCGTGCTTAGAATGCTTAGGAAACGTTTGAAATATTAAGCGTCTCCATACTTTGACTTGTCTCATTTTCGGCATTCTACAGATTTCCTAGGCATTCGATACTGCTGAATGCTGAACTTTACTTTACTTTGCTGAATGTGTTGACGGTGTTAACATTTGTATAGTAATTCTTTTAGATATGCGACTTCCGACCATAGAATTATCCATGATATTGCGACGATCAAGAAATTCAATCTCCCGTAGATAACTCAACATGTGTGCAATAAGGGAAAAGATGCTAATAATGCTTGTCTATTATATATCCCGCGGTTGGATCAATGAACGATTCGCTTCCGTCTGGTAGCACAAGATGGGATTTCAGTGAGAATCGAGACAGAATTTTCAAATAAAGCCGACAAATCACCTTTTGTCTGTTGTAATCGATTATTGGCACATCGAGACATTTACAGCACGTGTACAGATTAAACAATTACCTTGATAAAGACGCTCACCGGCGCGTTAAAACGCCTTAACCCACGCAACACTGCGCAGCACGCCTGAATGCAATAGTGTGCTTACAGGAGCACACAGGACGAATCTCGACCGTTCAAATAACTGTAAACTTATCGTAAAACTCTGCTCATCCGTTTTCGTTCTGTTTTGCCCATGTTACATTGCAATACGATATCACACTTACAATCTCAACTCTTACGACTAATCGCAGGGAAAATACAATATATTTCATCGGACTGACAAAAAAAGCGGAATAGTCGCGAACCGATTGAGAGATATAAACCAATGTTTTCCTATATGCGTCGAAGTTGCGAATCGTTCTGTATACCACCTTGTGATTTTCGCCATTTTCCTCGACTGATTACACGGCAGCGATAATCGACACGTCACCATCGACGGCTGAATTCAGCGGCGGCAGGCAAACCCGATGAATCTTGCGATGCATCGGGCTTGCGACATCCTGGCGCTCGCCCCGCTCGTCTCCTCGCAGCGCGATTTCAGATTCTACAACGGCGGTTGTATTTCATCGCGGCTCAGCGAACGAGTACTTAGTACAGTGACATTTTGTACATAGATAAGAGGGCCTTCGAAATCATTTCTGGCTTGTCCCGGTTAGTAGAAAACTGTCTATCTTCGACTGCTGCGGACGTGAGTCGCGGTTGTTGACATTTATCATACTTGCTCAGCGCTGTAAATTCTACCAGGTGAGCATTCACATTTTACGCGCGACCGAATAAAAACTCAATTGACGAGTAATTATGTGAATTTACGATCGAACACGTGCGTGGAGCATGTCGTTCGGTACGTCGCGAGAGGAAGTTTCGGTTGCCTCAACTTGAACGACTCGTTACGCGCAAGTATCTTCTTAGTGGAATGCAAGCAACAGTCTTGTGTAAAAATGTCTGCACTTGAATCGTGCACGTTTACATCGTTTGAAATTTACCAGAAGAAATTAACAAACGGATCTCTCCGGAACGCAGAACTTGAGAGAGAGAGAGATCTCTCTCTCTCTCTCTCTCTCTCTCTCTCTCTCTCTCTCTCTCTCTCTCTCTCTCTCTGACTTCGAAAGAGAGAAAAGATGATAATATGTTCGCGATCGATAATTCAGTTTTTTTCATTTAATTTTAATTATTTAATTTAATTTAAATTAAATTTATTTTTCATTTAATTGCATTTCTCTCTTTGCAAAATGACTTATTTTCTTCTCCCTCTTCGTTTTCCTGCAAAGGAGAGGGTTGTCAATCTAGCCGGCTCTCACGTTGCGGTTGATCAGTTCGCAGATTCACAAGTCGTTTGTTCCCGGTTCTTCGTTTCGTCGATTTTGTGTCGCGATTTACGAAAGCTGACAAATTTCTGACACCGCACGCGTTGTTTTAGTGCGTACGTATCGCTCGCATACGTGTATATTTCGTGTTCTGCGGGACTCGCGAAATCACGACGCAGTCTCCCGACACATTCTCATGCTCGTCTAGGCATCTGTGCAAATAGAGATTTCACGTGTGTTTTTCCCGAATAAGTTCTAATCAATCGGACCAATCGAGGCGCCGAGCACGAGCCGGCTCTCACGTCCCACAACGTGTTCCACAACGGGCTGCGAATTAAGCGGGAAAGAACATTACGCAAGAACATCTGTGCCCACTGCTCGTACTGGATTCGACAGCTCGTTCTCATCTCGGTCGTTATATGCGCGAGTCACTTTTCGTCTTACGTTTATTCTTACGTGCTTCTGTTTTCTCTTTCCCGGCGTTTCCGGAGCTCAAAGCAGGACACAGCATGACGATAGCGAAATCCAACGGCGCGGCGACAGATGGATCGGCGGACAACAGCGAGAAGATCGCCGAGAAGAAGAACGCGACTGTAAAGATGATAGACGAGGAGGAGGAGGACGAGATCACCCTGGAGGACTTGGCGCCGGACGGTGGCTGGGGATGGATGATCGCACTGGCGATGATACTGATTATTGTCAGCATAACAATCGATACGATGGCATTTATAACATACCGATCAGAGTAAATAAATCGCCGCTAGAATCCAATTAGGAATGAAATTCTCAATTCGCTTAGGAAAGAGAACGGACGGGGGGGGGGAAAGAGTATCGCTGGAGATTCTTGCGAATGTAAAAGACAAGCGGTTTCGCGCATTTGTGAGTCTCTCTGATCGAGGATTTTCGCTGCCGCAGGTCACGACGATCGGCCCGTGGTCGTCGTTCGCCATCATCTTCGGCGACTTCCTCGAGGCATCCGGCATGGCTGGCACAGCGTCGAGCGTCTCCAATTCCTTCTTCATGATTACATTCTCCACCTCCAGTAAGCAGGCAGCCAACGCGTTTATCGCGGCCCGATTGAAGTGTTTGTGTGAACGTCAAACGAAATAATCGCCAAGTAATCGTCATAAATTCGACAAACACGCCATTCAGGGAGAGGCGCTTGCACGTTCGCCGGTGCGAGCTTTGGTTTCTCCTCGAGACTTTCCTCAGCAGAGGAGAATCTGCGCGCGGCGATAAGTAGATCGAGCGGCTTCTGAGACGAGCGCGCTTCTCCGACACCTTCTTATCGTCGGTGCTGCGCACACTAAGGGGATTGGAGGGGCAGAAAAATTATGGAAAAATTATGCTTGTTTTTGATAATGATTTTGTGACGAATTGAATAAATGTGCAAGAATGAAAATTTTACATATATTACATATAACGTATGAGGAGCAGAAAAATTTTGTTTTTAAACAAATACTCATATAAATATACGTCCACTTAAATTTTAAACGCGTTTTTCTCCAAATTTTACCGTTCAACTTTTTGCAGTGATTTCTCCGAAATTGAGTTTCGTATCGATTTGAAATTTTAAAGCAATAATATTGGTTCATGTGGCTCTCAGGTGAACCATGGACAACTCCGTCAAAATATTTCATTTCGAGATATTAATTTTTTTATTGTGAAAGAACTGAAAAATTTGAATTTTTTCCTAATAATAGCTGCCGTTTTGTTAACTTTGTTCGATTTTTTTTCTAGTGGTTCACCGAATAATGTGATAGGCCTCCTCAAGATTTCTAGTTAAAATTCGCTCTGATCGGACCACCGAGAGCCGAGATATTACCGCGAAAATGATAACTGGAAAAAAAAGGAGAGTATATTTCAGCTATATATATATATATATATCGTATATTTATACGAGTATTTGTTAATAAACAAAATTTTTCTACTCTTCATGTGTTGTATAACTATACCTAAAATTTTCATTCTTGCACATTTATTCAGTTCGTCACAAAATATTATCGAAAACAAGTGCGATTTTTCAGCATTCTGACCCTCCAGTTCCCTTAAGCAGCCATCCTGTCTGCCGCAAACTTGCGGCTCGCTTGCTCTCGTACATGGAGAGCTCGAAATACTGGCGATTAGGTCGAGCGCAAACTTGAGATTCGGTGTGTCAAACACTTCCGTCCGCGCGGCACGTGCTCCGGATTAGTACTGCTAGCTTAAAACGGGACATTCTAATTCGCTTGTTATCTTGCTATCCGAGGATCCAGGGCAGCAGCGTTTTATGATCTTTTTATGGAAAGCTAAACCTGGTATTAATACCTGGTCTGACACTGACGGGACACTGTACAAATATGTCTGGAATTCGCTCTACTCCCTTCTTCTAGGTATGATGACCAATATGTTGCTGAAGAGATACTCCGTGAGGCCCGTCGGAATTATGGGATCGCTCTTCTTCGCGATATCGAGCATCCTCCTGACGTTCATCCGAAATGTATACGAAATGACCTTCCTCTTCTTTCTGCAAGGTGTTGGAACGGGTCTGATCATTACGATCTGCAACACGGTCTTCAACTCGTACTTTGTGAAGAAACGAGCGAAGGTAAGGCGCTCGCGGCCCTTTCTATCTCTTTTTCTCTTTTAAACTATCCGAAAGAAGTAATCCTCTTCGTACCTTCTTCCTCATCTTTTTCTTTTCAGGTAATGAACGTGTCGCAAGTCATTATCGCGTTGGGCGGCATCGTTTATCCTATGTTGACCGAGAAGATGATGGAATGGTACGGTTTTCACGGTAAGACTCCCCACCCCTCCCTCTCTCTCCCTCTCTCTCCCTCTCTCTCCCCCTCTCTCTCTCTCTCTCTCTCTCTCTCTCTCTCTCTCTGTCTTTCTGGCGAAGACGACATCGCAGATGACTCGCCGTCACGTTCATTTGCCGCTTGTCGTTTGCGTCAGGTACTGTCGCAATCGTGGGAGCATGGAGTTTGAACAGCATCGTCGGTATGACGCTGATGCATCCTGTGGAGTGGCACATGAAGAAACGGGAGGAGGTCCTTGCCGAGAGAGCGCGCGCTAGAGAGGAGAAGGGTCGGGAACATTGTTTGACATTGAATAATCGCCGATCGACCATCGATGTGATCCACCTGTCTTCCAAGACCAAGTGGTGCAGTCTACGTAGTTTGAAGGAGGAGGGCGACAAGGAGGTATCACTGCTGATCGAGAACCTCAAGGTAACGTAGAAATACGGAGCGGACAAACAACGGTTTCGTACACACAGAAAAATACATACACAACGCGTTCGGAGTAAACGTCACTCGCTTCAAGTATTTTCCCAAGATCTACACGTGCCCAATTCTGTTGTATAAGTTCATCATAAAATGCGGTATCAGATATACACTCAAGATACATCCTGAGGCCATCTAGCGAGGCGTTTACCTAAATCGAGAATGTTAAATTAAAACGATCATGCCAGGTTGGTTTTTTTTCCTCTACAGAGTCCAGGCTTTGTGATATACTTGAAGAGAGAATAAAAGCTCTCCCTTTTTGAGTATGTGAGCGTTTGCAATATTTGTCATGTGATTACACCCTAAGACTGTCATCGAGAAAACGTCCTTCACTCTTTTTTGATTTTATCACCTCAAGGAAGGAAAGTAAACTGAATAATCGCTTCTCTTGGCAGCAGTATGATATTTTCCCCTGCGTGTACGATGCTTCCTCCGAGTGAACGTCAACCCTCTGTCTCTCTGAACGATTGTACCCATCAAATCGCACTTTCGTCGACTTTGTGATCAGACTCCTGCGCACAGGGTTGCGTCGAATTCAGCGATCGAGGGCGGGATCCGCGGCAGGGCGAGATCGGGGTCTATGCGGGAAAGTTTAACGAAAGGTATGTCGACTATTTCGGCGTCTAGCTTGGTTAATTTGGCGAGCGGTGCCAGCGCGTTTAGCGACATATGGCAACGCCATCTGGATAAAAAGGGCAGAGAGCGACAGCCGGATACGGATGTTCAAGAAAAGGCGGAGAAACAGGACGAGCTCGGGGAGGAGCAGAAGAAAAAGCAGGGTCAGGAGGAGGAGGAGGAGGAGGAGAAGACAGAGTGAGTTATTATTTATCACAAGACGTTTCGTAATAACGTTTTCTCGTTCGATGTCACGTTATAATCAGTAGGATGAGAAGAAGTAGAAAAAAGAAAGAAAATGAAAGCATAATCAGCATGTTGTAACGGGGTCGCAGAGACCCCGTTCTAAAAATTTCAAGGAAATAACTTCGACGTGCTTTTATCGCTGAAACACCAACAATCCCGCCGCTGATCCGGTGTTACCGCTAAGCTAATTGTCGCTAAGCTGTGAGGACTCTTGTCCGCCTTACATTCGATCACCATTCCTAAAGTTTCACCATTCCAATTACTGTCCGCTAACACGGGGAGCAACGATTCGATCCGATTGCTGGGTGACGCAGGTGCAAGACCATTTTGCGGCAGCTCCTGGACATGTCGCTGATAAAGAACTGGTGTTTCATGAACTTGTGCTTCGGTGTCAGTTTCGTGTGCACCGCTGACTTCGCCTTCTCGTCTCTGCTGCCGCTCATGATGACCGACGCGGGCTACACGAAGACGGAAGCCGCGTTAACCGTCACTCTAAGCGGGATAACTGAGCTGCTGTCGAGGATCCTACTGGCCATCTTCACGCTACTGGTGAACGTACGGTCCAAGTACATATTCTTCACCGCTACGATCCTCATGCAATTCGCGAGAATCGGTGAGTGGTGCGCGCGATCTGGCGGATACTCTCACTTATTATTTCTCTTCGTGTTATCTTCTCTCGTCTTCTCAGTTTTTTTCTATTTATCCTTCTAAAAGGCACTGATGCAATGATTTTCAACCGGTGTGCCGCGAAAATTTTTTAAGAATTTCAATTATTATCTTTCTATTACAAATTATAGTAATCTGCTTTGTTTTATTTTTTAATCGCGATGGTGCATTTTGTTTGTGTTAATAAATAAATCAAAAGAAATATATTCTTTTTACTCTTTTTTTGATCATTACTTTTTGATAATTTAAGTGTGCCGCGAAGAAGTTTAACTGTTCAGGTTCAAGGGTGCCATGAGACAAAAGAGGTTGGAAAACAACCTTTGTTTTAGTGTGCACTTTCTCAGTATTATTTTCGAGTCCGTTTAGTTTCCGAGGTAACGAGAAATCATCGGCTATCGCGATTTTTACAGGCTTCCTGCTGTACGAGCACACGTTGACGGGCGCGTTCATCATGATCGCGTTAATCGGGCTCGTGCGATCGTGGCTGCTGGTCCCGCAGCCTCTGGTCATCATTGAGGACATTAATATAGAGAGGTTCGCTTCAGCTTACGGCATCAACGCGGTTATTAGCGGTTTGGTCACGATAGTATTCGGCGCCATAGTAGGTGAGACGAGAGGAGAGAAAATGTTGATGTAACATATACTGGTTTTTTCGAAACGGCTTCAGCATCCTCTTTTTGTAATTCGGAACATCCGCGTAATTCGGAACGCAGCGAACTTAGCAACGAGTGAACTCAATGTCTGGGAATTTTTCAGAAACGTGTTGTCTCATTGGACCGTCGACTGCGGTTTCGCACCGCATAGGAAATAACGTTCAGGAAAAACCGTTTTGAGAGACCCAGCGTACACAAGATGATCATCCATAATCTTTTATGTGAGTTTCGGTACGCACCCGTCTAGTCTTAGCGGAGGAATTTCTCCCTTGACGAGAGAATTCTCTTATTGGGGGCGCGGCTATGGGGTTCCGAAAGTCACACAAGAAATTACGGATAATGTCTTTGCCTACGAGCGTACGAAGTGTACTTCAATGCGAGATTTCGTCGAAATCGCGCGCAAGTATAGTCGTTCCGCGGATTTTTGCAGGAATCATCAAGGACTGGACCAACAGCTTCAAAATGTACCAAATCTCTCTGTTGGTGATGAACGGCGCTTTCATCGTACCTTGGGCCTTCCAATTCTTCGTCGTGGATCTTAAGAGACGACGGAAGTAACGTACACCAAAGTAACTCCACCAAAGACTCCTTGTCCCACGTTCACCGGTAAACAGAGGCGATGAGGCGCGGGATATGTTCGGAGTCGATAGTGATACGCGCCGATGCATACGTTGCTCAACGTGTAAAACGAATAAAATAGGACTACGATAGAAACGAATCGCATCTTCGTCCTTTCCCGCACAAACACACTTGGCAGTTTCAATAAAGCTTCGATATACGTCCGGTACGTCTGTGATTTATGAAAATCTTGTAGCTTTCTTCCCTTTGTGCGAGAAAGGAATCTTGGATCTTGCGGAGTTACGTATTCTGTCACGTACGAAGCATCGCATGGATTTTTGTCCGAGATATGATAAGGAAATAATCAGCAAGACGAATGACGTATACTGCATTATACTCTAGTTTACCTTCCTTAAACACTACATTAAGTATTATAAAATATGTCGATAACAAACAGGAAAATCGCTCGTTATAAATGAGCGTAAGTAAACGTGATCTTGTAGAACAGACGCGTCTAAACGCGTGTGATAATTTTCGATATCGTGAACATAATGTATAGAGTGCCCTAAAACCTTCATGTAAAAATGTTATTCTAGAAAAGTGTATAGAAACATTGTCAGAGGAGACATGTAGCCTCATACATAACTGAATGTAAGAAGTATATTATAAAGTGTATTATAAAAGTGTATCATAAACATGGAGAATAGAATTTTCCTATAAAATCTTAGCGATTGGCATATTTTTACCATTTTACACTGAGAAAGTAACTCCCGTTTGACTTGCGGGTTTGCGCGGCTCGATCTTGATGCTAAATCCGTCGCTTTTTTTCAGGATAATGTCGCCTTGCAGAGCAAAGTTCTGATACGACACGTCGGAAGTAATGCGGTAATTTCTCAATATCGTCGATAACAGGACCTTCAATTTCAGCATGGCGTATTTTCGCCCCACGCATGACCTTTGGAAAAAAACCGGCCGATCAGTAATATGACACTTATTTCATGAGGCACATATGGCTTCGGCTACGCCGATGATATGTCTTAAGACATTCCGTCATGTGCTTCTATGGCATACAAGTGCATGTTTTTTGTTACCTTGGTCCAGCGCTGAATGGAATAAAAGCGTAGTAATGTCTCCGCTGCATTTTCTCCGGTAGGAAGTTGTCCGGATTAAATACCAACGGATTCGGGTAATATTTCTCATTACGGTGTGCCACGAATTGCGCTATTATTACAGTGACATCCTTTGGGACAACATAATTGCCTGTAACTTTAAAACAATAATGATTTATCTCGTGCTCCTGTACAAATTAAAACAGGTATCCGCTATTTGACACACATCATATAACAGCGCCTTACAACGCAATAATAGCGTCTAAACTGACTAACTTACCAATCCTTACATCTTCATTGAGTTTCCTGGCTATTACAGGTACAGGCGGGAAAAGCCTGAGTGTCTCTAGAATAACTCTTTCGAGATACTTCATCTCTATCGTATCCTCGAAAGTGCAAGGCCTGTCGCTGTCGCCGAAGATTGAGTCTAATTCCTCGTGCACGCGTGTCTATTCGTAGCAAGTTAGTGCTATCAGTATAACTCGGTAATACAAGGGAATATTATTATATATATTATTATATATATATATATATATATATTTATATATATATATACATATATATCGTCGTATGTCATAATGTTAATATAAATAAAATACAAGGAATAAAAGTTATCGGTTTGTTGCGATATTATCAGTGATCAGTTTCACAGAAATATTTACGATGTTAAATATTCACAGTTTCTAGGAGTCTATGACGACTTTTTTTCTCGAACATTCTAAATCCTTGAACACTCTAAATATATTATTAAATTGTGAATAAATTTACTTGAATTTCTGAAAGAGATCCCAACGTGCAGAGAGCGAAACTCGAGCCGGCTGCTATGGTGTCGTGGCCCTGAAATATTTTTGTCGATTAACTTCCTTTTTGTTAATTAATTTCTTGTCATTATCTGACTGATTAACGAGCTGAATTTGATTTCAATGTTTTCATGGAGGGATCCGGAAAATATCCGTAAAAAAACACATCGTGACACTAAGTTTACCTCGAACATGATAGTGTTGACTTCCTCCCAAATCTCCTTGTCAGTCATTTGTCCACTGTTTTTCCTCATGTTTATCAACATCTCTAAAAATGCGAGACGCTTCTTTTCCACTATGTCGCTCTCATCGATGTCGTCGAGGTCATCCCTTGCGTAATGCAGCTTTGTGTAATTAGCAGTACTGCTTTCCTTCTGCACGTTTTCGGTCGCCTTCGATTGTTTTACTTCAGTATCATTGTTCTGCGTTTTATTCTGCTCTTTCCTTTCGACGTCCTTCCACTTCTCTTGGATCACGCATTCCGAAAGGGTGTGGACAGTTTGAAGCAAATCTTCTTGTAGTTTGGCGAGCTTTGAATATTTAAACAACGCATCCAAGCGTAAAGACACGTCATAGTGCCGCCGGTGTACGATATTGCTCAGTCTGCGGCATTCAAGATACAAGTACATATGACTATTCGTATGGGGGAAATTGAGAGAGCGAGAGAGAGAGAGAAGAGCTTCCCCGTAAGGAAATATTCTATATTTAGTTTGAAAGTAATAACGGTAACACCACGTACTTCATCACGGCCATTGTATAGTCATATCCGACGTTTTGCCTTTTTTCCCTCCTAACTCCCATTACCGTCTCCGTCAAGATGTCAACAGTTACCGTTGATAAATAATCGTGGCAATCGAATTGCTGACCGACTTTTTCGCGAAGTCGTCGTACGAGATCCAGACTGTTTTCATAAAACAGAGGCACAAACGTCTTCAAGATGCTCATGTGAAAAGTGGGCGCTATCACTTTTCTGTGTTTGCGCCACTTGTCGCCTTTCGTGATCAGCAAGCCATCTCCCAGCCACGGTTCGAAGAATCTGCAATACATTTACGAAAGTATCTCATGCAACATACATACATGCCCGAAATCTATCTCAAAAATAAGTCTAAGAAAAGTTTAAACAAAGTAAATTGCCTTTTTTGGTCGATTTCTTGGGAGATATGCGTGCTATGTGGGATGATTTTAGATAACATGACAATCGAAATACCATTCGTCGCTTTTATACTTCAATAAAGACAAATCTACACATGGCTTCGTTTTAATTACTGATCTGATTCGTTACCTGTATTCCACCGATTTTTCGATATGCACGGGGCTGCTCAAGATTATCTCGATATCCTGTGGATCTCCGAGGAAAACAAAAGCTCTTGGTCCTAAATGTGCCGAAATTACTGTCCCATATTTATTATAAAATTCTAAAGCCTTAGATATTATATCTTTCGGGTTTACTTTTAGAGTTATTAACGTGTGACCTAGGATGGGCCAGCGCGGTGGATCTGAAAGATGGTACATGGGAGAGATTTACCGTAAGTCGATTACAAAAGATTAAGTTTGACTCGAGTACGATGGAAAATACATCGCAGGGGAAGATATTGATATTAGTCGATGCATAAGATTCTGAATTTTTTACTTACGTACTTGGTAATTTCAGCGCAAGACGAACCACACGTCTGCTCTCGATATAGAAATGGAATGCAACAAGCGTGGTGACGAGCAAAATCAATGAAGTACATCCCGTGTTTGGCAGATAGGATGTCATAATTGATGTCGTGTTGTGATCCATTGTTACGTTCAAGTATTGCTACACTCTTGAGATACGTTTTCTTTTAATGTCTTGTTCTCTGGGACATAACGCGTTTGTACGATTTATTAATTTCGACAATTTAAATAAATACACACATACATACACGATTAGACATATTAAAAAGATATGCTGTAATTACCTTTCAATCTAATCAGCCACTACTAGTGCCTTCTCGGCACTTTCGACAGTTGTAAATTGTCGTGATGCAACGGAGTTTTATAAGCTGTATGCTTATAATGCTATGCCATAATCTATACGGAGATATATCCTTAGAAAACAATGGTAAGCTCTTAACCTTGCCGATTATGCTTTGACTTTATCCATATGAGGTATTATGTTAATAATCATGAGTTGCACTATTGTCTGTCGAAGGTGACATTATGTAATGTGCGTGTAATGTTTATTGCGCATTTCTCGAATTGGTTCTATGCGAATATTGTTATATGTCTGCACCTAATTGCAATCTGGAAAAGATGAGACGTAGAGACAAGTAAGGCATAGAATAATTCTACCAGGATGTTAAATGGTGTTTTCGGATAGTCATTCGATGTTATAAGACTTGAATAATTTGCAACGATATTAATTAAACTGACTAGCTACAATAAAAAGAGATTATTTACATATTAAACATTAGATAAAATATGGAGATTAATGTATGATATTTATTAGATATGTGATATATTTTCCATTACGGTTAATTAGTACGAGGTGATGTTTCTCATTAAAAAATCTTTTCTGTAGAAAAATAACACATCGATCAACAAGTCTCGGGACTAACCAGCAAATGGCGCCTCTAATAACAAATCCATACCATTCTCAGTTAGTACCAACCTTTAGAAGTTACGTGTTAAATTTTCATGACATTCCGACATTGTGTCATTGAGTTACAGTGGTTTTACTGATGCTACACCGTGTCACAAGTCGATGGTAACGATGGCCAAATTGCATGAGTTGAACCTCGAATTGCTTCCGCACCCACCGTATTCTCCAGATTTGGCCCCCAGCGATTATTGGCTGTTCGCAGACCTCAAGAAAAAAGATGCTCCAGGGAAAGAGATATGGCTCCAATGATGAAGTGATTGCCGAAACTATCGCCTATTTTGAAACCAAAGATCGTTCTACACGGGTGGCATAGAAAAGTTAGGAAAGCGTTGGAATGAATGTATCGCTCTTGAAGGAGACTATGTTGATGAATAAAGAAGAATTTTGGCAAACAAATGTTGTTTTAGTGAGTTAGTCCCGGGACTTATTGATCGATGTGTTATTATATGTATTCATTTTGAGGCTGTTGTATGAGGAATGATCGATTCCTTAAATCGGGTCATCGTACATAATTATACCCAGGTTTTCGTAAAGTGAGAAGCTAGAACAACAAAAGCCAGAGAGCCTACGGTGTGACTTTTTTCATACTATTTGTTAGTGGTTGTCCAAATATGCGACTATAAGCGTTGAAACTGGTCTAGTAAATCGAATGTTAGTTCCCTAGACTATCTTTCTCAGTGCTTATTCCTGGTTACGAATATTTTATAGTTAAGGCCATTCCGCTTTACGATAATGTCGCCTTGCAAAACGAAATAAAGTGAACGCAAAAATTTATACGCTTTCATTGATTCAAAATATCTAGATCTAAATCGATATACCTATTGATTCCGCGTGTTTCAAATTAATACCCTTAATTGTATATTGCATGTGTATGAAAGAGGAGGCGGAGAGGCGTGATTTATACCTTTAACATATTTCCATTTATATTCATTACACATTGAACAGAATCTCAACAAATATTTGTATTTTTCCCTTAATAATATTAGAATATTTTGAGCGGTGAGTAATAGGGAAACAGTAATATTAATTAATAAAAACAGTAAAGAAAGAAACAGTAATATTAATTTATATAATTAACATTGATAAACATTAAATAGAATGAAGGATTAATTTTGATGCGTCTTGTCTTATTACGTTTTTTAATATATCTCAAAATACGTAAAGTATAACGATATCAGTCGTTAGATTTGTAACCAATACAAATATCGTAAAGATAACATGTTATAAATACAAGTAAATTATAATTATCGCCAATTGTAAAGATCATGTAGGGAATATAATTACATGATGACATTTTGATACCCTGAGCTTCACACATCGCTCTCCAAGTGGAGTAAGATATACATAAAGAAACAAATAGCTCGTATGTTTGATTGACAAACACATGAAATATAGAAAACAGAACTTTCATCGAGATTTTTATACACTGATAAGTTTATGTTTCTTCATGCTCATGCGCGGATAGTAACTATTTAGATGCGGATTTGCGCGGTTCGATCTTGATGTTGAAACCATCGGTCCTCTTTAGGATAATGTCGCCTTGCAAATCGAAATCCTGATACGACACGTCGGACGTAATGCGATAATTCCTCAATATCGTCGACAACAGGACCTTCAATTTCAGCATAGCGTATTTTCGACCCACGCACGATCTATGGAAAGAAAACGGCCGATCATTAACGAATACGACGGTGTTTTTGATGGAATACACGGCTTTGGATACATCTCAAGGCCTTTTCTAATGTTTCCATAGACAGATGCATTCTTTTTTATTACCTTGGTCCAGCGCTGAAGGGAATAAAAGCGTAGTAATGTCTCTGCTGCATTTTCTCCGGTAGGAAGTTGTCCGGATTAAATACCAACGGATTCGGATAGTATTTCTCATTACGGTGTGCCACGAATTGCGTTATTATTACAGTGACATCTTTTGGAATAATATAATTGCCTGTAACTTTAAAACAATAATGATTTATCTCGTGCTCCTGTACAAATTAAAACAGGTATCCGCTATTTGACACACATCATATAACAGCGCCTTATAACGCAATAATAGCGTCTAAACTGACTAACTTACCAATCCTTACATCTTCATTGAGTTTCCTGGCTATTATAGGTACAGGCGGGAAAAGCCTGAGAGCCTCTAGAATAACTCTTTCGAGATACTTCATCTCTATCGTATCCTCGAAAGTGCAAGGCCTGTCGCTGTCGCCGAAGATTGAGTCTAATTCCTCGTGCACGCGTGCCTATTCGCAGCAAGTTAGTGCTATCAGTATAACTCAGAATAGTATACAGTAGTATTATCCAAGTAATATTATCTAATTTAGAAGTGTTGCCATGATCGTTGTCATGATATCGACGCAAACAAAACACAAGAAATGAAAATTAAATTGGTCAGATCGCTGCTATGCTATTAGTGATTTATTTCACCGAAATTTCCGCGATGTTATTTCGACATTCACTGTGCCTGGTAGTCTATGACGATGGAAAATTTTTCTAGAATATTACATATAAATATCCGATGGTGAACAAGTTTACCTGGATTTCTGGTAGAGAACCCAAAGCGCAAAGTGCGAAACTAGAACCAGCTGCTGTGGTATCGTGACCCTAAAATATATTTGTCGATTTACTTCTCTTTCGTTAATTAACTTCTTGTTATTATATGACGTGGCCAGTGCTCCGAATTTAATTTCAATGCTTTAGTAGAGAGACTCGATAATTATATAAAGAAAAGACACATTATCGCGCGATGCGACTGAGATCACACACCTCGAACATGATGGTGTTGACTTCCTCCCAAATCTCCTCGTCGGTCATTTGTCCGCCGTTCTTCTTCATGTCCATCAACATCTCCAGAAATGCGAGACGCTTCTTCTCGCCTGTGTCATTCTCATCGATATCATCGAGGTCGTCCTTGGCGTAATGCAGCTTTGTGTAATTAGCGGTACCGCTGTTGTCTCGCGCGTTTTCGGCCGCGATCGATTTTTCCATCTCGATATCACCGATCAGCGTTTTATTCTGCTCTTCCTCTTCGATGACCTTCCACTTCTCTCGGATCACGTTCTCCGTTAGGGTGTGAATAGTTTGGAGCAAACTTTTTTGTACTTTGGCGAGTTTTGAGAATTTGAACAACACATCCAAGCGTAACGACAAGTCGAAATGCCGCCGGTGCACGATATCGCTCAGTCTGCGTCATTGAATATTACATATACATATGTATGATGAATAATTTGAAAGTAGCAACGGTAGCAACACTTACTTCATTACGGCCATTGCATAGTCATATCCGGTGTTTTGCCTTCTCTCTCTCCTGACTCCCATCGCCGTCTCCGTCAAGATGTCTACAGTTACCGCCGATAAATAATCATGGCAATCGAATTGTTGACCGACTTTTTCGCGCAGTCGTCGAACGAGATCCAGACTGTTTTCGTAAAACAGAGGCGCAAATGTCTTCAGGATGCTCATGTGAAAAGTGGGCGCTATCGCTTTTCTGTGTTTGCGCCACTTGTCGCCTTTCGTGATCAGCAAGCCGTCTCCCAGCCACGGTTCGAAGAGTCTGCAATACATTTACAAAAGAATCCCACACAACGTACATACATGCCCGAAATCCATCTTACAAATGTCTAATAAAGGTTTCGTACAAAGTAAAAAATGCCATCTTTGGTCGATTTCTGAGACATATGTTCTGTCGGATGATTTTAGTTAACATGACAATCGAAACGCTATTCGCCACTTTTATTCTTGAATGAAAACAAATGTACGTATAGCTTCGTTTTAATTACTGATCTGATTCGTTACCTGTATTCCACCGATTTTTCGATATGCACGGGGCTGCTCAAGATTATCTCGATATCCTGTGGATCTCCAAGGAAAACAAAAGCTCTTGGTCCTAAATGTGCCGACACTACCGGTCCATATTCAGCAGAATATTTAATTGCAATATGCATTAAATTGTTGGAATCCTGTTGTAGAGTTATTAACGCGTGTCCTAAGATGGGCACGCGTGGTGGATCTGAAAGAAAGTACACGAGAGATTTACTGTGGGTCAATTACAATTGATTTTAATTCGAGCACGACGTAGGACTCATCTCAATGGAAGATTTTGATATTCGCCGACGCTTAAGATTTTATACGTTTGACGTACTTGGTAATTTCAGCGAAAGGCGAACATCACGTTTGGTCTCGATGTAGAAATACAATGCGACAAGCGTTGTAACGAACAAAGCCAGTAAAGTATAAGCCATGTTTGGTAGGTAAGATGTCGTAATCGATATCGTATCCATGATTATGCTCAGGTAAATATTGCTACACTCTTGATGAGATTCCTTTTAATTCCTCGCTTTCTATAATGTAACGATTTTGTACAATTTATTGATTCAGTCTAAATAAAGTCAGTTTAAATGAACAAACAAACACACAAGCACACAATGAAACTTATTAGAATAGTACGTTGAGCTTACCTTCGGATCTAGTCAAACAGCACTACTAATGCCTTGTCGGCACTTTTAACACTAACTGATTCTCGACTTGCAACGAAGCTTTATAACATGGTATATCGCATATGGCGGACGTCACGTCATAATAAATCGGTATCTGTGTGGGGATGGAAGAATTATTAATCTTTCGGATTATGCTGTGACCTAGTCAATATGAAATAATACATTGTAACTCGTGAGTTGCACAGTTAGCTGTTGAATATGCATATTGTGTTACGTGTGTATTACCATATATACAGTGGCGTGCAAAACTTTTGAGCCACACAATTATTATTATATATTCATTTCATAATGAGCGCTAAACACTTTACACACACACACACACACACACACACACACATATATATATATATATATATGTAAACAAAATGCATTTATTTGTCCTACAATTATATAAACTTTACAAACTCTTAATAATTCTAAATACTTTATTTTTACGCAAGGTCTTATTACAAACAGTGCAAAAGTATTGCGCCAAAAAGTTTTCTTATTCATAAGAAAAATATATTATTGAAAAATAATAACAGAAAATGTTGTCAACGTTTTTTAAACTGAACACTTTGTTGCCATTTCCTTTAGAAGCAATATCACTGCAGCATAACGGCAAGGCATTGACGCTATTAAATTAGAAATGCGATCTTGAGGTGAATTTTGCCGTGACTTGAGTTTGCAAATCTCGCTTGCATAATTCAGCTTTATTGGAGTGTTTCTTCTTATTTCCTGTACGTAGTTTGAGTATTCTTGCCACAATCATGCTCAATAGGATTCAAGTCCGGCGATTGCGAGGGCCGGATCAAGAACTCGCATTATTTTCACGATGAAAAATTTTTTTATTAGTTTTGATGAATGTTTGGATCGTTATCTTGTTGGAAAGTCCAACTACGTGGCATGTTTCGAGTTGCATATAGCAGCATATGCTGTGTCAATATATCTCGATACATTATAGCGTCCATAGTACCCGTGATCTCAACCAGTGGACCAACTCCATTATAAGAAAATGACCCCCAAACCATCACGTTACCTCCACCATGTTTCACGGTAGGAATTTGGTATCTTTTAGTTGTTATATCTTGTGCCTGTTGGACACTGTCGTATATACTTTCTACCGGCACTTCCGAATAACTGAAACTTTGACTTGTCAGAGAAAAATACTTTTCGCCAATCAACTTCAGTCCAGTGTTCAAATTTCTTTGCAAAATCTAATCGAGCTTTCGTATTTTTTGCACCATTGGATTTCACCGTCACTGGATTCATGTCACCGATACAAATATGGAAAAGATAACGACTTATAAATACCAGTAAATTATTGTAAATTATAAAGATCGTGTAGAGAAAACGATTACACAGATACGGCCTTTTGATATCTTAAATTTCAAATTCTTAAGTAGAATAAAGTATATATATATAGAAATAAATAGCCCGTTCGGCTGATTGACAAGCAAATGAAATATAGGAAATAGAACTTTCATCCAGATTTGTATATATTGATAAATTTATACTTCTTCACGCTTCTGCGCGATTAGTGTAACTCCTTTATCAGACGTAGATTTGCGTGACTCGATCTTGATGTTGAAACCGTCGCTCCTTTTCAGGATAATGTCGCCTTGTAGAGCAAAGTCCTGGTACGACACGTCGGAAGTAATGCGGTAATTTCTCAATATCGTCGATAACAGGATCTTCAATTTCAGCATGGCGTATTTTCGCCCCACGCATGATCTTTGGAAAAAAACCGGCCGATCAGTAATATGACACTTATTTCATGAGGTACATATGGCTTCGGCTACGCCGATGATACGTCTTAAGACATTCCGTCATGTGCTTCTATGGCATACAAGTGCATGTTTTTTGTTACCTTGATCCAGCGCTGAATGGAATAAAAGCGTAGTAATGTCTCCGCTGCATTTTCTCCGGTAGGAAGTTGTCCGGATTGAATACCAACGGATTCGGGTAATATTTCTCATTACGGTGTGCCACGAATTGCCCTATTACTACAGTGACATCCTTTGGGACGACATAATTGGCTGTAACTTTAAAACAATAATGATTTATCTCGTGCTCTTGTACACATTAAAACAGGTATCTGCTATTTGACACACATCATACAACGCCTTATAATAACGCAATAGCGTCTAAACTGACTAACCTACCAATCCTTACATCTTCATTGAGTTTCCTGGCTATTACAGGTACAGGCGGGAAAAGCCTGAGTGTCTCTAGAATAACTCTTTCGAGATACTTCATCTCTATCGTATCCTCGAAAGTGCAAGGCCTGTCGCTGTCGCCGAAGATTGAGTCTAATTCCTCGTGCACGCGTGTCTGTTCGTTGCAAGTTAGTGCTGTCAGTTTAACTCGAAATAGTATACAGTGGTATTATCTAACTTAAAAGCCTTGTTACCGTTGCTATGATGTAGTACAAACTATGATATCGTTGTTATGATATACTAAAATGCAGGGACTGACAATTTGAATGATAAGTTTCGGTGCCATTCTATCAGTGTTTCGTTTAACACAAGTTTAGTAGAGATACGACATACAGATACGTATGACTGGTTTGCGGTCATAAATAGCGAGATAAACGGAGAGAAAGAGGGAAGAGAAAGAAATGCTTTGCGCTGCTTAGTCAAAAATATTCTACAACTGATTTGAATGTAGCAACGGTGGCAACACTTACTTCATTATAGCCATTGCATAATCATGTCCGGTGTTTTGCTTCTTCTCCCTCCTAATTCCCATTGCCGTTTCCATCATGATGTCAACGGTTATCGCTGATAGATAATCGTGGCAATCGAATTGTTGACCGACTTTTTCACGAAGTCGTCGTACGAGATCCAGACTGTTTTCATAAATCAGAGGCACAAACGTCTTCAAGATGCTCATGTGAAAAGTGGGCGCTATCACTTTTCTGTGTTTGCGCCACTTGTCGCCTTTCGTGATCAGCAAGCCACCTCCCAGCCACGGTTCGAAGAATCTGCAATACATTTACGAAAGTATCTCATGCAACATACATACATGCCCGATGTCCATCTTAATAGTGTCTAAGAAAAGTTTAAATAAAGTAAAATGCCTTTTCCGATGTCTCGACATTTCTGAGACATACGTGTTATGTGGGATGATTTTAGTCAACATGACAATCGAAATGCCATTCTCGATTTCGCTTTTATACTTGTATGAAGACAAATGTACATATGGCTTCGTTTTAATTACTGATCCAAATCTTTTACCTATATTCCACCGATTTTTCGATGTGCACAGGGCTGCGCAAAATTATCTCAATGTCCTGCGGATCTCCAAGGAAAACAAAAGCTCTTGGTCCTAACTGTGCCGACACTACCGATCCATATTTAGTATAAAATTCAAGTCCTTTATTCATCACATTTTTGGGGTTCTGTTTTAGGGTTATTAACGCGTGACCTAGGATGGGTACGCGTGGTGCATCTGGAAGAAGGTACACCGTGAGTCAATTACAATGATTGATTTTGATTCGGACACGGCGCAAGACGCGCACGGCAAGGGAAGATATTGTAATATTCGCTGAAGACGCTTGAAGTTCTAAACTTTTCACGTACTTGGTAATTTCATCGCAAGGCGAATCACACGTCTGTTCTCGATATAGAAATACAATGCCATAAGTTGTAACGAGCAAAGCCAAGAAAATATAAGCCATGTTTGATAGATAAGGCGCTGTAATTGATAACGTATCCATTGTTACGTTGTTGAAATGTTACTATATTTTTGAGATTCCCTTTAGTTTCTCGCTCTCTAGAACATAACACTTTTGTAGAATTAATAAATTAAGATAGTTTAAATAATCACCTTTTCCTGACACACGTACACACACACACACACACACACAAAATTCGAAATCAATCAAAAAAGTACGCAGTGATTACTTTTTAATCTAGTCAAGCAGCACCATTGGTGTCTTGTCGGCACTTTCGATGCAGTCGCAGTTGCAACAGAGAACTTTATAACACTGTACGTTGCTTATGACGTTATGTCATAGTCTGTAAAAAGATATTTAAAAGACAACGATAAAATGCTATAACCTCGTCGGTATAAAATGTTGCATTATCGTGAGTTGCACTATTGGCTGTCGAAGGTGGACATTTGGTGTTACGTGCGTGTGTTTATTGCGTATTTCTCGAATTGGTTCTTCGCGAGTGTTGTTACATATTTGCACCTAGTTGTAATCTGGTAAAGATGAGACATAGAGACAAGTATAAGATAATTCCATCTGGATATTGTATGATGTTTTCGGATAGTCGCTCGACTATATATAAGACTCTTGGGTAATTTGCAGCGGTATCAATGAAACTGACTCGGTACGATAAAGAGATTGTTTATAAATTAGAGATGGAGAGATTAATGTTATGTGATTAGAGAATGTAGAGATTAATATTGTCTGGTACTTATCAAGTGTACGACCGATATATTATTTGTTACGACTAGCGCGAAGTAATGATTTTCATAATAAAATAAAAAGTCATCAAAATAAGAGTCAAAATCATAATAAGATAAAAAGTCTCTTCTATAGATAAATATGACGTGTATTCATTTTGCTGAAGCTGTTATATGAGGAACGATTCCTTAGATTGATCTATCTTACGTAATTACGACCGGATCTTCGACAAGTGAGAAGCTAAACGAACAGAAGCCTCGCAGAGCGTTTGCAAATATCCGACTAGGCGTTGTATATATCGGTCAAGTGAGCCGACTGCTATTGTCAGTCAGGTTGCCTGTATTTATACCTGGTTACGAATAGCTCACAGTTTCGGCCACTCTGACGTATGTTCCCAAACATTAATACCGTATACGCAATTCATTTCCTCTTTTTCTTTTTCCCTACGATGTTTACTCAAGTAACCTTTGATCTTGGTACTATCGAAACCAAAAATATAAACGCCTAGTCGAAACAATAGAATTAAATGCCGCACGCAAATAAACGCAGATACATGCGACATAAAATCTAATACGAAATACGCCGTTTGAATTTGAATAAAAGGTTAATAAATATAGTTTGCGGTAGAAACGGCATCGGAGCAAAGCATGTATATTTTGGCAATGATTATAGTTTTAATTTATTCCAAGTATCACTTAACCAGCGATGAATCAGCGATTTAACCTATGTTTTTAATTTATCTACTGACAATTTAAAATTGAAAGCTTTGGCTATACCCGCGATATATTAAATCCTAAACGACGTTTTACCGAACGGGTTTTATCGAATACTTTCGTAATCTCGTAAGAACTTTTACAGTTTAATTTAAATTTTCTGTCTTCGCCGGGTATGTGAAATGCAAACTCAAAACTAATACATAAACACTGACTTTATATTTGGTGCGTGTTTTAGGTGCTTTAATCATAATAGATTTTTTTATTGAAAATATCGCAAAATAGTATGAGAATTTTATATTTATCTTAATCCGCTCTATGTCTCCATGAATTCCTCGGAGCGAGGAATTCGTAAAACACTCTGTAACATGTGTTTTCGATCGCAATTTTAGTATTATTTCAACTTCGAATTATTATCTCAAGGAATGCCGCCGCCATCGTATGTATATATTTAAAATCATACTTATTTTCTCACGTCTCGCAATCCTAGGGCACACACACACACACACACACACATTCGACCTGTTTTTCGTATTGATAGTCTTTTGATACTTTCCGATATCTTTTTCCCATTATTCTATGTCTGTTACCATCCATGCTTATTTCGAGCTATGTTTTATATTCCGGCCACGGTATTCCTAAGAGGACGCAAATGTACAGCGAGATTTCTCTGGTACGCTAAATTCCGCTAAAGACCAACAGTCTTTATAATATCTCGTCGGTGGCGTGTATAAAGGGAGAACGCGTGATTTATACTTTTAATATATTCGCACTTATTTATTCATTACACATTCGTTAGAGTTTGGACAAATATTTGTAATGCTCTCTTGATATTTGGAGTATTTTGAGTGGTGAATAATAGGGAAAGAGGTATCCTTAATATTAATTTATATAATTAATATTAATAAACAATGAATAGAACAATAGAGTGAAGGATTAATTTTATAACGGGGGTTGTATTATTATTATTATACGTTTTATTTATCCCAAAATACATGGAATATATTGGTATCAGCCATCAGATTAATAACCGATAATATCGAAATATCGAAAAGATAATGACTTATGAATACAATACAACAATTGTAATGATCACCAATTGTAATGATCGTCCTTACGGAAGGCGATTACAAGGATTACGACTTTTTGATATCTGAAACTTTAAATATCGCTCCCCAAGTGGAATAAAATATGTATAAAGAAACAAATAACGCGTTTGTCTGACCGACATAAGGAAATATAAAAAGTAGAGCTCTCATGGAGATTTTCATACACTGGTAAACTTATGCTTCTTCTCGCTTATGCGCGGATAGTAACTCCCGTGTGAGAGGCGGGTTTGCGCGGCTCAATCTTGATGGGGAATCCGTCGCCTCTCTTTAAGATAATGTCGCTTCGCAGAACAAAGTCTTGGTACGACACATTGGAAGTAATGCGGTAGTTCCTTAATAACGTCGACAACAGGACCTTCAATTTCAGCATAGCATATTTCCGTCCCACGCACGATCTACGGCAAGATACCGTCGGCCATTAATACACCGAGTAATACTGAGACCACTAAACTGTAAAAACTGTAGTCACTTTATAATTTCCTATGGAAATTATTCAAATTTATATAACAAAGCAATTTGTATTTTTAATGGACGTTAAGTGAAATTGAAAGAAGTAAATAAACATTTTTGCTCTTGCACAATTTGCGCTTGTATTTTATCAAAAACTTGTAATTCCGGCCATCCCCGATAGATGCAGGTCGCATTGATCGTGCGTAATTGTTGTGCGTAACGTTAAGAGGTTCTTGAAAATGTTTTCGTAAATAAATACGTTTTTGGGTTACCTCGGTCCGGCGCTAAAGGGAATAAAAGCGTAGTAATGTCTCTGCTGCATTTTTTCCGGTAGGAAGTTGTCCGGATTAAATACTAACGGATTCGGGTAATATTTCTCATTACGGTGTACCAGGAATTGCACCAGCACCGTTGTGGTGTCCTTCGGGATGACGTAATTGCCTGTAACTTTAATACAAAGAAACTTTGGAACATGTCTCTGTACAATTGATAATACGAGTGCCTGCAATATGGTGTTGCACGGCACCTGATGAAACGATCAAGCAGTCGGATCGGTACTTACCAATCCTTACGTCTTCATTAAGCTTCCTAGCGATAAAAGGTACCGGCGGAAAGAGCCTGAGTGTCTCTAAAATAACTCTCTCAAGGTACTTCATCTCCAACGTGTCCTGGAAAGTACACTGCCTGTCGCTGTCGCCGAAAATTTTGTCCAGTTCTTCGTGCACACGTGCCTGCACAGTGCACATAAGTGCACACATTAATAACTTGGATATGTCTCTACCGAATATTCAGTTTCACGGATATTACATCGGTATTCTGTCTGTATTACCCGGGTAGGAAGAGAAAAAATTAAATTTTTATGCAACCATGTTTCCCTAACAAAAATATATTCCCTTCTGTAAAGCTGAATATATGAAACTATGAGAGGTTGCAAAGTCAACGAAAAGTGAATATTCTGTCGGATCTCATATTCATGTTTTAGTATACTTTGATCCATATTTGGCAGCAGAATATATTGGTTTTACGTACGTTTTCCCAATATACAGTGACGTTTCGGAAACGACACGTGTGCTACCTGGGATGTAGAATCTAATATTAAGATCTAAGAAATACCAATCTTAATATCTTCACCTACAAATTGAAATGAATGAAAAATAATTTATAACATGTATAAAAATATATTTGTTTATAGAATGACTCGAGAAATAAGAGAAAAGCAATAATGAGAGTACTGTACATAACTGTGCATTGGGTTATTTGGATAATTCGAGGAGGCACATTCAGCTGTGCAACATCTGGACGATGTTCTCTTCAAGTTGAAGAGAAAAAGGTGCAGAAAAAAGATGGTTGATTAACGATTGGTACAATTGACACGGAGAACGCAACCCCCCGGTGACGGGGAGGGAGTGAACGTTCGAAATTGTGATCGAAAGCGCGCGATTGAGTCGACATCAGTTTAACCGCACGATAAAATTAATAATTTCCCACGGGATGGACGACATAGTGAACGGCAAGAAGTTGTTCACCACGTATCACAAGATGTACGCCACGTGCCACACCACGGAGAAGGACGGCAAGCATAGAATAGGTCCTATACCTGTACGGCATTATGGGCAAAACTTGTGCAAAAGTGAGTGCGTGGAACAGCCAGCGCGTTAGCTAATTAGCATAGAATTAAATTAGCTGGTTTGGAAATAAAAGTAGGGGAAGCACACACATGCACACATACGCGTACGCAGCGACCTTGTTTAGGAAGTACTACTCGCTTAGTTAACGTGCTTACTCGCAAACTCGGGATTCAATTTCTCGGAAAACATGAAGCAGAAAGCCGTCGTGTGGGACGAGAATATGTTAAATGAATATTTGGAGGTGCCCAAGAAATTCGTCCCGGGAACGAGGATAGCGTTCTTCGGAACTCAAGAAAGCTCAGGAGCGCAAAGACTCGATCGCCCATTTAGCTACATTAAAATAACCGCGATTCGAAAAAAAGTATTAACCCAAGAAACAATACCACTTAATTATAAGTTGACTCGCATTACTGCGAGTCACAATGTGAGAAAGAAGAGACGAATCAATTCACTGGGATGTTATTTATCAAGGTTTGTCTTAAACATGCTTGCAACTTTCGAACTGATCGAAAAGTAATACCGACCCTCATACGCGGCCGTCTATTGTGAATTTTCTAATAAATATACGTACACAGATATTACATAAAATATTCCCTTAAATATATATTCGATCGTGAGTAAGTTTACCTGGATTTCCGCAAGACATCCCAACGTGCAGAGCGCGAAACTCGAGCCGGCTGCTGTGGTGTCGTGACCCTGAAACATTTTCGTTAATCAATTTCCTGTCATCACGTGGCTGGCCAGCGCGCTGAATTGTTTTGATTTCGGTACTTTACAGGATTGTCGATAATTATGTAAAAAGAAAAAAAAAAAGAAAACATGATATCGCGACGCGACTGAGATCACACACCTCGAACATGATGGTGTTGACTTCCTCCCATATCTCCTCGTCCGTCATCTGTCCGCCATTCTTCTTCATGTCTATCAACATCTCCAAAAAGGCGAGTCGCTTCTTCTCGCCTAAGTCGTTTTCATCGATGTCATCAAGGTCGTCCCTCACGTAATGCATCTTTGTGTAATTAGCGATATTGTTCTTGTCTCCCGCGTTCGATTTGTTCGTCTCAATATGCTCGTCCTGCGTTTCATTCTGCTGCTTCTCCTCGATGTCCTTCCATTTCTCTTGGATCACGTTCTCCGTTAGCGAGTGAACGGTATGAAGCAAACGCTTTTGTAGTTTGGCGAGCTTTGAGAATTTGAACAGCGTATCCGGGCGTAACGACATGTCGTAGTGCCGCCGGTGCACGATATCGCTCAATCTGCGACATTCGACGTACAGATATATATATATATCTATATATGACTGTTTGCACGCGTGAGATGAACAGAGAGAAAGAGAGAAGGGAAAGAAAGCAGTGCTTTTCACTGCTTAATCAAAAATATTCTATAACTGATTTGAATGTGGTGTGGTGATGAAACGGTAGCAACACTTACTTCATTACGGCCATTGCATAGTCATATCCGGTGTTTTGCCTTCTCTCTCTCCTGACTCCCATCGCCGTCTCCGTCAAGATATCTACAGTTACCGCCGATAAATAATCATGGCAATCGAATTGTTGACCGACTTTTTCGCGCAGTCGTCGAACGAGATCCAGACTGTTTTCGTAAAACAGAGGCACAAATGTCTTCAGGATGCTCATGTGAAAAGCGGGCGCTATCGCTTTTCTGTGTTTGCGCCACTTGTCGCCTTTCGTGATCAGCAAGCCGTCTCCCAGCCACGGTTTGAAGAGTCTACAATACGTTGACAAAAGAATCTCACACTGCACGCAATTGTCCGAAATACGTCTCAAAAGTGTCTAAGAGGAGTTTGAAGAAAGTAAAACGTCTTTTAATCGTTAATTGTTCAGACATGTGTGCTGAATGTGAGGAGTGATTTTAGGCAACAGCGCAATCGAAACTCTTTGCGCCATCCGTCACTTTCACTTTTATACTTCGATGAAGACAAATCTACGCATGGCTTCGTTTGAATTACTTATCGGATTCGTTACCTATATTCCATCGATTTTTCGAGGTGCACGTTACTGCTCAAGATTATCTCAATGTCGTGCGGATCCGACAGGAAAGTGAAAACTCTTGGTCCTAAATGTGCCGACACTACCGATCCGTATGTCTCAGTATATTTTATACCTTTGCACACAAAGTCTTCGGGTTTTATTTTCAATGTTATTAGTATGTGACCTAAGATGGGTATGCGCGGTGGATCTGGAAGTCAAATTGATCGGGATATTTTCTTTTTGCAGTGAATTAATTATAACGATCGGTCGTGAGACATAGCACGACGTAGCGGGACGCGTCGACATTGATCGCGTCCCGATCCGCCGATCGCCATACGTACTTGGCATTTTTGTCGACAGACGAACAGCACGATTGGTCTCGATGTAGTAATACAATGCGAGTAGCGTGGTGATGAACATGGCGAGTATGGTGTACCCTATGCTTGATAGGTACGACGTTATCGATACAGCATCCATCGTTATTCGCAATTATCGTTTGGTGCAACGTTGTTCTATCTTTCTCTCTTTTCGCACCACCCTCATGTATTACTCACTTGATTATGACAATACAAATAAATCAATGAATTAAGCAATTCGAACACTATTGTGGGGTCAACCAATTTACCGGGCGTCTCAAGGATCCTTTCCGCGATGAGTTTGACTTTCTTGCGTTTGCGTTCTAGGTTCTAGCTAGATACTAGGTTCTAGCAAAACTGTCTGTTCCTAGCATGTGCGCGCTGCTTTATATATACTTAGCAAGCTTTGGTATTTTCCAATTCTATAATGATACGATCAGTTTTGGCGGGGATAGTTCGTATAATGGATCGCGGCATATTTCATTCATACAATGTAAATGTATTGTTATGTAAATGTATGTTACGTTACTTGATTTCATTGTCCCAATTTTCAGCAGATTCTCCACAAATGTAGCAGTTGTGTGCTTCTACGTATAATATCGTCATTTATATACAGATAAATATATCATTATAATATATTAAATTAATATTATAATTAAATTAATTTTATTAAATTGATAAAATATTAATAAAATTATTACTATAATAAAAACAAATTATTATTATTATTATTATTATATGACGTACAATATTGTCATTTATATATAGAGAAATATATTATTCTACCGCTAAGAGAAAAGCAATTATATTCATTTTACTTTCCTTCTCTTAAATAATATCAACTTTTGTCAATTCTTTTCGAAATAACGGGATATTATTCTCTCTTTTTGAGAATATTATGAATATTTCTTCCATCACAGTCGGCTTTCTCGCAATTTTTCGCGTATATCTAACAATGCATTTTTGCATCCTAAGAAGGAATGCCTTTTTATTATCATTAACATTGAGCACCCGCTACGTCACTTATCATACACTCCACATTACAAGCATCAATATTTACGAATATTTTTGAACGATTGTGCAATCACGATGACAAGCAGTTACTGTTCGTTCACGGAAGTAGCTTAAACGGATGTGACACAGCAATAGGATTATACGTGGCTCTCTTATAACCAATCGATTCATCGATGAGAAAGAAAAATAATGGAACGGCCGTCAGTGGCGCGATCGCGTATAATCGTTCGGGCTATTTTCGATCTGCGATTTTCGATCGGATCCCCCCCCAATGATCCGTGAGTCCGTGAGTCATTTCGTCTGGTGCTTATGGTTATCGTGGATCATTTATCGAAATTACGAGAGCGGGGAGATGGTATATATAAATAGTAAAATGTATTTTAAAAATATTCCATAAAAAATATCAAGTACAGATTCTTCGTAGAATACTTATGCTAAGCTTAATCAAGGCACTGGTATTTACAGAAGCGCTAACATTAACACGCCGGTAGCAGGTGGATTATCGTCTAAGTTTTGCGCAAAGTATTTACAGCGAGAGAGGCTTAAACTACTAAAGCGACACGTCTCCGACGTTTTCATAATATTTTTGTTATACGCGAGTCGTATACAAATTGTCCTGAGAGATCAAAACAAAGAGAGAGAGACAGAGAGAGAGAGACAGAGAGAGAGAGAGAGAGAGAGAGAGAGAGAGAGAGAGAGAGAGAGAGAGAGAGAGAGAGAGAAGGAGAGGGAGGGATGGAGGGAAGGAAGGAGAGAATGAGAACAATCGTCGAGTGTCGCAACGCACTTCCTGCGAGTGATAGGAAATTTATAATAGAAAAAATATCCGCAATCGTAACGTCATTCTCGACAATGTATGCAATGAAATATGTATTGCATACGAGTATGCCTCGAGTTATATTATTATAATGAATACAGTCACGCGCTAGAGTCGAAGGTACATTCGTAACAAATCTCATACGTTTCCGCGAGCGCTTCGCGCGGCTCGTGATATCTTCACATAGGCGGACGATAATCGCATTTTTCGTCAATGAACCGACAGCGAACTCGATCGGGGCTCATCTCGGAATTAAGGCACGTAAATACGTTTGCATGTGCGACAAGACGCTATCAAAGATAGACTCTCGAGGAGAGTCGTCGAGGAAAGAAAGTCGCCGATTGTTATTCGCTCGCTGCGATCGCGTGCAACCGGCGGAGCAGCTTCAATACGCGTCGCAATTGCGTCATTGGCGTCTCCTAACTGCACTATCGATTTATTGTGAAATTAATTATTCAACCACGCGGACACGACGTGTCGAAACGATGGTGTGTCGCTGTGACGGCTTTACGTTAATATCGTGTTAATACGTGGCAGTGAATACGTACGATTACATCGAGTAGCGGCGGCTTAATTGTGCCACGTGTCAAGGCTGTTTTGCCGGTTAGCGACGAATATATTCGAGCGATCGCTTCTTCGATCGAGCCGGCTGTCGCGCTTCTCCACATACACAGATACAGTGGTGCTTGCTTTCCGGTGGTGCTGCCGGTGTGGCTTCATTTTTCCCGAATACTCCGTGAGAAAAAGTTTCAAGTACAAAATATAGCCTTAAGTTTATTGTGACGCGCGACTCCTCCTCCTCCTCCCACTTACGATTAATTAAGGCACTTGTATTTACAGATGCTTTTGATTGTGTCTCGCAGCGTTTCAAGTCGTTCCAACACGGCGCGCGTCAACAAGTTAGGTCGAGCGAGGAGACGATAGAGGGCAGAAGAAGCGCGAATAATGCACGTATACGCTTTTCCTTGGCAATTTCCCAACCTCGCGGGTAAGTTTATACATACATTACGTGTATTGTATTCGGCATTTATCGTCCTCTCGCCGGCTGACTTTACTTTTTGACACACACACTGTATACCTCGTCCGCCTTATTTTTCTTTTATGCGATACCTTAAGCATAAATATATTTGTATACATATATATTTGTATGTATCAAATAGCGCGATGCATAATAAACGCAAGATGTAATAAATATTTCGCTAACATCGGCTTTACGTATAAATAAGAGTGTCGCGTTTCTCGCTTCTCAAACACCTCAAACCACGTGAATAATGTAAAAATTTAATAAAAATATCGTATAAACGATCACAAGGATATCCGTACAACAAGGATTTTATCGTTCTTATTATAGCACGTAGAGTCGTATATTATAGCACGCGCACACGTTACGTGCGTTATGCACATCTATCATAATTCTATAGTTACGCGGCGTTCTTTCGGTTATCGATAAAAAGTGACTTCAATAATAATCAAATTCACGATGTAATTAAATTAACTGTATCCGTGTTATATATGTATACATACATATACGACGCACAAATGGCCGAGCAGGTATTTCTTTCTGGAAGCGCAAAGTGCCATTGCTAAGAGGAATTAACGTACATTTCTTTCTCTATTGCTCTTAAAGAAAGATCATCGATTAATGCAGTTGAGAATGCCTTACGGAGGTAACCGAGTCGATCTGATATGTGAAGTTAACCCAATCTAATGTGTATGTGTGTGTGTGTGTGTGTGTGTGTGTGTTTGCGTGTAGATGTATGATAACTGATTTCTTAAATAAATATATCATTTGCATTAAATAAACGTTCAACATCCGTAATAGTTTTACCTCCCTACTATCCAAAAGACGACATTGAGACTTCGCCGTCAGCGTCCAAGCGTCTCTCGTCGCTGTAAGTACGATTTTCCAACTTTTCTTATCGATCGCAAATGCAACGCGACGTCAAGTTCGGATGTTGCGCATTTTAGCGAGTGAATCTTCGTTCTGGGCTGAAGATGAGATCATGCGAAATTTCATCGAGGCGTATCGCGTGAGGCGCATAGATCGGGCCTCGAATCGATGCGAAACATTGGACTTCTCCCTAGTTGGACCTTATAACTGAAAACAGAAACAGCAAAGAGGAGATTAATACGCTGTATTGATGCGCGATATTAAATTGTTCAACAAATGGGGAACCGGTGTGTGTATTTTTAAGCGATATCGGGGCTTGCGTACTCGCATGCCGGCCAGTACTGTAAACTCAAATATATCATAGATGTGAAAATACTCGATGAAACGATATAAAAATGCTCGGGTTGTATTCGACAAACATTACGTAGCGTCGTAAGAATCGCGTTTCCTTTAGATTGTTTCGTGAGATCTCGTGGATCATTCTTCGCGAACGCGAAAATTTCTCCCCTGTGACGACCGTTACGGCGCGAGTGCGCACACCCGTGTGTGCACCCTCGTCTAAGATTTATATCGAAAGAAAACAGTCTCCACCACAATTTCATGATCCATCGTAGGGAATAAGGGGAGGAGGAAGGATCTCCCGCGTGTCCTCTCTCTCCAGCGATCCTTTGTCCCGTCTCGCGCTATTGTGTTCCGTTCGCTGGATCGCGTGGATCGTTCGTTTACCTGAATCGGGGAAGAATTAAATTCAGAAACGGACGGCCGAATCGCACGGATGTCCCGTAGATTCCGGATATGTCCGTGGGAAAGAAGGAAGAAAAACGCGAGTACGAATACAACGTGGCAAATCCTCGTCTCGTCGTCAGGCAGGAAACGTCGTCGGACGGCAAGAGGTACGGGATGGGTCCTGATGCAAAAGGAATCTCAGTTCTTTTTCTACTTTACAGTTCATTGAATCGCAAAATTCAACGGACAACAATAAAAATACGCGACTGATAACCAGCCGCAGTTCGTCATATTTTTGCGCAATAGGAAAGATATTACAGGATCAGCGATTTCGTAGTCCGGCAGCGAAACAAACACTGGATCTCTTTCTGCAGCGGCAAACCGATGAAGGACAATTTGAGGAATAGGAAAGGGAGTATACATGTGTCTGTGTGCATGGTAAATGAAAATGACGAGAGATAAACTGGAGAAAGAGAGAGAGAGAGAGAGAGAGAGAGAGAGAGAGAGAGAGAGAGAGAGAGAGAGAGAGAGAGAGGACTGCCACGCCCGCACTTTTAAGGTCCTGGAGGCCGACAAACGAAGAGTCTTTGGCGCTCTATGCGTTGTTTCGAGTCTGGAAATCTTCAATCTCCTTATGCTCTGCTTATCTGACGCACCTTATCGCCTTGTGATAAATACGAAGCAGAATTCAAGAAGCACGCACGTGTCTCGCGGAGCATCGTGCAACTTATTTCTCTTCGCTTTTCAACAGTACGTTTAAGAATAGCGCGTAAACTTTTCATCGGACTGATGTCGTGCGCAAACGCCCAAACAATTGAAAAGTTCTCGAATTACGAAGAATTGAAATATCAAATAATTGCAACGTAAGGATAAAGTCTCTCAGAGGTTACTGTACAGTCAATTTATAATACGAGAGAAATAAAATATGGTAAGAGCCCATGATGTATCTTCTCAAGGCCGGCAAGACGGATTTGCGGAAAGTCGTGAATTCAGCGGCACATACCGAAATCGGCTTCAAACGGTCGTCGCAGTCGTCGTTGCTTCGAAGCCGACGCATTGCCATGCTGGTAATGTTTATTGATAAGATAACTAACATGCGGGTTCCACCAGCATAATTGTTCGTTGGATACGTTGTTCCACGTACTGAATATCCGCGCGGAGCGAGAAGACGCAGGCGACGTCGGCAAACGCGACTGCGGCATGATCGCTGCGGACATGATCGCGTGCTCGTTTTGCGAGCATATAATAGTAACAGTAGCAGCAATAACAGCAGTAATAGCAGTAATAATATTAGCAGCGGTAGTAGCAGAGTAATTAAATACAGTAAGTAAATCGAGTTGACGCATCTCATCCGGCACGAGCGGTCGTTAGTCGCGCGTTTGGTTTTCGAGGAATAATTTTCCACGCAAAGAAAATCGGACACGAATGCCGGCGAGAATAATCGTTTCCGCCGAATACAGAAGCCGCAACGTCATTAGGACAAACGATCACGGGGAAATGGGGGGAGGGGGGAGACACGCGCGCGTTCTATCTCGCGCGCGGGAAACGTTATCCGCGCGTCGCGCGAGAGGAGTCAGGAGTCATTTTCGAGGGTCTCGCTCGGATTCGAATAACGGATAAAGCTCTATCTCTTTTTCTACCTCGTTATTTCCTCTTTACGTAAAGCGGATTTATGGACTCCGGCGTCGGCGCGCCCGGCGAAGGGTCCCGAGAAAAATTCTCACGATTACGTCGCCGGTGCGCGACCGTATCTCTCACGCGCCATATTTAATCTCCGTAATACGTTTCAATTATTAAAGCGAGACGCGATCATTATTCGCCGCAAACTTTAAGCCCGCGCCATCTCCGCTCGCGCGCAAGCGGAAGGAGGCACACACGCCTCGCCGCGAAAGTTTCTCGTATCAACGCGACGTTACGCGCTACACTTGGATTAATCGCGGCCGAACGCCGTGAATCATCCCGCGCTTAATTCGCATAACGCGTTTCCGTTATCGGTGTAATACGTTATTCGGAAAAAAGAGGGAGCTTAATTGGACTGCCCGTGGCTCGCGAGCGCCACGAGGGGCGGAGATCGAGAGAGCCGGGCTCAGCTCGCGAATTAACGCGGGGTTAAGGCCTCCGCGGGTCTCTATGCCCCTCGCGAGAGACGAACTCTCTCGCAGGCGAGGAAGAAAACCGGCACAGAGAGCGGTCGCACGCACGCACGCACGCACGCACGCACGCACCGATATACGTGACCGGGAACCGAGCGAGGAATTTATTAAATTAATTTGCCGTGACGACGCATCTCGTAAACTTCGTAGATGACCTCACTTTATAATTGTCGGGAATTACTTGCCGGCCGGCCGCGAGGCCCGCTCCGGGCCCTCGAGAACGCGCGAGAGCCTCCTTGTGCTCCCTGCCGTTCTCGTCGCGCCGATACGCTCCTTCAATAACACGCGCTGAGAAACGGTAGGAGCGCGGCCAGATAGAACAGAAAAAGAGAGACGGCAGGAGAAACCGACGAAGGGACGCCGCAAAGCTGGCGCGACTTTACCGATCGATTTTATCGATCGATCCGATTGGGGTCGTCGGACCGGATAGACCTCAGCTGAGTTTTTACTCCACGTGACGTTGCCGTAATCGTTACCTCATCCCTCACCGAGGAATGCCTCCTTGGTTCTCTTGTTTCTCTTGTTTCAATGGCGGAATTGGGAGAGAAAAGCGACATCATATGGTTGACCGGAGCGACGTCGAGCTTCTGTCGTTCTCTCCAGTCGATCAACATGTACGCGTCCATCAGTGTTGTATACGTCGGTCCGCGCACACAGCACGTGCGCGTTACGCGCGTTTCTAAGGAAACCGCGACTTCTATTTGCGGCACCGGCGACTCTGGCACCGTCCGCTAACTGATTCTTTTCCCCGTCGTAATCGCGACTTATCCCAGGGTCGGACAGATCCATTTCTGGGTTAGTAATCAACACGTGGAAATTAATGGGGATGCAGAAGATGGAGACGCAAATGAAAAACTTCTGAAGGAATGAAAAAAATGCAAACTTTATTTTGCTGAAGAAAAGCTACCAAATCTGTAGAAACGTTGACCCAATCAGCCAAGGCCGGATAAAAATGGGAATAGAAAGGTTTTAATAACAAACAATCGTGTTAACGAGTAAATGGGACCAATGGGACACCAAAAGACCTGTCCTTATTGACGTTTACGTTAAACTTCGACCCCACCACAGTCCTCTTTCCTCCTCCGGTGCCTAATATTGTATGGAACATCAGAACAGTGGCAGAATGGCAAGCTGTCCCTCTTCGCATTCGCGCATAGATACTCCACGTCTCGTGTGTGTGTGTGTGTGTGTGTGTGTGTGTGTGTGCAAGATTCCCCTAAGTGGACTTGGGGAAAATGAATAGCCGGGTCGTGAGACGAACATGTGTCGGATACCCATGGGAATCGATGATCGGCAATTGGAAACCGAGAAGATTGAGGAAGGTCTGGTCGCGAGATATTTCGAGGAGGATATCCAACATATGGCTAGACGTTCCGCCACTTCCGTTCGTGGTCGCGCGCTTTTAAGATGACTACGCCACGACTCACCACTGGCCATGTGTCCCCCAAATTGCATACTGTAGACCATTAAGAATGTTGTGACCTTCGATGCACGAAGCTCAGAACATATGTATAATAGGGGAAAGAAATTGGAGTTGCATATGCGTGGATCACACAGTAGTGATGCCTCCGAAGCCGGAACTTTCGCCGTGGAAGAATCTAAATCGAGGTCCAAATTCCACCATGTCCGACATATTGCGGTCGCTACTATCAATAGAACTTAACTTTACGGGTACTAGTTATGTATCCAGGTGGTGGGTTACACTCGGGTACCCGGATACCTAATCTACTCAGATAGCTGGATACCTAAAGGTATGGACAGTAATCAGGTGCTCGGATATTTCGGGGTGTCCATAAGTATCCACAAGTGATTTTTATTCTTATTATTTTTGTAACTTCCTATTCAGACACCCAGATATCCAAATGTTCGACTAATTTGAGTTTACTTAAGTAGCTAGGTAATACCAGAAAAACTTAAAAGGCTGGCTAGCACCCGAGGGTGCTTGAAATTGAACACCACTGATCACGTTAATTTCAAGAATAAGATGTATCTTTGGTTTTGTTGTTTATTTAGATGTAATTAGAAGCGATATCCAAAGCGATGAAAATGACCTCCTTGCGGTAAGCTTCGATAATAATTCGATGTCGCGAGCTGTCCTTATAAGGGTACTTCGTTTTTACGATAAAGTCTCTCGAGAGGGTTTGCTCGAAGAGTACGAAGGAGGAGACGATCGCGACGACCAAGTGTCACGTCGGCACGCACTTCGCAAAGTGGTCTCGGTACGTAAAGTTTATTTTTGGGCTCGGCGGCGACGTAGCACGTGTTCGACGCTTCGCCTCGAACACGAGTTTCCACTTGGCGGCGCTTCCGCGACGCGGGTATCACGTGTGCATCCTGAGCGCATCGGCAACGCAACTCGCCATGACACCGCCGTCCAAAGAGACATTTCCACCCTCGCCTAGCGTATCGCTTTTTAAAAGGGCTTCTTTTGCTTATCGCGCAACCGGGCGTCGCTTAAGATCGAAACTAACCCTTACCAAGTCTGATGACCCTTACCCCCTCTCTTCGTTCTCTCTTGAGACGTAACAAACCGAAACCGAAGTGTCTTATTATTCGTAGCGAAGCGGAGGAGAGCGTTTTCTTTTTTTTTTTTTTTTTTTGGAAAATACGTTGCATTGACCGACGTACAATTTTCCATTTGAAAAATTAAATTTGCCCACCTCCTTCATACTTATTCGTGAGTGCGAGCGCGACCTTTCCCACAATTAGCGTTCATCGACCGAACTGACGTGGCTTTCCAATTCGAACGGACTGCCGTTAAACTTGTCGGGGACTCACCTATGGTTACACGTGCGTCAGCCGTTGCGTGTGCTGTTGATGGACGAGCCTGCCCTGTTCCTGTTCCCACCAGCTGACGACGTCCATGAATTCCCCCGTCTCGGTGATCTCCTGCTTGTAGTAGAGGGCTCCCGAGAAGGTGTCCGGACTGGTCGCGTAGATGGTCGTTGCGCCCTCTTCGCTGTCACCGGCGCCGCTGTAGGGCGACAGGATCTGCGGTTCCAGATTCTCCTCGTTTTGAGTATAATACTCGGACGGCGGCGAGGCCGCGGAGTTCGGCGAGAGATTCCTGGAGAAATTTTGCCCGCTTGTTACAGTGCGCGGCTCCAGGTTTTCCTCGTCACCGCCCGGCGATGCATAGTACTCGCGCGGCGATGGCTCGGCCGTTCGATTGGGGGACAATCTACGAAGAGAGAAGAGGACGAGATCAGCGTGGCTGGAGCGAAAAGCGCCAAAACACGTTTCCGCTGGGATGTTCTGGGATGTCTCTGCTTTCCTTTCCAGCCGTTCGGTTCAACGCTCGGGATTTACCTGGATAGTGTGATCCTCGATTTCACGTTACTCCCGTCCTCCTCCTCGTCCAATTGCTCTCCCTCGTCGTCTTCCGCGGCCAATACGTCGTCCTCAAGAGCGAGTCTCTCACCGGAACCGTTATGAGTCGAAGAGACGACGCTGCTGGTCGGAGAAGGGACGCACTGTGCCCCAGCACCAGTACTGGAGTCGTACTCGACGCCATCGGCCTCGGCTAGAAGCCTCTGAAGGCCTCGGATGTACTCCACCGCCATCCTCAGTGTCTCCACCTTGGACAGCTTCTTACCCCTGTCCCCGTAACCCGCGGCAATGTGGCTCGGAATGTGTTGTCTCAACGTGGCGAATCCGTTGTTCACCTGCTTCACGCGATTCCGCTCCCGAGCGTTTCGTCGGGCAACGGCGACGGGTGGCGGTTGCCCATTCTTACCGTGCTTCTTCAGCCTGGAGGGGTCGTAGGGGGGCAACACCGCCGTCGAGCTCGTTGTGTTGCTGGCAGTGTTGCTTTTCGGTACGATCAGCGGCTGGTTGCTGATAATGTTACTCTCGTTGTCTTGTAAGGTCCGCAGCAACATCAGCTGTTCCTGATCGTTTCCGTTGATCTGTACCCTGTTGCAGAACACCGTCACTCCCATGGTCGCCATCTCGCGGCCTCAACGCGGTTACAGTGAGCGCTCTCCTTGGGCCACGTCGCTCGTTCAGCTTGATCTGCGAATTAGTGCGAACAGAACGTGTGATTCACCGCGGTCGAAATTCGCCCTCGAGTTGAGGGGGAAAGGTTTCCTTTCCCTTTCTCGCGAAGCTCTCAATTCTCCGAACGATCTCTGAGCGATTGGGCCGAGGGATCGTTGAGGATCTTTCGGAGCACGAGTTCGACGAAAAAACTTGCAACGTACAAGTGTCGCGCGAACGAGAGAGATGGAGAGAGAGAGAGAGAGAGAGAGAGAGAGAGGGAGAGAGAGAGAGAGAGACGAGGGGACGACTGCGCGTGTTGAGAGTATCGTTGAGAGAGCGTCTTGCCGGCGAATTGCCGGGATTCCGCAAAGCGACGTGTAAATTTGGTGTATCGTGTATCGTATACCCAGCAATCTCCACAATAGCGTCGATTAAACGAGTCGCGCTAGGAGCCGACCGGTCGATAAGCGACGCTAATGCTCGTCGAGGACGAACCTAATTGGTGGACTTATAAATAAAAGCTGCTGCGTTCTCTCCGCTGGAGACAAAGGCGATTATCGCGACCGGCCGTGTGCCGTTGGACGACGCTCCGATTGGATATCAATTTGAATCTGGGTCGAAGCTGTCGCTCGTGAAAAAGCGTTTCGAGGACTCGACGTGCGACGCTTTTGAACTGTGATTAATGATACTGCGATTGATAAAGCACGAAATCTCTCCTCGCGAAGGAGCGTCGTGTCCCTTCTCCCTTTCCCCAACCGCTTGCGACTCTTTTATTCTTCGCGATCGAAGTACGAAAACATTTGGATGTAGGTCTCAGCGAGTGGTCGCAGCAATAAGTCTGTGGTCTCTTCTTCCTCTACTAACCCACGAAGCTGATGACCCGAACCGAGATCCAATTGTCTCGCTGCCGGTCGCCGCGGCTTAAGTAAAGCATGAGGTCACCGTCTATTCTTCTCCGCGACGGTCGTCGACTCCTCGGAAACTATTGTCCAGATCTCCCAAAACAAACGCGCACGAGACGTGTTGGACCGTATTTCCGACGTCGGCACTCTCCAGCCGCGTGTCTCTCCAGCGTGTCGCGCGTCAAATCCGATGGAAATCGATTCTGCGCACGTATCGTGCACGCTCCCGACACTGATTGCCAATTACGAGCCGGGACACAAACGATCGCCGGATAATTCAGCTCGAATTAAGCCCCGCGAGAATCTGCTTGTACGTCGTACAAGCTACACCCGGGACCACCGTATCGAGAAACTTTGAGAGAGGTTGCGTCTTGAAAATAACGCGCGCCCCCAATTGGGTACTTGCCGAATATCAAGGCGACTTCTGATGAGGTTGCTGTCGCACGACGTTTGCCATGAAGATGAGATTTGCGCACGACACGTACAGTCCCTTCGAACGTCTTTACTTGAGGAACATTCTATCTCGTCCTGGAGGGAGAAATCTAACTAGACTAAAGGCACTTGGATTTCTCTCGTCAACGGCACAAAATTATTCTCCCCTCTCTCTCTCTCTCTCTCTCTCTCTCTCTCTCTCTCTCTCTCTCTCTCTCTCGTGGATATTTCTCCGTGCAGCGTCATCAATCGGCGCACTTTCGTCTCTCTGATTAGTACGTTAATTTGCGCATCGTACGTTGCACATGCAATGGACACAAATATCGAGTTGCCATGCAGATTGAGCTTCCGATCACGAGCACAGTCTCACTGACAAATCACCGTGTCGTCCATTTCGAGTGCTTGATACCGCAGATACCGGCCTGACATCCGATCAACCGATGATTAATATCGGCCCGATGTTCGGCGACGAACGATAACTGCCATTTTTGCTCTTGGACTTCTTCCGCGCGGCTTTAATATCGATGTGGGCTCCCGTCAAGCCAAGTTGTTTCGTACCTCAGCTTGAGTCAACGAGGCTGCCGGAATTGGAGCGCTTTCGATCTACCGCTCGTTCTGACCGGTCAGATCAAGATAAATGGTATTAACGATCAACTTTGGGTATCTCATCTACTTGTTTCTATCGTACACACATACACACAATACACGCATACGCACACCCCCCCCTCCCCAGGCACAATTGGCGTTCGCTATTCGTCTACACGAGGTCGTTCCTCCAGGTACTCGGCATACTTGGAGGAAAGTGTCCAATCCAAAAGTCCGCGCACCGAGACATCCACTCTTCACTAGCAAGCAACGCGACGATCCGCGCGCACCACGTGCGATCTGCTCCGCGATTGGAACTTACTCGAGGTGCCCCGTACAAAGGGCCCCTGGTACTAGCTGGAGGCTCACGTCTACCGCCGCCGGAAGAGAGATCCTCACGATCGCATATCACCAGCACCACTGTACGCCGATCGTGCGCCTCCGTGCTACGCACTACATGGCGTCCGCGACGAGAATGAGCGCGGACATCCGATAGATGGATTAGGTTCCAGTATTTTGCCGCACCGCGCCGAGTTGGGTCGTGGGGTTGGGGCGAGAAGGGAGAAGGGCGCCCTGCGCGAGAGGGAGCGAAACCGGCGGCACGGACAGCACACGGTCGGCAAGAGAGGCAGAGAACAAGGGACGGAGGCAGAGAGAGAGAGAGAGAGAGAGAGAGAGAGAGAGGGCGGGAGGGAGAGAGGGGGTGAGAGAGCGAGAGCGAGAGAGAGAGAGAGAGAGAGACAGAAGTGGTGGGGATTTTCAGCACGCGCCGCAGCCCCTCGTTTCTTCTCCCCCGGAATTGAAAAGGGGGACCGTGCGCGCCATATGCCGGTGGAGAGAGAGAGCGTGTGCCGGTTAGGCGACTACGTGTGTGGGTCCTACGGCCCGGCAATAAGTGCGTGACGCACGTCGGTAGGACGCGTGAGTGTGCGTGCATGCATCGTGCGTGCGTGCGTGCGTACCTTGCCCGCAGCTACCACTTCTCGTGTGCCGGTGGTGTCGGGGGCCGCGGGAGACTATACGAAAGACAAAGTGATCCTGGTAATCTAATGCGTAATTGAACGGCGGTCGATACGCGATTAAAGAGAGCCGCGTTATTATGTACTTTGTTCGTTGCTGCCTTACTTGGATACTCGCGCCGACGGCGCGGCGCGGCGCGGCGCGGCGCGGCGCGGCGGAGCGATGTCGTTAAGTGCAGACGCGTTTTGTGTACACATTACTGACGCGGCTTAGCGCCGCGTTATACCCGCTCGCCGGATTTGCGCACGTTCGCTTTTCCATCATACTCCTCATTTATCGCACGTCATCTATGGAGATTTTGACGCGCGCCTGCCGATCGGCTCTCTCGATCGGCCGTTTAACGAAACTTACTCCCGCAGAGCTGCCGCGATTTTCAGGCATGACACGACGATCGGAGATTACCGGTAGATCTCCGCGCTAGATATTCGTGCCAAATAAATGCGTTTCGTGATTTGCATTTTCGCCCCGCTCGAACGGGGCGCTTTAATCTTCACCGTTGAGCGCTCGCGAGCAGAATGCATCATGAGAGAGCACATGTGTGCGCTATGTGTGCCGCAATAAAACCGCAGGAAATATTTGATTTTGTAGCACAATGCAGCGATAATAATAAAGTCGGGTCTCGATGCGGCTCGCGACGTTGCTCCCGCGCGGCGGGGCGGTTTCGCGCGCCTCCGCTAGCTTCTGCTCGCAAATGGACAGGTATTCGCGTGAGCGCGACCGCGACCGCGAACGCTCGCGTGCGCGTTCGCATCAATTTTTTTTAATACAGCCGAGTTCGAAAAGAAACAGAAAGGGAGGAAAAAGTTCGGCGGAATAATTCAATTCCGCTTGTGGCGCGCTTCCTACCGCCGCGCGGCAAAGGACAGGAAGAGCCGCACTCACTGCGTCGCGGAAGTTTCGTGTTTCAGGGCGGTGCACTCGTGAGAATGACGTACGACAGCGAAATATGATTTTGTTCGGGAAAATAAAAAGAAAAACCGGTTCTAAAATCGTCCGAACGGGCGAACATCACGTCGTCTAAATTTTCTGTCTACTCCTCTGTATATTTCGTTACAAAAAATTCCTTGCGTTTCGAACCTGATCTGACGGAGCGAGCGGTGATTATTCGCGGGTTACATCACTTGCGTATCGAGCGAGCGGTGTCAGCCGATGCTGCCGAAGAATCGACAGCAAAATCGACACGAGATACCGAGCGAGTAATCGCAAGTCGCCCCGAGTCCGATGCGAATGGCCCGAATGGATTGAATATTGAATCGGAGCGTGCGAGCGTGATGTGTGTGTGTGTGTGTGTTCGCGTACATCCATAAATTATAATTTAAGAAGCAACCGCGATACAGAAAGCTTTTTATGCCGGGGGCTGCACTGATTATGCCGGAGGGATTGGAGGGTTCGGCAGGATTCGACCTAGATCTGGTCTTCATTTGTACCGCTAAACCTGAGAACCCGAACCCGACCGTACGGCCGAGCCGGAGGCCCGGCCGAATTTATAATACGCGCGTTATTCGAAATGGGGTCCTACCCTCCGCCAGCGGCATTTCAATTTCAGATTCTCGCGAGTCGAATAATTATTTGTTAAAACACGATAAACGTTCGCAACGCGCGTAAGCATCGCGCGTCGGATAAATCCTGACCGATACTCCGCCGTGAGTAATCCCGGGCGGCGCTGGGCGATCGTCGGCGATCGTTGAGAAACGTCACTTCGCAGGGAGCTTCACCGAGCGTTCATCTTCCCGTTCTATAGCAGATGGGAAAAATCCGTTTATGGGAATATATGTTACGCGCCCATAACCCCCACCGGTACGGCGCGGCGTGGCGCGGCGCCACGCTTTTCCCACATGTGAGGAAGATCCGTTCTCTCCGTCGACGAGGATTAACGCGATTCGTGCGCGAATGGTTAACACGTGACATCGCGCGTGAGTCCTTAAAAGCGGTGATTTATGAAATCTTTCCCGTGCGATAGCTCATCCTCTCGCTTCCTCGTCGCTTCCACCCCGCCGACGAAAACCGACGAACGTTGGATCTCCCACACGTGATCCTCTCATTAACCACGTGGATCGAATGATCCCCACGCTTCCTGAGCGAGACCAGACGCTCGTCGGGAAGCAACTCGACGCAAGTCGATTTTTCCGCGTACTCTCGACGTACAATCGGCATTCAGCGCGACGTCCAGCGGAAACGCGAGCCCGGGCAAAGGGGGGTCTACGGCCACCAGGACACCGGCGCGGCCGAGCGAGTGTGAGTATCGTGTCTTAGGACGCGTTAAACGTGCGTAACTCGCCGATTATTATTGCGGGGATAACATACGCCGATCGCCGGCCTTTTCAGCCGCGACGCCGAACCAAAGTCGAAACTGTGTGAGCGCGCGCGCGCGCGCGCATGCGCGGCCCTAGTCCCGTAAAGGGCCCACAAAGTGCCCGGACATGTTGTTATCCGGTGGCCGCGGGTAGACAGAATCAAACATTTTCAAAAGACCCGGGAGAAAAGCTCGCGGGCGAGCTCATTGCGCCGCCGCCGTGTGCAAGCGGACGAACGCCGGCCGCGCATGCAAAGTGATCTGATCCCGATTTACGCATCCAGCCTCGAGCAGGCCCGATCTCTCCGGCCTCTCGATCGCGAGACGGCACTCCGTATATCACGGGGGGTTTTTCGGTATTATCGAGCGGCGCGCATCGATGCCGCTCGCGACCGTCCGACTGATAAGTTTACAGGCTCGTACTCGGGGGGTATTATGCGCCGGAGAGGATCTCCAACAATGGGGGACTCCACGGTGGGGCCCCACGGCGGTTCTTCCTCGTTCTCGCGCATAATCCCCGGAGCGGAGCTCTCTTCTCGTGGGACTCCGCCGAGGCGTGCGCGCCCCGTCTCGTGCCCCCCTCCGTGTGTCCTTCGACTGCGAGAGAGAGGGAGAGAGGGGGAGAGAGAGAGAGAGAGAGAGATAGAGAGGGGGGGGAGGGAGAAGGGGAAAGAGAGAGATTAAAGCTCCTCGCGCGCGCGAGGGTCGCCGCTCTATATATTTCGTTATAAATTCGGCCACGGACCCTCGTTCTCTCCTCTCCGGAGCACGCCGTCGCGGCTTATAGCGTCCGGAGTCTCGGGATCTCGCGGCTATACGCACCGTTGTATATACGTCGAACGGGCGCGCTGCCAGCCCCGACACGTTCCCTCGCTAATTTCCCGTGTTTATTGTTAAGGGGCTAACCGTCGGGATTATTGATAGGCGGTATTATTGTGACAATGGCGATGCCCGTTTGATTGCGTCACCGTGATGGAACGTCACACACCGCACCCTCTTGCAGCGCGTCGCGCGCGAATGGTACCCACCGAGTATTTACATTTCATTTCGGTTCCTCTTTTAGTACTTGCTTGGGCGTTGCTTCCAGCGCACCCTGGATGAACTGGGGTACTCGGCTATCTGGCTATCCGAGTGTCAGGATAATACCCCGAGGGCCCGGTTGTTCCAACTTCTTGGTAAGTTAACTCTGATAGTTAGATCATATGTCTGTCTTTGTCTAAGTTGAAGGTAAAACAAAGATAAACATGACCTAACTGTCAGAGTTAACTTACCAAGAGGTTGGAACAACCCCGGCCCTGAGTCTCTGAGTTTGAGTTCAGTTATTCGGGGGTAATGGGGGGTACCTAGGAATCTGGGTAGTAACTAATGAATTTGGTCTTACTCGGATGTCGATGTACACCTAGATCACTAACTAACTAACGTGGGAACCGACAAGACAAAAAATACTGAGATTATTGATTGAAGAAATTAGATTAAACTGGTTAAACTGGACGAAACTGGTTAATTATACTATTAATTATACTGGTTAGTTACACCAGTTATACCAATGGAACGCGCATATGTGCATTTGCGTTAAAGCACACGAATTGTGGAAGGTGAGAGGTTGATATACTTACCACTTGCGTCTTAAAACAAAGTTGGAGTTGAAAGAGTAAAAGTATCAGTTGCGCAACGGTAATGTTAAAGACCGAAAGAGAGATCTCAATTTGATTTTGAGACAACAGCTGTAGTAACTCTTCAATATGTTTAGGAAGTGTTGGATGATGTTTGTTTGTTTCTATCTCTCGGACGCCGAGAGGTTACGTACGCGTCATTGATCGGCAGGCACTGGCGGATGGTGACTGGCGCTAGATGTTTGTGTCTTGCCTCGATTTTTTTGTATTCTCTCGTCTCTTTGATATTCATAGCTCTTTCCGTGAGTAAACTATTAGGTTTCTAACCAACGAACGACGCACTCGCCGCGACGCGGAGCGGCGTTAATCGTTTTCGTCGGTCTTTAGAATATTTAATATCGGACTCTCGTCCGATTATACCGGCATCGCGTTAATTAATATGCGTTTTTCCAATCGAATCGTATCGAGTATCCGTGTCAGTGTCAGTGTCAACGTCAACGTCAATGTCAGTGCCAGTGCCATTAATTATTATCCTGAGTTCACGACAGAGTA